TTGATGCCTTGTTTATGTTTTTATCAGGAGATTTTGCAGGGTATTTTTACTTTAAAAAATTATGCCGCAATTGAACTTAAACGTGAGTCACTAATTTTTTTTTTTAATTTCCTTTGCTTTAAATCACTAATTGTTTCATTTTCAAGTTGTAAGAGTTTTAGAACAAAACCAAAGTTCCTGAAATGATTTAGAAGAATGAACTTCGGCGAGAATTTCACTTCCGTTCTTACACAACAATGTTCGTCTACTTCAAACGCATCAAAAATTAAAACTTTGGCATTTTTTGACTTGGAAACAACTGGAATACCTGATTTGGAGTTTAATAAAACAAAGATTACGGAACTGACAATTTTGGCATGTTCAGTTGATCACATGATTGAAGCCAAGACATCTGATATCCCAAGAGTGTGCCATAAGCTGTCGTTATGCTTCAACCCTTTCAAATTAATCAGTCATAAAAGCAGCGAAATCACAGGTTTAACAAACGAATTACTCGAACATGAGAACAAATTTGACAAGAATGCATTGAACTTGGTTGAATGCTTTTTATTTAAACTTCAACAGCCAGTCTGTCTAGTGGCTCATAATGGCAAGAAATTCGATTTCCCTCTTCTAAAAACGCAATTTGAGTTTCATGACGGATCATTTCCGTTTTCACTCAAGTGCTGTGATTCACTTGAGGTTTTCCAGAAACTCGATCAGCAGCAAGAAGAAAAATATGAAATTTTGACGCAAAATTATAGTCTACAAAAGTGGAACAAAATAATTAACAACGATTCCTTTATTGAAAATGTGTCTTCAAATCAAACTGAAAGTGGCAATGAAATTGATGAAGTATTTAAGAAACTGGTCGATGACGAACTAAGCGAGATTAAAAAGAAGGAAAATGGAAATTTAAAACATTCTGAAAAAACAATCAATTTGATGCAGCAAATAAATGAAACAACACCGAAAACACGAACAAATTCATTAAACATTCAACCATATCATTCCAATGATTCCTGTTTCAAACCTAGGGATTCAGCTTTCTTAAAACGCAAACTTTTCCCTGAAGAACAAAGCAATAGTCAGAAATTGATCAAAGGGAAGTATAAACTCGAAGAAATCCATAAAAGAATGCTGGGCGATTATCCTAAAAAATCACACGACGCTGAGTCCGATGTGTTAAGTCTTATAGCATGTGTTAGTACTTGTAAGAACGATTTTGTTCGTATTTTGAATGAAATCTCTATCGATTTTAGTGATGTTAAGAAATTTTAGTGATTCCTGTTTATGTATTCCATTTTATATTTTATAAATATTCATTCATATATTTACATTTTTTAAATAATTATGACAAGAAATTCAAGCAAATTTTATAATCTATCTATGCAAAGTTTATAGTGTATAAGTTTATGTGCTTTATCAAAAAAAAAAAAAAATTGGAAATTAAAAATCTGTGTGAACTTAATTTAATTAAATTTCTTTCAGCAGCATTTAAAATTTTGGAAGATGAAACAAGTTCTCAATATGAAATTGTTTTAAGATTATCAACATTCTGGTTCAAATCTCCAGATGTTTACTAAATTGATAAGCATTCGAGCCTTATTAGGAATTTACTGAGTTCTTTACTTTTTACCTCGAAAGTAAGCGCTCTCTTGTGTCAGGTTTTGTAATGTATTCAATGTTTTGTGTGACGTTGCTCGCATGTTTTGATGCCTTGTTTATGTTTTTATCAGGAGAGATTTTGCAGGGTTTTTTACTTTAAAAAATTATGCCGCAATTGAACTTAAAACGTGAGTCACTAATTTTTTTTTTTAATTTCCTTTGCTTTAAATCACTAATTGTTTCATTTTCAAGTTGTAAGAGTTTTAGAACAAAACCAAAGTTCCTGAAATGATTTAGAAGAATGAACTTCGGCGAGAATTTCACTTCCGTTCTTACACAACAATGTTCGTCTACTTCAAACGCATCAAAAATTAAAACTTTGGCATTTTTTGACTTGGAAGCAACTGGAATACCTGCTTTGGAGTTTAACAAAACAAAGATTACTGAACTGACAATTGTGGCATGTTCAGTTGAACACATGATTCAAGCCAAGGCATCTGATATCCCAAGAGTGTGCCATAAGCTGTCGTTATGCTTCAACCCTTTCAAATTAATCAGTCATAAAAGCAGCGAAATCACAGGTTTAACAAACGAATTACTCGAACATGAGAACAAATTTGACAAGAATGCATTGAACTTGGTTGAATGCTTTTTATTTAAACTTCAACAGCCAGTCTGTCTAGTGGCTCATAATGGCAAGAAATTCGATTTCCCTCTTCTAAAAACGCAATTTGAGTTTCATGACGGATCATTTCCGTTTTCACTCAAGTGCTGTGATTCACTTGAGGTTTTCCAGAAACTCGATCAGCAGCAAGAAGAAAAATATGAAATTTTGTCACAAAATTATAGTTTAGAATGGATGTGGAATAACAGCAGAAATAACGAATCGTTGAATAATGACGAAAAGGGATTGTTTAAAAGCAGATACTTAAATTCGAGTGAAAATGATAATGAAATTGATGAAGTTTTTAAGAAAATGGTGGAGGACGAACTAAACAAAATCAGAGAAAAGGAAAGTCAAGATGAAGGTGGGTGGCGACTATGAAAAAATCCTCCTATTTGAATGATTTTTATATTTTGATCATAATTTAGATTCTTCTGAAGGCGCAATCAGTTTAATGAAACAGAAAATTAATGAAACAACACCTGAGAACCGAACAAATCCAATAAACACTCAACCTTATCATTCGAATAATTTCGGTGTCAAGTCAAACGCTTCAACTTCCTTAAAACGCAAATTCTTTACCCAAGAACAAAGCAATACACAGCAATGGACCAGAGGAAAGTATACGCTCAGAGCAATCCATAAAAGAATGTTGGGCTTCTATCCAAATAAAATTCATAGCAGTGAATCCGATGTGTTAAGTCTTATGGCATGTGTTAACACTTGCAAGAACGATTTTATTCGCATTTTGAATGAAATCTCTATCGATTTTAGTGATGTTAAAAAGTTATAAATCTTATATATACCTTCTTTGTAATCTTTTATAAACCTTTATCATTTCTACATGTTTTTAATAAAATTCCAGAAAAAGAAATTGATTCTGGCACAACTATTTCGATAACATTTCCAATCAAATCTTAATTAATATTCATTGAGTAAGAATTTTAAATAAATTTTATTATCATGAACAAAAAATGAAAATAAATTTCATTGGGAAACTTTTTGTTTCGTAACTATTAAAAAATCAGTTTTTTAGCAACATTACACTTCTTCATAATAATTAAGGGCCAAAATTATACAATTTAAGTGTGACGTCACTATTTGAATGTGAATCAAAGTTCATTACATAATATCGAATTTTAATTTCCAGATTCATGAAATAACAAAGAGAGAACGATGCTTATGATGACTTTAAGCAATTAAATTCTTTCTTATTTTTATTTTTCACTAAACAAAAAAGCAACAGCCGCGAAAGTTGCAGAATGGCATTTTTTCCATTCATCTTTCGCATTTTCACTTTCATTAAAACTATTGCGCTGTGAGTGAGTTTTCGGTTTCAACCGAATCTGTTAAATGCTCTCGAGAGCCCTTTTATAACGAAAGTATTTTTTTTATTGCACCTTTAATGGACTCGCAGTTTTGTCTTGTATGAAAACGTTTCTTATTTCTTTCAATGATGTGTTCCAACAATGGAGCATTAAATGTGCGAAGATGGAAACTGTTGATGATGGAAATTACATGTTGCTTTTAACTGCATCGGCATTTTGTGGTCTTTCTGTGTCTTTCCTTTGCAATGACGGTGATGTTCAATGATAATATTGAAAAGAAAATTGAACAATTATGAACGTCTATACTGAGAGAAGGCATCGACAAGCAGAAAATCGTCGTCATAATGTGTAAACGTATGAAATAATAAAATCATTTACAATCGTTTGCTTAGTGTTGTCTTCATTTATTGATGAAATAAGATCAGTAAAATTGAGTGATCAAACAATAGCCCTTTGCTATTAAAAAGTAGGTTTTGTAATGTTTTTCTTTTATACTGTTGACATAAATGCTCTATTATGTAATTTAATTTGACCTCGTGGTATATTTATAAAGATTCATATGTGCATGTTTTCTTCCATTATCTTTTGTTTCATTATCAATTAATGTTAAACGAAAATGTTCGTAAAATACTCTTTATGCTATTAAAATACTTGAGCATTCTTCTTCTTTTATTGCAAATTGAAATCGTGGCCGTCATCACTGCAGTGGTTCAATTTAAAAAATCGACAAATAGCAAGTCGTAGGTTGCAAAAAAATCAAAGCTTATGCTTTAAGCAAAATACTTTCAAATTTACAAATAAACTTATATGCAACAAATTTCAAATGAATTTAAATTTGGAATAAAATTTCTTGGAAATATTTAATTATCAACTTCGTGTCAAATAACAATGAAATTGTCTCAAAAGCATATTTGAAGACAAGTTTGAAGATAATTATCTTCAGGAAACAATCAAAATATTGATCACTTTTCAAAAGAACGAAAAGATATTTCCTTTTATGATAATTTTGTTGCAATCTCCGATATTGTCACCACATGAAGCAGTACATTAACATGAAAATGAAGAAACAGCAAAAACATCTTGGAAAATCGAGTTGAAAGTGAAATTGCAATTCAATATTATGGTCAAGATTTCTGATAAGTCACGTGGCGGATGACAAACTTCCTTCCTTGGATTGTTGTACTGTTTTACTCTTCATTAGTGCTTCTTTTCCTGGAAATTATTCATTTTTAAAGCAAAAAGAGTTGCAAGGTTCATATAATTATTTAAATAACAAGAACTTGGACAATACTTGATCTTGCTTAACTATCTAAATAGTTAAAATTTTCCTTTTCCGCTACTGTCCGCCTTTCTGATTCGACTGTTTTAACAAAAATAGAAAAAAACTGCAACAGCAAAAAACTAAGTCACAAACAAACCACGTGCGGAATTTTAATGGACCTTTGTTGTGCTACGACATGCATTAAGTCACCTTATGTTGAGTTTGAAATTTTATTAAAATTATTTTTCTTCTATCTTTGAATTTATTAGATATATCGGATATGAAAGAAATCTATTTTGCATGAAGAACTTATTTACAATTGCTTTCGAAAATTGCAATCGATCTTATAGATGATTAGAAGCGATCATGCGTTGAATTGTAAAAATCTTTTTATCACATTTTATGACAGTAGACGTGTTTTGAAATCTTCACTGTTGCCATCAGAAGAGAGAAAAAGGTCAAATTGAAATAAGTAAATCTAGAATTAAATTCCCGACAATAGTTGTCTTAACTTTTCTTCTTCGTTCAATATAAGATATTTGCAAAATTACTCGTTTTTCTAGTAATCACTTCCCACACACAGCACCAAGAAGAAGCAAAATATTGCCATACCATAAATTACAAATTGTTGATGCCTCTTACCGTGAACTTTTACCTATCACTTCAAAACGATACGCTTGGAAAAGATACAAACTCAAGTTTTGATTTCTCAATTAGTTGCCTTGTGACGTTGGTCACGTTCATATGCTATAAAGTTCAAAAGAAATAATTTTATTTTTTCTCCTTTCTAAACTGATGATGGCTTATTAAATATTTTGTGTGTTGATCGATTTCGATTTTGCGATTTCGCGATTTTGAATCATCTTCTAATTGGTTATGGCTTCGAGGGACAATTTTTTATTCGTAAATAAGCTTCATCATTATAAACCGTTATATATATTTAGCACGTGTTAAGAAAGAAAAATTGTAAAATATTATCATTAGTTAGTTAACTAAAGTCCAGAAATTCATCTTAGTTTTTCCCATCAGTTCTCAACTTGTTATTTGTTTTAAAATTTATTGCTATAAACTTTAAAGGGATTGCAAATTAGCAACTAAATAAAAAAAGCTGGAGATAAATATGTCGACATTTTTAATGATGCCCGTGAGCATTGATCGTTGTTGAAACTGTGTTAAAATGTTCGATATGATAAATAGCTTTTATAGCGGTAAGTTAATACTTAGTTCGGCGAAAATGTTTATTGATTTTTATGTTCGTGATTAACAAGAGTCAAAAGATATTTTCTCATCGATTAGTAAAATATTGTCTTGAGGTCTTAATCAATTTGTGTTGTTTATAAGAAATGAGTTGTTAAAATATCTCGTACAAAGTGTAAACGGACTTTCACTATCGTAGAAAAGCATTTTGTTCATAATAAAATGAAAAATTTATTTGTTAATTGAGGCATTTAAACATTTATCAAAACTTAAAACATCAAATAGAATATTTCCATAAAAGACGTCGTTCTCAGATTTCTCAAATCACCAAACTCTTCAAAGACGTAAAGACGATTCTCAAATGGAGGTCACATCACAAACATCGTTGAAAAGTGAGGGACATGAAAATTATCTGATGATGACAAATGAAATGAATGATGAGCAAGGCTTTGTGGGAACGCGGTTATTTAACTGTGCATCTTTATTTAACTCTTTTTCCAACAATACTTAAATAGATATGAATGCAATTGTCAAACATTCTCTTCACGATTCGAAAGAATGAAAATTATTATGTTTTCCCGAAATATTCTGCCACAAATTTGCGAACAGAAAAACATGTTTTGTAACTGTTACTAATTAAAATTTCTCCATTCCATGACTTAAGAATTCCTTATAAAAAGAATTTCTAATTATCATAATTTTTCATCCATGAGAATCTGTCTCGACTTACATATTATTTATGCATCGGTGTGATGCATAGAGAAGAATCTTTTTTATCTAAAAAATGCTGAAAATCCAGGCGGATTTCACGACGCAACGTCAACAATTCACGGCATCTTACCGTTCTTCTTTCTTCTTTGCAAAATGTTTATGATGTACAATTTATTTTGAGTGCTTTATGTTCGTTTCATTTAGTCTTTCAGGTACGACGACGACGATCGCGGTGTTCAGATAAAAACATATGTTCTAAAGTTGTGTTACACGAAGTGACATTAATTTTAAGCCAACTAAATGAAACATGTTGTTAAACAAAGAACATAATAAAATTTTATGCATTTTCCATATTTACGAAATGGACATACAGCAGACTAAACGAAAAAACGCAAATATAACAATTTTGCAATTGTCGAAATGTTCTTTTCGGCTTTGAGATTGTTATTGCGTCTGTCGCTGACACATTCATTTTATTTTTCCTTTAATATGATATTTTTTCAACGTGAATATTTTGTTTATTCGAACAATATGAAACAAATTTGTCGAATGTTACTTTATAAGCATTTGAACCTCAATTAAAATCATAAATTTTGAATTTCCTTGCAATATTCTCGATATGAAAACATATAATTCTTGCACATTCGATGACTAACTAACATAAAGTATTAAAACTTCATTTGGTTACAGCGAGAAATAATAAAATAAAAAAATCTTTCTCATGCTCTCTGAGCATACAAAAGCCGTCACTGCGGAACTACACAAAATGATTTTTCACAGTCAGCATTCAGTTTCTATTTAAAACGCCCACCCACATGAACCTTGACCGAAGTTGATAGCAAAATTTAATGCATAAATTCTGAGTTATTTAGCTGTGTTGTCGGTGCAATATGTGTTTTTGTCTCTTTTGTTCTTTATGTGGCACTGTTATAAGTTATTTATTCTACCAAGTCATAACTCAATCCAACACAACGTTTATTTACGTCTTAATTCTTGCAATTTATTTTTGTTTGTTGCTTAAAAGAATATTCATGTACTTTCTTTTTCTTGTCATCGTCGTTAAGAGACGAAGAATAATTTGAAGAGTACTTAAGCATTGATCAGAACTTTTATTCCCGACAGTTTGACTTTATGACTCATAAAGTGTTTTTAACGGTTGTAAAAGAAAAAATAACTTACAAAGACCACACATTTTCAATAATTTCTTGCATAAACTAAGATCAACATCTCTTCAAATCAATCATAGTAAAAAGCTTACTCATTTGTCGTTTTCAGTTGTTATGAATTTCAATTTATAATTGTGAAATCGTCAATCAATAAGCATCAATTCAGAATATCTCAACTCTCCCTGTTAACATGAAATCGATTGAGACTTTTTTTTTCTTTTGTAAATTCAATTCTAGATTCGATTGATTTGTCGCTCATTCTGTTTATCCTTTTGTAGATCGTTGTTGTCACTTTCAATTTTAGACTTTGCAATTTAATTATATTTATATAAAGAATCAATTCTTTTTGTTTTTATTTCATTTTCATGCTAAATTGAACTCAGCAACAGGCTGCTTATAGATTTATAGTTTACGGATGGATGGAAAATTTATGTCAGGGACATTTTGCAATTGTTTGAATGCACTTATTGAATGAATCGATTAAGAATTCACAGAAGCACATTCAGTCACAATGAGTAATCGTTTTCTTCAATTATGGTCAAAAATGTCTTTTCATAAAGTTGTTTTAATCAAGAGACGGTTGCTTTGAATCTGAGAACTTTTCAAGGATATTTTGCTTAAATTGTAAATCAAATAAAGCGATCATTGAATTAAACACGCATAATCACGAAAGATAAATTAACTGCTTTAAAGTTAAAACTAGAAAGTTTCTTTTTTTAATGAGAAACATTTTTATTTTAATTGAAAAGCAATGTTGCGCTGAGCATAACTTACATTTTAAGATGAGATTTTTAAATAAGAGAAGTTGATTTATTTAATGATTTTCTCTCATAGTGAATGAATCATGGTTGGAAAAGTCTCATGAAGCGCCAGAAGATATGAATGCATCATCTTGTGGAAGAGTAGAAAAACTCAATTTGTTATCAACTAAAAAGGGAACAATAAAAATCATGACACGATCGAGGGGAAGAAAGATCAGTGGTCGCAGGCTATGGACATAAATTAACGTTTGAACTTTTTCCGGTTTTATTTCTTCCCGCCATCTTTCACATCTATTTGGGCGCGCATCAATGCGCTCCTTTTTAGCCCGAAACCGAAATGAGACCACACAATTCGATATCAACATAAAGAGCGGTTCACGACTAAAAGTCTTTCCTGCACTTAAGACATGGAAAAAGAACATTTTACATTGGATGAATTTTTGAATGAAGGGAAGAATAATTTGTTATTTTGATACCTGTGGAGTGGGCTCGATTTTATGTTTTCATTTCTTTTTTTTGTTTTTTTATGTTTGGGGACATTGAAGTAAGTTACTAAAGAGAAAGATTTAGAAAAATTATAAATTCAAATTTTTATCGACCAATTTGCAGTTTGCATGAATCGACGACAAGATGGTCAAACATAAATATTTTGAAAATGTTCAGTTATCAGCGTGAAGTATAAGTTATCACAGTTTAACAGTATAATTAAGTCAAAACTGGTTTGGTTTGTTGAATTTTATCAAATAAACGCAGCGATGAGCATCGTTAAGTGCGTCTTGTTTTGGAAGAAATAAATTAAGATCAATTGAAACTCTGTAGTTGGTAGATTAACGACTTGCAACACCGAGACCTAGACCATCATTATTTTCTCATCTATGAGTTCTCGTCGCTTTATTGTATAGCTATAGATAGTTAAACAAAAAACAATTTTTTTCTCCTTGGCTCAAACATATTCATTTAGGCATTAAAAATGATTCAGTTTGCTTTCGGGCCCTTTTCGAATGCCCTTTTAAGTAAATTCTTTGAGTTTAACTCATTTTGATTTATTGTAGTTTAATAAAATTTGACATTTCGTTTAACATTCATTTGATTATCTTTGAGAAGAGACGAGAAATTGTCAAGTTTTTGTCAGAAAATTTTACTAACAACTCTAAATCACATTTTTTTGACTTAAACTTGTTATTGATTCAAACAACGACAACGATTTTTATTTTCAACTTTATTTCTATTAACCTTGACAAAGAGTGACACGTTTCCAATGCATTTGAAACGAGCTTACAGTGGCGTAAATGACTTTAAATTATTTATCTCTATGCAAAGTCGAACCTTTATTCGTCTCTGACTAATCCCAAATGAAAAACTGAAAAATTATTTTTATTTTATTGCAGTTTCATGATGCAATGTTGAAATGAATATATGAGAAGAAAAGAAGAAGAAGAAGAAGTAGACAAAAAAAAACTCACGAATAATTCTCGATTATCATGCATCGTATAATCAAATCATTTCCCATTTCTTGCATATTAATATGTGCTGCTACTTGGCATTATTGCTTTAAGATATTTCAACTTGAGAAATTATGATATTTTTCTTTTCGTAAATTACATAACTGTTAAAGAACATTTCATTCTTATTCTCTGCCGATTCATTGTTGACTGTGAGACTTTGAAAAGTTTGATTCTATACGCATACGCGCGCGTTTCAAAGAAGCCTACGTTCCTCTTTAAATTTATTGGACTTTTATGACGAGACTTCTCGAATGCGGTCTTTCATACGTTTAAGATTATAAAATCAGGTTCCTACTCATCTCTTGCGATGATCAGCAAATACATATTCAACATACTTTGATTGAGTTTAATGGTCGAGAATGCGAACATTGATGCTTTTTGATGTATTCGAAAGTAATTTCATTTTCGCTGATCGCTAAGAACGTGATAAGCACAACAATGGACAAACATTATCTTTGACATCTTGTTCTCTTAATTAAATTAAGTTTGCAACATCGTTAAAATTCTGAAGAGATTGTGGCAAAGGTGGAAACGAAATTGTTATAACTGTAACAGTAAAAATTGCGCTTTTAAGAAGAACTGATACATTAAATTAAAACTAAGTGACGTTCAAATTATATGAAATCAAAAACATGTCAATTATCTATCTAATGTTTGAAACATTTAATTTTGTAGCATCCCAACATTCATTGATGACCGTCAAAATATTTTAAATTTGATTATTTAGATTGTTATCTTAAGGAAAAAAAGAGTTACAAGATGTTGAAGACCGACCTAACGGGCTATGTTGGGAGTGCAGAGAAAGCTTCTCTTTAACTCGACAATGATATGCTTGGATTCAGAAATATGGGTTAATTTATCACAGCCAGAAATATATTCGATTCATTAGTTTTACCTTTTTATGGGATTCTTAATCTCGAACAGTTTTATTTTAATAGAGAATCGGAATTGATTTCCGCAAACTTGCTATTTATTCAGTCGCTTGTTTGTTTATGCTTGAATCTGATTGAAGGTTCATTGAGAAAACTGACCATGACTGATAATACCGAAATGGGTGTGACGAAAGATTTCTTTAGAAATTTTATCATCAATTTAATGCTTGCTTAGGTTCGACTTTTAAAACTATTTATAAATATATTTAAACTTTTGAAAATAAAATCTGATCTTGATAGTAAAGCCTTGAGAAAGAGAAAAAGAAAATAGATAATAAAATACTGCAGTTGATCTTTGTTTGATATGATCTTAACAGATGTTAATCATATGAGATTATTATCGTTGTTACTTTATATTTGTTTCTAGATTTTTCACACTTTGAATGGCTTAGTTTTTGTTCATCAATTGACTCAGTTTTTGTTCATTCAGTTCTTTGAGAGATAATTAAGCGTGACTAGATATGTTCATATTCATAATAATGTTGCATCGTCTGATCTTTCAAACTGGTTTCAAGCATCGGTAAAGCAGATTTTCTATTCTTTTGATGTTGCATCGTTTCATTCTATTTTGTTCACACAATTTCTCTTATTGAAGATTGATTAAATCATTAAAATTTTAGATATTTTGTCAAATTGATTTCTGCTTCCATACAATTTAATTTCGTTTTTTGAAATAAAAATTGTTCAGTTTTTATGTATTCTTAATTTAAAATATGTTGTGGGCCTAGGCAGTAAGCAAATATTTCTAGAGAAGCAGTAAATTACTGTAAGATAATCAATGAAATTAAGTTGAAAAGAGTTCATCGAATATTTCTCAATTTCAAAACCACTAAACATCGAAATCGCATGAATTTATTTTTTCGCTCTACAGCTGCTTTATTGAAATTTCAAGTAATGCTCTTTTTAAACTCCAAAATGACCTTAAAGTATCTCAAATCCCCACAGGAAACAAATAAGAGTTGAGATTAATTTTCTTTTCAAGAAATAAGTGTTGGGAGAACAGAATAAAATTATAAAGTTAAAGATCTTAAAACAGAATAATTTAAGTGGAAATATCCATAGAATTGCATTGATGCAGTGTGTCTGATATTTATGTAAACATCTAAAGCCATTAAGAATAATTTCTAAAGATCTTACTTTTATTATCAAGAATATTTTATTATTATTTCTTTAGCTCTTAACTTTCTACTTTATTTAAGTTGATTCAATGCAAAGATCACACACGTTAATCATTTGAATAATAAAAAGTAAAAGCATGTAATTAAATTTACACGAGTTTAACGAGTGTTAAAAATACAACGGAATGTTAAACGAATCAATCAATATTGTTGTACAAATTTTGAGTTCTTTTTATAACTGTCAATCAATGCCATTGATGGAATTAAATTAAATTTATTGAATGTTTCAATTAACTTTTGTCTTAACAAGCCATGCGTCGGTGACTTCTCTTCAAGAGGAAATTGCATTAGATTGTAGTCAAACGTTTACCTTTTTTGTTTGAATCAATATTTACCTGACGATCGAAGTGTTTGATCTGCAATTTAAGTTGTGTGAGATTCAAATCATCCACAAAGTTTCACTGTAAGTTTAGTTTGACTGTAATTGGATGAACTTTCATTCACTTGTATTGCAAATTAATCAAACTCATTTTTTATCTCATTCAAACGTTAAATTGCGATTTGCTACACAAAACACCGAAAAGATTCATTGAAGTTAAATTTAATTGCCATAAAATCAGCGTATAGTCAAACAAAGTCCATTGCAATTAAACAACACTATGCTAGTTGAATGAATTTGTTTACTTTTTCTGATTAAAAAAGCGGGCATGATAATCGGAAAATTTGTTTCACAAAAGACGAGAAATCGCAAGATATCTAAATAAATATGAAACAATATAGAAATCTCATAAAGTGTTTTCCGGTAATCGTTGCGTAAATATTTAATATTAACTTGCGCAATTCTGTCCTATCATTTCTAAGGCAATTTATCATTTTCGCGGAAAGTAAAAGTAGGTAAGATTGCTTACAAGACGAGCTCAAACGTGAATTACATAATCGATGCTTCAGTTTTTGTTTTTTGTTGTTTTTTGTCGCCTGTTCAAGCAAAACATGAACTGAAATCACTCAAAAAGCGCGTCGTGTGCGACTTTATTGCAAAATAAAACATCAAAAAATTGAACAGAAAATGAGAAACATCTAATAAACGTCTTATTAATGGATATAATTACTCTTCAAAGAAAGAAACTATTAATCAAATCGATGAATAGATCGTTGACTCTTCTTCTTCTTCTCCTTTTTACTTCATCGTGAAATTCGTGCAGATTTTTGACTTATTTTCTTGTTTTCTTTATCAACTTCAACTACAATACTTGAAAAATGTTCAACATTTTAAACATGATCTGAAGCAAGAGGCGATTGTCTCGCATAATTACGAAATTTTATGTTTCATTCAAATATTGAGCAAGAATTTTTTTATTCCGACGTTTCACAATTCTTTTCATTTCAAAAATCAAGGAAAAAGTGATTTGATTAATTACTGATAGTGAAACTAATGAAATAAGCAGAAAGTTGTTAATGATAAGAAAAATATTGAAGGCAAGACCCGATTTTAGTTTCAAATATTTCGTTGATTGATGAAAACAAAAATCAGACCTTGGTGAAGAATTTTTATTCAATTTATTTGATTACTGCTTTCAACTTCCTACAATTTGCCAAAATTGACAGTTAATTAGTTAAAAAATTAAGAAACTTCAAGACGACACGTTGTTATCGAACTTAAATGGTCAAAACCTTAAAAGAAAACTTTCGCTTGATCGTTAAAATGTCAGGAAATAATTCATGCATGTATGTTTCAGTTTTAAAGGTGAAGGTTATGTTCATGAGTGACAGAGAGGCTTGCGAATTAATCATTTCAATGGACGAACATAAAGATCATAGATTTCCAATTAAAGTTTTGTAATCAAATATTCTTACTAAACTTTTTTCACGTGACCAGCAAAACTGTTACATCAATTGTTATTATTCTCAGTTCTCACATTAAAGAACTTGAGATTTTTATCTTCCGGTTTTCATCCCAAGTCATTCAAATTAATCGTCAAGTTAATGAGTTTAATTAAACTTTCAACAGATATCAACAGATAGTTGCAGATAATAAAATAAAACTTGACATCCGTTATTGGTTAAATACTTTCTGTTAGGAAACTATAAAGTTTTAACATGTATTTATGTGGTAGGCGTCTGGACTTTCATACACCAGCGAAATTTCGCAGAAATATTTTGAATTTTAATCAAGTTAAATGTGGGCAAAAAGAAATTACCAAGTTATTCATCGATTGCATGAAAGACAGACCCGAGTTGGCATCTAAAACACTTTCATATAAATAAACGTCGATCATCATGACAATAAATGAAATTCGTGTCTGCTTCTTGAAGACTTTGACGATGTACGAATATTAACAACACGATTTTTGCAGCCATAAAAAGATGTTCTAGTGAAAAAACTGAAAAAAAAGACCAAAAAGAAAACTTTTCTTCGACGTTTCGCTTGGTGAATGAGTTGAAATAATATAACGGAATGTCCATTATTATGGTTATTTCACTGTTGAAAAACAAAACAAAAAAAGAGATTCGAGTCGCGAACGTAAGCGACTCTTTTTTTATTGATGATTTTGCGGACACATTTGTTCGTGGTGTTTAGTTGTTATTGAGAGTCCGACACGAAACCGCCATAATTACACCGTTGTTTACTTCTATAAGGTTTCGCTTTGCTCTTTCACCCTACCGCGCAGTGCAAATGGACATTTTAAGGGTAGAAAAGGTGCAACATTAGTTTCTTCACTTTCGTTTGAGAATTCATTGAGACAAGAAGCGAAGGCGAACGTGAATCTTTGATCAAGTTTAAGTGCAAGTCTAAAACACTCAAAATAGACAAAAATAAAAAAGATGATATTGAGCTTGAAGAGTGCGTGAAACGATGATTGAATTCAATGATTTTCTGTTATTGATTCGACAAATCAACGGAACAATTGCTATTCTTAGTGAGTGGTTAAGTGACACATTCATTCAAGTGGGATTAGGTGTCGTCATTTGGGCTGGATATTTAAGTCACTGGGTAAGTATATGATTTCAATGCCGCTTAAAGTTGTAGGTAGAGTTTCCAAATTCACACAATATTAATAAAACTAAAGGAAGTAGAGTTCACTGAAGCATTCATACAAGTTAGGAAAATCCATGGATTACCCTAAATAAAGAATGAAAGCGACCAGAAACTCGCGAATTCGATCAATATATTTAGGGACGAACAGCCGAACACTCCTTTAAAGTCCAAGTCTGCTATCGACTTCTGTCTGAATAATAAAAACAAATTTCTATCTTTAAAAAAAGGGAAAAAGTGCGAACGATTTTATTGATGTAATTTGACGAAATTATTCTAATGATGAAACTTTTTTAGGTTGATTTGATTATAAAATTCCATTGCCCTCAAATGCCTTCCGCCATTGCCCTCAAATGCCTTCGGCATTTGATGGTGGTTCCTATAAGGCCACAGTTGGCCTATAGGTGCCTGTCCTTGATCTGATGATGATGATGATGATGATTATAAAATTTGTTTTTATGACTTTAAAGAATTTATGATTTAAAATTTTATCATGCCAGGAAAATCTACGCAACAATCTTCTGCAAAATTGATAAAGTTTGAGCATTTAACAGTGGATATGCAATAGAAATTAAATGAGTTTATGAGACTCAATTTATTCTTACTCAATAAATTATAAAAAGCCAAGAGCAAGCAGTTTAAGTCATAAAGCAATGTTCAGAATGTTGCGTGAAAAGCAACAATAGGTGAAATAAAATAAAAAACTGAGCGAAGCAGAAATTGCGAGCGAATGAACAAGACTTAATACATTTATACGAACACTATTTTGTTTCCCATCGTTTCGTTGTTCTTTGTTGTTGCTGTTGTTAGTTGATTTTCGTGCTTTGGCCGTGTAAGTCTATAAAATAACTTTTTCCTATGTTGCGACCGAAACTCTATGAAAGTGCAAAATAAAATAATTACGTGAAAGACGATAACAATTGTGATTGTTTGAATAGTTTTATCAGCACTAAACGGTTGATTGCTTGTTTCAACTCTTGACTTCAATGAGTATTTGTGCAATTGCATAACAACAAAAAAACAAACATAAATAACTTCCAATTAGTTACGAAGAGAATTTTCTTAAGCTTTAAAACATTAAGTCGAGTTTCACATTTCTAAAGTGAATAATGAATAAAAATAAATAAACAAATTGAAATCATTGCAAAAAATCTCTCGTCGCATTCATGAAAAGTGACATGGAATAAAATATGTGTTAACGACTAATTTTTATAACTTTAAGAAAAGAAAATTTATTGGGAAAGCTAACAAGATAAGATAAATCTTATAAATTTTGTAAGAATGATATTTGTTGCCTGATGCTTTGTGAAATAAAACAAAAAAATGTGAAGTTGCTGACAGTTGAAATAGCACGTGTCGTCTCTTAAGATTGAATTCAATTTTATGTACCCACAGCCATGGATATTGTGTGGCGTGCGATTTTAAAAAAGTATTCAAAGGTGCGGGAGCCAATTGTTGCTGCAACTCAAGTAAGTATGGTTTCTTAATTGGACATTAGTAGAGCATAAGCGTTAATTCATTCCAAAGTAATTTGGAACGATCGAGGGGCTGTTTAAGAATTAGAGCGATCAACTAAATCCACTTTATGACGTTACATTCTAAGTAACTTATAATTAACGGTTTGGTTTCATGCAGCAATCAATAATGTTTGTGTGGATAATGTTTATGTGCATAACTTAACGATGACTCTCAAAATAAAATCAACTGAAGAGGAAAGAAAGAGACATAAACCGCCCAAATCATTAACCATACCACACAGCATATCACAATACAACAATTGATCTTTTGAGCATACAAAATCAAAACCAAAATCAAAATATAAGTTCAATGACAAGCCCAATGATCAAAGGAACTTTACTAATTCTACTTTCAGAATGATTCTTCATTGTGACCATTTTTCGCGTGACTAATCACTTTAATAGACGGCAACACATACAGTTAAGAGCACATGACATTATCAAATTGATGATGAATAGGTAGAAATAATCGATCGAATCATATACATACACGATCTGGCATTTTTTATGCTTTGTAATTCACAATGGAATATATTACATAAAAAAATGAGTTCTAAGATGAATGGCTAATTTACGGAAACAGGGGCGATAGCTCTTTCCAAATAAACAGTTACAATTCTGCGCCTGATGTTTTCTTTCTCTTCCATCTTGCCATCAGTGACCTAATGAGCATTCGAATATCAAAGTTATGGTCGAAGATTAACTGAAAAATTGGAGTTTATTAAAGTATCTATCCAAATCGTAAGAGAAAGAAATGAATCCGATTTTGGGCAAGTTGATCGCAACTGTAAGTCTGAGAAGAAAAGTAAAATAAATTAAGGTCACGTTAAAACAGATAAAAGTATTAACACGGTAGTAATCATCAAACAATGACTTCTACTGTCTCCTACACAAACCAAAACATACATTTTTGAATCAATAGAGATAACTTTGTATACATTTCGCGACGGAATAGAAAATGCTTTCAGCAGATAAAAATTCCAACAATTTCCCCTGTTTTCTTCTTTGTCATGATAAGTTAAGTAAATATCGTTTGACAAACGCAGTGAACGAACACTTTCATAGTCAAAGCTTAATTTTCGCAAATGAAATGTCATGATTAAGCTTAAACTGAGTAATTACATGGGAAATCGGAACATTGGTGTTAAGCGAGAGCTAATTTCACCTCAAGCTTTCAGTTCAATAAATAGATTCAAGGCTAAAACGCTCGTGAGAATGAAATTAAAGCTGCCAAAGTTTTATTTCTTTACATTTATAAAATTTCCTTTGAAGCATTTATCACCGCTATAACTGTTGAAACTGGTAATTAACAGACGGAACCTTCCCCTACACCCTTATCCAAAGAATTTGTTTCTTTCTATGTTCATTTTTGCCAATTTTATTTTTCATGTCAAGGTGTGTCTGAAAAAGGCAAATAATAACATAAATATCTTTACGGAATTCTACCAGGAAATGAGGAACATTTTGTGTTATGAAATGAAGCGAAGAACAATTTTTTGTGGTGTAAACAGAATTAGAAAAGTTCTGGGGTTTCATTTACTTAGAAGCAAATGTTAGAGAAGCGCAAAATTGGATTTTTAATTTCGCTAATGGTCATGTTGCAAACGTTTATGGTGAACATGCAATGTAGGGGAAAATTCTTTGATGACCTCGGAAATATTTCCGCATATCCTAGGTAGGAAGGTTTGATCGATTTTTATGTTCATCCTTGAATGTCTGTCAGTCATTTCTTATCCTTGTAGATTATCATAAAATTACATGTAATTACATAGAAATGCCTCAGACCTTTTCATTTATTTTCTCTATTCCATCGCTACTTTGAACAATATTGTTGAACATTTTCCACATTCGATTACAACAAGAAAAAGATTTGCTGAAATTATTTTTCAATCCATTCAATAAACGAATTAATATAAGTTAGTTAAGCAAATACATAATAAAGCAGGTTTTATTTCTAAATCGGTTGCAATTTTAATAATATCTAAGCATCAAGTGAAAACACATTATTCAAAAAAGAAATAAAAAGAAAAGCTAGAAAGATAAAAGACTTTTTCACTAAGTTATGTGCGCAATTTTTCAATTCACTAACAACGTGAAATTTGTAATCTTTTTTTTCCTTTCTTCTTTCAATCGATCGTGTTAGCAGCTATGAAGCTCTCATTCATTAGCTCACTGATTTTGTTTATAAGATTTGAAATTGCTTATTGCATTGATGTTTTTCACCACAGACTGTGAGTTGTGTTTGCAGAATGTTAAAACCTTATTTAGATTTAGACCACAAATATTTAAAGAAACAGAACTTTCCTATTAAGTAATCCATCGCCATCCAGAAACTATCATTCCGAACTTCTCATATTGCTTCAAACTATATTTTCTCATCGAAATTATTCTCATGAAAAGCATTCTCAGAATAAGCACCGAAACAAGATCTTGAATTGCAAATCGCATTCCGTCGATCCGTTACGAATTAGCATTTTTACATAGTAGAAAGAAGATTGATAGAAAACTTCTCTACTTTTTCTTGCCGTCAGGCATTAGTAGAAAAGTTTCATAACAATTCGCTTGGTCTTCATCATTTTAGATCTTAACGCTGCTTAATGCTTAATGCAATGAATGTATCGAAGGCAGAAGAAAAAGAAATTATAAGATGAGAGAGAAAAGCGCATTGCACGAAATATTATCGCGCAGTCAAATAACTTTATGATGCATGCAAAATCATCAAGTAAAGCAAAACTAGAAACTGATTGATTTCTTTTTCTTTTTGTTGTTTCTGCGACTTCTTTCGCTTCTAAGCCTGGAAAGCAAACCAAAGCAAAGTAAAGTAAGAAATTGTCTGTTTTACAACCACAAATGGCACCTGGTACGAGATGGAATATACTGCAGTGTTATCTCTTTGTTCAGTTTAAATAAGAAATTTTATGTCAAGTTACAATAAAATTTTATTGTTAGATTTAGTCTTGTGAGAGCCTGGAGAATTGCCAGACGTTTATTTAATTGTATTATAAAAGTTAATACGTGTCTGTCAATACTTACTCCATGTTAAAATGTTAAATTGTAGAAAAATTGTGGTGATCTTCTTTTATAATGTGACTAGGGAGAAGAACAAAAGCAATACGATAATGAAGGTTAAATATGACTCAGATGGAACGACGATCAACTTCAAGCGAAGGGAGAAAAGAGAGATTTCGAGATAACATGAAATTATGTTTTATTCATATCACCTTCGTACTTGCCTGTGCTTCGTACATAAATTCATATGCTTTGAAACTTAAGCCATGCCACGGTCAATGATCTTATGCTTTTTAACGATCATAAAGCACGAATTCGAGTGTATGATGCACGGTTAAGTGATTACTGAACTCACTTTTCGATCATACGACTGCAAATTAAAATAAGTTAATGATTTTTATAAAGAAACTGATTTGGAAACAACAAAACGACGGAAATATTTATCAGAAATTCTTTTCTTATCGCAATTCTAATAATCAATTTCATTGTGCATGCAATCATGGCGTTTTTACTCTTTAAAATATTACTGCAGCCTTTTTCTTTTAAAAGCGAAGTTAAGGAGAAGAAGATTGACAGTATCGGCCACTGCACCGCACTTGTTTTTGTGAAAAGCAAAAATAATAATCGTTTATGACTACCAGACCTGTTTTCAAAAAAAAAAACTTGTGCACAAAATTTTTCAATTACTTTTTTCTGCGGTTCCACATTGCTTAACACGAAATATGCTTGTGTTGCTTATTTTTGAGTTTTTTATGAAATATTGTGTTGGTAAAATCGACGTCGACACTACAAACAAGCATCACTGTTGAAGGTTATTGTTTAATAATTGCAATGACAGTGACGAAGATAGAAATCTTAAAGTCAACAGCAGCTTAGGCGGAATGGAATCATATGGCAATGGTGATGATGATGATGCATAGGTGAGCAGGAAGTTTGGTTTCACCACCTTAGGTTTCATATGCATGAGACGTCTTTGTTACACAATACCTTCATTAGATTCATTCATTCACGCCAACGAAGACATTCTTCCTTCGTTCTTATACGTTTCACCTTCTTTAAGTAGTCACTCTCATGAATAGTGTCGATTGAAAGTTTTAAATTCCAATATTTAGATACGTGCGAAAACAATTAAATCAGAAATTCTATGAGAAGAAAAAACAATTTCAATATTCTCAGTTCACTTGGAATTACTCATGTTGCTTGTGCTGCTCAGAATAAGAAATAGATGAATAAAAAAAAGGTCAACAAACTTAACTTTATGTTTAATTTCTGCGATAACTGTTCGTGTTAATGTGAAAGAAAAGTAAAGCAAAGTTTTAAAATTATTTAAAAATATTGCATTTGCCATTTGGTAACAAAAACAAGAAGTTTGATGCATTTTGAAGTGAAAAATAAACAACAATGTGAGTTAACGGAGCCTTGTGGAAGCTTTTGCGAACTTCTCACGCTTTGTTTTACCTTTTAATGAGTTCTTATCACGAATTTTCCCATGACTCATCTAACGTAAAAGCTAGTAATGACACAAACTTGATCAAAGCTTCATTCCTGATGTTATTTTTACTCTCAGCGTAGGCATGACGTAATTGACACATGCGCAGTTTAACAATCGCGCTCTTATCCATCCATAAATATAGAAAAAAGTTCATAAAAGCTTTTTAAAAATGAAATGTGAGAAAGAAAACAGTTTTGATATTCTATGTCAGTCAACAAAGGCTAGACATGTAGTGTGAATGCAAAAAGCTTAAAGTTCTTGTGTAAACTTGACTATAAAACGTTAGAAAAGATTTTCCTTTTTCTTATATTGCTTTTGAATTGGAAAAGAAAGAAACTAAAATTATAAATTGAAACGTCATAGGAAGAAATTCCATAACAACGACCGCGAAAATCACCTTCAGAAAGAGAAAAAAAATCGAACTCACCGGCACGAGGCGTAGTGCGTGTAACTTAAGATAGAAAGAATTGATTTATAAGTGTAATAATATCTGTAGTTAAACTAAAGTGATACTTTTTTGGGCGCGGAACCACTATACAAAGAAACTTTTTTCGGGAGGAATAAAGAGAAGATGAAGTGAATCTAACGAGTTGAAAACGAGAAAATATGGAACGATGACCGAGTTACACAAAATCAATGACCTATAAAATTAAAAAATTGATAAAAACTTAACAATTTTCATTCGACTTTGAATGCATGCGTTGGAAAAAAAAAATGTTGTTTTATGACTTTTCAAGGTTTTGAGATAAAAGAAAAAGAAAAAGAATTTTCTTTGTTCTGATGTAATCGAATGAAATTTATTGAGCGCAGATTGTCTTTCTGCAGAGAAAAAGATTTTGAATCTGAAATCCAACAAGTTATGTTCGAGTGTGGGTGAGAAATCATGGAACATGATTGGCCTAAGCATTGCATTAATGATACTCTAATAAATTCATAAATATTTTTCCGTTTGCATTGATACTTAAACAAAACATTAAATTTCTTAATCATGTTCATGTTTTTATCGCTCACCGACAGCCACAATTTATTTATTAATAAATGGCGAGTCAGATACCGATGAGGGAATTTCTGCGATTGATATCTTAGTGGAATGTTTCACATAATTGAAATCGAGTCGTGTCGCAATTTATCAGAACAAATATCTTTAGGAATTCATTTCTGTTTTTTAAAAGCTTAGGCAGTGAAGTGAATGAAAAAATGGAAAATTGATTAATTGGAGGCATATCAATTATTAGAAATAAGATACTTAATTCAAAGAACAATCAAAGTGTTTATGATTTGGAAACTGCTCAAGGATTTTTGAAAGTTTATGTTATTCGTAACAATCTTTGTCATTGCTAATTAAGTCAACGAAATACAAGAGAATTGTATTTAGATATTTATAGAACATTCAACAATTAACATAAAACGTGTCGAATTATTTGTAATAAAATTTACTGTTGACTAATTGTTTATGATATCTTGGCAAATGCTCAAAGTCACGCGCTCAAACTTTTAAGATCTTGTATAACTTATAAAAAGACAATTAAGAAAAACAAAAGAAGAACTTCTTGATTATGTATTTGACAAGAAGGAAAAAAGTAAGTCTTAAACACAATTTTATTAATTAAAAAAATGAAGAGAAAAAAATCTTTTTGGAATGTTTTCCAAAGTTTTTCATTCTTCTTTTTCACGTTGAAAAATACTTACGTACACTGATGTTGAAGAAGGAAATGCCAGCAATTTAAAATCAGTTTAGAGGAATTGACAGATTTAGCAAAGATGAATTATCATCGTCATAAATGGCCAGCCATGGATAGAAATTTAAAACTTTTCAAAATGTTTTGACAAGTCTCTTAGCATTTTTAATGAAGAAATATAAATCTCTTGCTGTTCAATAACTCTTGATATGATGTGTCGTTAATCTGATTTGCATAAACTGTAACGATTTACCAACTAGACATGGCATTGAGAGATCTATTTGCTTAGTGAATTTACAGAGTAGGTGTGTTTGTGTAATGTATAGCTTATGGATATCTTTTCTTATTCTTTTGCAGATTTCCTCTTCACGTTCAACGTCGGCGACACGAGCCTTCGAAGGCGACAATCAAGTTATTGATGGCATTTCAATATCATCATCGACACTCGACTCAAAGTTAGAAGAAATTGTCGTTAGTCAAGCAGGAATTGAGTCAAGCATGAGTCGAAATGACGTGCGTAAAAGTAAATCGAAGGTGCGAAGTTACTTCAAGAAATGCAAAGATGCACTTTATGGCCACTCAAGCGATGATACTTGCAACATAACGGTGGATGAAGATCTCTCGCAATCTTCTAATACTTCATGGTACCTCACAACAACCGCTTTTGAATCTAATGACTCGGTAAACAGAGCGAGCTCAGATCAACTGCCAAAAGCTATGAAAACGAATCAAGTCGATGTTCAGGAAGCAATCGATAACGAAATTAAGTGCATAGGCATGACTCAAACATTGCCTCTAGTGGAATCTCAGGTCAATAAGGTAATAGAGATTTTGGAATTTCCTTAAAAACATTATGCAGAAATAAACACAAATCTGCTTATGTAGTTTGAAGTAAAATGAGAAATATTTCTTTGACAGATAATTTTCTCATGCCATCTATTTTTTACAATTATAGTTCACGATGCCAATATATCTTTTATAGTTTGTGCACATTTAATACGCGTTAGTCCAAAGTGCGAAAGTCAAAACTGATTTCACGCTCAATTTGTTTAGCTTTCTTCTTTTTTGTTTTGTTTTTTAGTGTTACGGGGTTGTTTAGCTATTTTTTGTTTTTACATAAGTTTGAAAAATAATCTCATGTTAAGTAGCAGTCGCTGTGGCACTTTTATGTCATGATCGTAAAAATAATTAATAAACTACGAGGATTAAGACACTGTCTGTACTCTATCTATGCAATCAATTTGAATTGTTTCGATCTTTTTTTATCTTTATCATCGAAGACAATATTCGAATGGAGGTTTACGATCTTTCACAAGTGATAAAGAGATATTAAATTTGCCAGATGTAGAAGACAGTAAAAAGCAAATTATGCCGTTAAAGTTTCTTATTTTGTTATATTTCGAAGACTTTGCGGTGCAATTATATAACCATCTAAAGACCACAACACACATATTCACATTACTTCAGTTTAAAATGCAAAAAAAAAGTGAATCTTATGGTTTTCTTATGCAAAAGCCATTTCAGAAGACTTCTCAATGTGGTGCATCGAAAGAAAAGTGAAACATTTTTCCATTCCAATTGTGTTTCGGGTTTTTTTCCTTTTTCTTATTCCAAAAAGAGTGATTCAATCGCGAAGTCGTGAACTTTTTGATCTAGAAAAGCAACAAAATAAAATAAAATAAAAATTGCAAGTCCGTATTGGACTTTTATTCATTCGTTTTGAATTTGGAGCCTCTCATTTGAGAAATACGCGAATTGTTTTTGCAAAGCTTTTCCTTTTCAATTAATCTTTTTGATTTCTTAATTCTCTTGAAGGCATTTCTTTGTTTTTGTTCATAAAACTTCATACCAGGAATGATTTATTTTGAAATAAAATGAAATCTTAATCGATCTATGATTTTTTTATTTATTTTATCTTAGGATGTTTGTACAGTTCCAAGTCTCATTGATAAATATTTGGGTCAACATTATCCACTGTATCGGGAACATACAAGAGACGTTCTAATACGTCAAGCACGGGATATTCTTGTTTGTACATTTCATGGTGACCTCACGTCATTCGAACGTCTCTTTCTGTTGCCAGCTGTTGAAATTATCGAGAAGATCAAACAAAAATTTCCCTGTGGAGATACGGTGAGTCTTCTAGAGTTCTCAAATATCTTATGTATGTTACTGCAGTCACGAAAAAGCATCATCAAAACCATGATCGGAGCCATTAATCATAAATTGATATTTTCATTAGTATGAAATTGAATTTGAAGAAAGCGAAACATGAATAAGCTTTTTTATAATAATAGAGGAAAATTGAAAAAAAGAAAAAATTAAAAGCTTACAATTTTTAGGTGCTCACTAGGCAGGTCAAATCGGTGCTAAACAAGAGCAGTCAAATAATTTTTTGGGTCATTTGCATAATCGGCACTTTATATTATTGAAGGGTAAAAAGGTTTCAACTTCGTTTCAACTTCGTTTCTTTTGCAGTTGAAAAGTTCGTGAATTTACGAAATATTGAATTTAACCATTTTAAGCTTAATCTTTAGTGCGTTTGTTCATATGCGCTTTGTTTGGTGCGCATGAAAAGCATTTTTTAAAACAATTATTTATTTTCAAAGCCCATTACGGCATATCATAAGCATTATACATGATCGTTGATGCAAGATTGGTTAAAAAGATCGTCGAGAAAAGATGTGAATAAGTCAGCTGGCTTCGAAATGTGTTTCTCTCGATTACTCACACACTCACACTAACAAACATTAAAATATGCATCAAAACATTGAAACATTATGTTTTCAATGTTTTTACATCTTAAGAATGTTTTATTATTGTTTTCACGCAACTCTTCATTCGTTTCTTCTCAATACTCGGACACATTTTTATTCGGATCGGTAAAGCAGATTGAATGTTTTTAGAGGGGGTTTCAAACATCAAACTCACTCAATCTCACATTTATGCTTCATATTTTATGTTTCGCGGTCGGTCGTTGCGTTCAGACGTACTTTGAGTTTTGTCGGTCTTTATTTAAAAGAAAATTATTTTTGTTCATTTAAGTTTCATTCTGACTGAGTTTATTATTCATGAGTTTTTTCTTTCATAATTGTGAACATGAACCTGTGTTGTTGAATAAGTGGAAAGATCTATGAATGAGAAATATTCTGGTTCAGAAGTATTTATAGAATAATATAACAGAACAGAAAAGAAAAAAAACAAAGTCGTGGAATCAGAAAGAAATAAATTAAAGTCAAGACAGAAGAGAATTGATAAATTGAACTCCAAAAGAATTGTGCTTGAATTTCAGCTTCCTAATTTGAGTTAAACAATTAGTTGGAATCATTAAAAATTAGTTCAGAAATCAAGTCGTCCGTGTCTAAGCAGAAACTGTTGTAGTAAGCGAAAGGAATGTGCAACTATAATTAGAATCTTAATAGAAAAGAATTTTAATAAATTTGAAAAGAAGAAGAAGAGATTTTTCTCTGTTTTCAAGAGGGAAGAAAAGAATTCAAAAGACATTTGTCAAGTGCCTTAAAAGTGAATATTCACGTCTAATAACTTTATTTTACGGGATTAAAAGAAAAACATTTGATATTTGGTGAGTGTTGGAACGTGAAATTTATGTCGCGTATATTTTAAGTGTCATACTAGAAATGCTAAGAACGTTATCAGATGGCAAACATAGAAACATGTTTGCATTGCCTTGAGATAATAAAAAATAAGAAAGAAAGTGCACTTTATTTAGATTATAATTACATGTTTCTAGATGCACATAGCAAGTGGTGCATAAATTTTCCAGTGTTGTAAAGAACACGACGTGGTTTAATAAAATTTATAGTCATTTCTCATCTAAATAAATATTTTACTTGCTGATGCTGAGAGTGAAGAAATTTATTGTTGTTAAGCTCTACAAGCGAAAATGATGTGCCAGAGATAAAAGAGTTGACGCGGCACACACAAAAAAATTGGAAAATATGCGTGAACATAAATAACATGTTGGGATGTTAAAAATAGAAAATGCATTCTATGTTGTCTTGTGTACCTTTGGCAGACAAGCGTATTTGAACGGATCCACCAGACGGTTCAGTGTAAATAATATGCTTTTCACTCTCGATGAGCACATCAAAGAAAGTTCATTCATGAATATCCACGACTCTGGGTGGGAAAACGAGGAAATTTGTTTTAATTTTTTAATTTTATTTTTTTGTTCCTCAGTTTAGATGTTTACTTAAAAATTTCATTTTCTAAAAACAAATTTCGCTTTCAATTAGTTGTGGAAAAGAAAACGCGATCGGAAAGAGTTGAAAATTTCAAAGACATAAAAAACCGAAATGAAAAGAGAAACATGCGAAACGTTTTCCAATTTATCGTTAACCGAAATAAAAAGAAATATATCAAATAAAAGAACATCGAGCATAAAAATAAAAATGATAACAAGATGAGCTCAATAAAAATGCTACAAAATGGATTGCTTGCGATGCGCGTTGAAATATGTTCAATCGTTGCATTTCTCTATACTGATTTGATGTTTCATTTTTTCGAGTAGGTTTACAAAAATTAATAGTTTCATGCATGCTCAGTGGAAATTAATTTATCGTCGTGGTGTTTTCTACTCAAAGCTTTTATTTTTTAACATGTCGTCTTTGAGGAAAAAAAAATATGTAACTTTAAATATTTCGTTCGATGTTGAGATGCAAAGGAAAAATTGTTTTTGATATGCATAAACTATGCCTTTCATGTTCATGTGTGTGGCTTTCAGTTTTGTTTTATTTTTTTTAAGGAAGGTAGGAGATTGAATTTGATTATTTCAAAACCTCTTTTCATGCCAGAAACATTTAAATCTTTGATAAAAATTAAACACAAATTAAATATAAAAATCTTGCAAATTTGTAAACAAACAAAAATATTTTTTTCCTTCAATTTAAAATAAAATAAACACAAAGAGTGAATTTGTAAGAAAAAAAAACAGTCAGTAAGTATCTACTTGAGAGCGTGGGTCAAAGAGTATGAATTGTTTGAATCTGATAATGATTCGGTGTCGATGCTTCACTACCTAGGAAGAAAGACGATGAAAGACATCTCAACATCATATGTTTGTTAAAACTTCACTGTTTCTTTATTTGAAAATAAAAAAAAATCAATTCGAATGAGACAAAAGAAATTTCTCTTTCAATCACAAAAACAATTTAAATTTAACTTTTCTTTACAATTTGTCGATTTATTGAGTTTTTGTTTGCATATGGCGTAGAAGTTGCATATGGTCCAACTGCGCAAACAATTTCAATTAAGAAACCTAAAATTCTACGAGCATTTAGATTGAATGTAAAAGGCAATCTCGGTGATGTGTGGCGTCGGTGAAGCAATCAACAATTTAATGTGGAGTAATATTTCGTAAGATTCATTTTACTCCCTATTCGATGATGCTTCAAATAAAAGAAATAGCGCGACTTGAAGCATAATAAAATTAAATCTTGAATATCATCAATTTTATTTTCATTGAAATCAAAAGTGTTTTTTCATCGCCATCCTCATAGTTTACATGAGAGCATAAGAAATAATAATAAAATTTATAAGTGGGACAAGTCATTCTTCATCAACTTTATCAAATGAATTTCATCTCTTTTCTCTGTTACAACAAAAATTGGTTTCTGATTTCTAAGTAAACGGCGAACACGAATAGCTTTTGTTGTTTTTAGATTTTTTTTTCTTCCTTCTTTCATTTCGGTGCAATGAAAGCAAATACGAGAAGAAAATCTTTATTCACTTATGATGCGTTTATTGTTCGAATGTTGTGCGGTTTCGAATAACATCAATTTCCATTTATCATTCATTCACTTACATGAAGAGGCTTTTGTGTGTAATGAAAAGTATTTAAAGCTGGGCCAACATAATATTAAGTTAATGATTTCTGATTAAATGAGATTGAAACGTATCTAGAATTCAATGAGTTGCTACAGTTCAAAGATTTCTTTACAGTAGAGCGCTCTTCAAATAGCAATAACGTGGGACGTAAATTAAACCATCTTTCATAAATTCCCATGAAGAGAAACAGAAAATATTTTAAATTTATATTTTCATGGAAATTAAACGAAAATATTTCCCAAAACTTTTGAAGCGTTAAAACATTTTTCTGAGAATTCTAAAAGTGCTTGCTAAATAAAACGACATTGAAATAATGAAAGCTTTGAAGTTTTATGCAATAAATTATCGGCTTGCGAGTAACAGATTATGCTGGTGAGACTATCGCACTACCAATGAATTTCATTCGATGAAAACTGAAACGTGCAATCGATGATAAAACCATAAAACTATTGAAAGCAGATTGCTTTTAACTATTTTATTGCAATGCGTGTAATCTTATAAAAAAATACTTGATCACAAACGATATTTGTTAATCGGATATCAGAGAGAAAGATGGTGACAATTGAAACCGACGACTGTGGAAATTGCATAAAAAGAAAAATTGATCATGTTCCATTGAAGTATTTTCTTTTCAATGAATGGCTTGTTGCTGTCGGCATTTTTATTCGTCTTTGAGACTCTTTATCTCTTTTTACAACTCTTTTTTAATTAAGTAAACTGGTAACTGATTACTCAACTTTTAAAACAATGTTGTGTATAAGATTTTATTTTCGATAGCGATCGTGATTCATCCACCATCAGTTACGAAAGAAGTTTGTAAGAAGAAAAACCACGATGAACACCAATTGAAAAAGATTTTTAAATTCTTAAGACATTCTGCGGGTGACAATTAAATATCATTAACCGTTCTTATTCCACTTCAACTCTACAAGATAATCTTTCATAAATTCATGAATGCTATGTTTGCTTTAATTTAGAATATCTTTTGACATGATTACAATCTCTTTAATGGTAACGTGAGTATTTAAGAGAAATTCTCGCCCTTCCTAGCATTGAAGTTCTTTTAATTTTCTAAAGAATTGTCAAGTAGGTCTCACAGTTGCGACAATCATCTCTATCTTGTACTTACAACATTATTTATTACAATGACAACATCATCATGCTAAATGTGTTTTTCAAAACAATAACTTTTTATGGATGAAAATTTGTATGCACATTTAATTTAATAAAGAGAAAAACATCGTTCATTGCTTACTTTCAGGGTCATAGAGTCTTGCAGTATGTAGTTAATTTTCTGCGTTGGAGAGCTACGTATAGCACATTAGTCGTAATTATTAAAAACCTACGGTTTTCCCTATGATAATTGATAGAAACTCTAACAGAAAATTGCGCGCAATTGGGTGAAGTCAAGACTTAAAGTTTCAATTTATGATTGAGAAAAATTGTTGACAATCTGCAGACAATTTTTTTAGTTGCTTTATTTATACACGCTTGAGAGTTTATTATTCTTGCGGAATTTCTGCTAGTGGGAAAGAAACATTTAATCCATAAAACAATATTAATGGAAATCAAGGCATTAATAATTTTTTTACAATTCACAGTTTATTTTGAAGAGTTCCGCAATGAGAGACAAACGCAATTGGATATTCCAAAATGTGCGAAAATCTAAAAGAAGAAGATAAAAAAATGTTAAAATACGAAAGAGCATGGCATGTTGTGAAGAAGACGAAGAGAATTGAAGCGAGAGTTCAAAAAACTTACAATCAAGATTGCGAATAAATTCTTTCCATTCTATTTATGATTTGACCGCTTTGTGTGAGTACTGCCTCCAAATTCCCATAGTTTCAAGAATAAACAACCGTTTTAGAAACTGTGATGGAAGGTGGAAAAGTCATATCATTTTGTAGATCGTAAACGAAAGCTTATAAATGTTCAAAATGACTTGAAGTTTAGAGGCCACTTAGAAATCAAACACATATGATATGATGAAGAATAATTCGATGAAGTGAAATTATTGAAAAGAAAATTGTTGTTTTCTTACTGGTTAAAACACGATTTAGTTGAATGGGAGTTTGGTTTGTATCTCCAAGCCGATTTCAACTCGAAAAGCAAAGCTTAACAATAGTGAGAGAAAAACATATAAATCAAGAAGATGACTCAAAGCTTTTGATCTCATTTCTCAATCGTCTACCAATTTATCAATTTTATTAACAAGAGATGCCCGGTAATATTTCCAACAAAAGAAACGCTTATTTAGCGAAAAGGAAATTCATTTGCTGAAATGAAAAAAATTCAAAACTAAATTAATTTCCCACTTTCAATTTCTAAAATGCGATTTCGATTTCTTTTCAGCGATGGCATTGAACCACATTTGCCCCAGTGGTGCTTCAAGCATTTTGTTTAATCTCACGCGTTTTGCTTGATGTCGACGGTAAACGATTTGCGTTTCGGGAATGTCTTGAAGTGTGATTTGTTGTTGCTAATAATAGTATTTTCATGTCCACATATAACAAAAACAAAAGTCAATCATGATTTTAATGAATGGAGAGATTGGCCGTGAACCTTTTAAATATTTTAAAGATCTTCGTCTTATTCGCCTTTTTAACTGCTTTTAGTGACATGAAGTGAAAACTTTAAAACAATCTTTCTCTTGACATTGAGTCGTTGAGAGATTTTAAGTCGAAATAACGACGAAACAGAGTAAAAATAAAGACCTCAAGCTGAGCCATCGACGGTCGTAAGCTGATTAAAAGTTTCAATAATTGACAGAGAAATTGGATTATCATCGTAATATTTTGGCAACGATGATCGTTGATAGAGAATTTGAATGTTTAACTCTTTTTCTTTTGATTTATTTGTAACAGATTGTTTGCCTTTAAACGTGTCGCAAATGCTGAAATGGAATTTCAACGGAATCGTTAGAAGATCTTTTCGAGTTTCAAATTTCCAACCTCTGATATTTTTCTACCTTAAATTCATTTTAATTTATGCTCTGGTTTGCACATGTTGTTCAGGCTTCATCATATTTCGATCGAAAAATATGATCCGACACTCTCGGAAAAGTCAATTGCACTTTTTATTTATCCGTTCAATGCACACCAACAGCCATGCAAACTAAACGCTATCAAAATCAGTCGTAAATTAAGATAACTTGTTATAAAACAATTTAAGGAGAGAGAGAAAAGTTAAAGCTAATTTAATTGAACATTATCTGCGAATTAAACACCCCAAGCTAAGAGACAAAAGGTTAACGACTTGCGCGAAGTGAGCAATAACAATAATTTCCATTCCATAAATAACATTAGAAAAACAAAATTAAAAATAAAATATCTCGCTTCATGGCTTGTACTCAACAAATTGCTAAGCACATTCATTGAATGAATGTTTAAAGAGAAAAACTAAATTAACCGAAACTACTTCACGATGCCACATTTTGATATGAAAATTTATTTGTTTTTATGCGCAGAGTGCATTATGGAAAACAATCTCACTCTTCTCCTTCCCTTTCTATCGTTTGGTTCTCTTTCATTGCGAAGAAAAATTATGAAAGTTTTACTTTTACTTCAACTCATTTATTTAGATGTCATCCTTATATGGGCAATTCACGTTGTGTTCTCTTGCCCATAATGCAACTAACTCTATCTTGTTGTTGTCTTTTCTTTCAATTGAGAAGGAAAGAAAACTTATGTTAAATAAGTGTTTTGTAAATTATGTTGCTGATCTGCTGCGATCGAGAAATGAAAAAAAATATGAAAAGTTTTGTAATACTGAAAAGAAATATTCGAAGATTTTCTTGTCATTATTGCATGCATCTGTGCAGAGTTTACTTACATATTTATGTACCCAAAATATTTTATTTAAATAGTAAAACATATGATGTGTATTTGCTAACAATATTGAGTCATGTATACTTAGTTTGACATTAACATAGAGTAGCAATAAATTTATGATCGCTAGTCTTCAACAAGACAAGATACGCTTGAATGCATATCGAGTCGCATGTTAAGCGTACAAAAACAAAGAACACTCGTCAAAACCAAATCAACATGATTACGTTTATGATGTGAACTAATTTAATTGATGTCGAAGTCACATGGAACTGTTAGTAATCGAATGTTCTCTTTTGGGTGGCATTTACTATTATTTCACTATTGTAATTGTGACTCATTCCGATCTTTTATTCATGAACTTAACATATCAATATGAAAGAAATTCTTAAATTAAGATTTATATGAAACTGATTGCTGATAGCTTTCTTGATATTAATTATAGTGTAAAATTCAATTTAATTTCCCTTCATAATTCTCAACAAGATCATTTCAACGCTATCATACTGCGTTGTTATTTTATGCCATAGCGAAGACATGCATCTGGTGTGTTATTTCTTTGCTTTATTTTTCATTTTTCTATACGGAATAACTAAATAACTTGTGGGCATTAAACAAATAAATACATATTTAAACGATTTCGTGTGAGATCAGCATTCGCTGTTCATAAAAATGGTGTTTATAAAATATTTACACTCATTTATTTTGACACTGACTGCCAACTCCTACTGACCCGTCTCTTTTCAAGTTGCAGCTGATGAAATGAGTAATAATCGCTTTTTGTAGAGCGCCAGTGATTCAAGATTGAAAAATTTATTTATTCGTTTAATGCTCAATGACATCTCATGGCATCGTGTTAAACAGATTTCCACGGAGATTTAAAGATGATAATCAACTTCTGAAGAAAGAAGAAGTTTTGCAATAAATGCAAATGAAGTTAACTTTTTGGAAGCGAACGACATTTAAATGAGTTCGAGTGGGGAAAAGAAAAAAAAAGCGAAATTATGAAAACTATTTTATGATCGTAGCGCTTTTCGGGTCGTGCTGAATGTTGTCTCACGACATAGACCCTTGGTTGACACAAAGAACTTTTTTTTATGCTCTCCCTGCTTAGTGCTCGAATATCAACATTAAAGAAAAGTGAAGGCAGAAGAAAGGGAAATAAAATTGTAAACCATGGTGCCCCATAAACACGGTCTATTTTAAAACAATTTATGACCACGCTCGTATCGAACTGAGTGCTGGTGGAATAAACACAAATAATTAACAAGCCACATACATGAACTTTATGGAATTTTTTCCTTTTTTTTTGTTTTGTTTGTGCAACAACGCCCATTTTTTTACTTTTCTATATTAAATGAAAAATTCCTTGCACAAAAAAATAATATTAAACCAAAACATAAGACCCTTGTTTTGAATCCATTTGAAAAGAACTGACTTTTGGTGAACAATAGAAAAATTAAATGATGGAAAGTGTTTTGAGACTTGAACAAATATTTTTGAGTTACAAGCACTTTAAGGCCAATCGACGTGTGAATATTTTCGCATAAATACAATTATTATTATTAGCAACTTTAACATTTTTATGTACTCTCTCAACATAAAACCAACTTGTTTTCACAGCAAGAAAAGAATTTAATACTCAATAAAAATTAATCGAATGTTTACCAGAATAATAATCGTCAAAGAGATTGTCGAAAAAGAAATGAATAAAATATTGTTTGTAATGTTCATTGAAGGGGAAAAGAGATGTGTGGTGTATCAAATTGATTATCATTTACACATCTCACACATCTCATGAAGAATATTAAATAAAAAATGTCAAAAAGCGACCCGCATGGTGCATTTCAATTCAAAGTGTGAGAGAGTTCATTAATGATATGCATACGACACAGATGTTGAACAAATAAAAATTGTTATTATTTTAAATTGAAGGGTTCGAGAGAGTTAATTGAACTTGTATGTGACGCGATCTTAAAACAAAATGAAAAGTCTTCAACCTCATCTCATAATGCTCTAAAAATCCCACAAAACCCGCAATGAAAATCAAGTTTATGGTGTGATGTCATTGTTTGTTTTAAAACAGAAAAAAGGGACGATGAATGATTGCGCGTCATTATCATGCTTGTCCCTCAGAGAACAGCTAACAAATGCTTGTAAATGTTGCGTAATAAAACCAGATGAGAGACCACCAAATGGGAAAAAAATTCTCAACATATCGACATATGTTGCAATTGAAATCGATGTACTTTGCCTTTTTCTTTCTACTTCTGATCGGATATCCAAACAGAATAACAAATCGTGATTTTTAATGCCTTTTCAAGATTAATTGAAAATAAATCAAATGAATTGCAATTGTTTGACTTGGTCATTAGATCTTTTTTTGCATGAAAATCGAACCGAAACGAGTTTGATGCAAATGCGCATAAAATTATTTTCGATCGAGTTTTTTTATTTTCATTTTCCTATTGAACAACATCGAAAGTAGTAAGCTGATTAATTTATTTCAGATTTTCAAAAGAATTTGGTTTACTTTATGAATCGAAATGTGTAATTATGTCTGCTTTTCTACCGGAAAAGCAAATAAAAATTTAAACACATTTCATCAAACTCTCTTTTCGGTCTTTTGCTTACTTAGGTGAAGCTTTATGCTAGATGTTCTGTTCCATTTCCTTCCATTGTGTTTACCTCGATGTCTGTTTCTATTTACTCTTAAATACATATTGCACAACCATCCAACCATTTCTAATAGAATTACGAGACATAAATTAATTGATTTTATTTATCAGATTAAGTTGCAGTCAACTCTAGGATCAAATGAGGTTACAAGGTTCTGTGTTACTCATTCCATGACACTAAACATAGTTCACTTGGATCATGTTTACAAGCTACCTTAAGCAATAAATTTTGCGTGTGAAAAGTCAGAATGTTGAAACAAAGCAGCTCGAAATAATTGAACGATAATAAGACAAGAAGCAAAGTGAAAGATATTAAATCATCTGCGACTTTAAAATTACATAATAAATGACTGCACTAAACATCGTGTAGCTAATCTTTCTATGCGACTTAGGTAAATGGTGAAATTGAAATTCTCACAGATGAAACTCTCAGCATTTATCTTTTCCTTCGTCTCTCTTCTCGAAATTGCAATTCGTGACTAATAATTTGTTTGACTGCAATTTGCGTAAATTTTAGTCTCCTATTAAGGCGCCTAATAGTTGTTGAAGCTTTAAAAAACCTCTCAATCGATAATCGCAGCTGTAAATCGCAAGTGACTTTAGTTTTTTGCAAATGAGGCTATTAAGCTCCTAACTTGCCATGATTTTTTTTGTTTTTCATCTTGTAAAGCGAAAATCAATTTGTATGATGTCAACTTGAGTGAAATCTTTTTTTCTTATTATAGAGTCAAGTGTGGCAGAAAGGTTGGCCATTAGCGTTATCACAAGGCGCCCTTATACTTCATTTAGGAGCGATTGAGGAATCACTTGTGAGAAGTCAAGACATTTTTTTATGCTTCCGCTCTGAATCAAATGTCGCTGCAAAGCTTTACGCATGTTGGCGTTCATCTACCAATGACACAATCGTTTATCACGCGTTGGATCCAGAAAAACGTAAGTGACATCATTTTGTTAAGCGACTTTTGATAAATGACATTGACATGTCAATTTACAGATCCTATTACTCCGTTATCCATTGAAATGCTAGCGGGCGAAGATTTACCTCAACTGTTGCAAACATTACTTGTCGGTGTGGAACATGCCATTTGTCGAATTCCATTAGATGAGTTGACATTTCCACAAAACCCAAGTGTATCAAGTTCCAATCATCATCACAATCAGCATGAAAGTGAAACTGATGGAAGGAATTCGACGAATAAGCGAGTGGAATGCAATTTAAAACGTCGAGAACTCATAACAAAGAATAATTCTATAAATAAAAACTTTTGTATTAAACGCGTTACGTGCAACGGTAGCAGCAATTTTACATCCAATCAAACTGAAGTCTTCGACGATGAAACACTTCATGAACGTGAATTGACGTCAAGTGATGTGTCAACGTCAAATGATTTGACAAATGAAGTCAATTCATTAACGACTTCAACAAGCACAGTCGCATCTACATTGCCTTTATTCTGCTTAGGAGGTTCATTTCCTCATATTGACAGTGACGAGGAAAGTGGCGATGATGCAAAAAAAACTCAAAGTGGTGAGTATCGACGTCATGTTATTGTGCAATTTATGTTTCCTCCTTTTCCTTTTCTGTCTTCGATCGTTTAACCTTTAACATCAGGAAAAAAATGCATTTGCGATACTTAAATTATTCTCGTTCTGACACTTTATGTCATCATTGCGTTTAATGAAATTGCATGCATCATAGCGAACGTCAATTTTGAAGTGAAAGTGATGTGACTGGAAGCAACATAAAAAAATATTTTTCATGACCAAATCAATTACAAGTGATGGAATATCCTGAAGGCACTCATGACTGGGCCATTAAAGCGAATGTGAAATGCAAATATTCCTATGATGTTGACCGCCAAAAAGTTCATGTTCACTGAACGCTCTTTCACTGCGGCAGTTAAAGGTTTATTCATGATCATGAATCAAGATTGAAGCGATAAGCAAAGCATATAAGTCTTCATTTTTTCTTGTTCTCTCCTCTCGTGTCGAATATCAAAATTAAAAAGTTCATCGTAAAAGCAACATCGAAACTGCAGTTTATTTATTTCTTCATCGACGTTATTGAAAAGGCGAATTAATTGCCAACAGGTGAAAAAGTAATTTATTTATGTTTCACAGTTATTTGGGTCACAAAAGCATAGAGACTTTACATATGCGCAGCCCACTCGTCTCCCTCTCTCTCTCCATTTGGTATTGATCTTTGATATGCGCTTACAGTGTAATTGTGCCCTCAGAGGACAATTTTGCTTAAAGAGTGAAAACTCTTGGACATGTTTTTGCTTTGACATTCGCTACAATTTCTTCATATTCTTTACTCTCATTTCTTTCTTTTTACTTTTATTTTTATGCATCGTACGCATTTACTTATGTACACAACAGAAGTAGGTAATTACAATTTCACAATCAAAAATTGACTTTCATGGTGATCGATAAATCAAGATGCAATCATAAAATTAACTCACACACTTTGTCATTTATTCATTCATTCATTTATTCATTAAGTGATCAATCAGACATTTTTAGGAGTTTATGTTTATGTTTGTTTATGATCAGTTCACCTACACACACACACACCTAGCGAACAAATTCATAATTCCGTTGAAGTTTAAACAGATGTCACATTCATGCAAACAACAAATGACCCTGAAAAGCGTCTCTTGAACGTTTAAGTAAGGAAAGAAGAAAAAAAATCAATTACATAATTCCATTGAGTGAGCTTTAAAAATCACTCGATTAATGCTTCTTTGGCGTGCATTACGAAAGTCACTTTGCAATGAGTCAACGGGAATTGAGTGTTGAACGTTCGTGTCATTATAACTATTATGTTAATTTAATCTTTTTTTTGAACAGTCATTGAATAATCTTCAGTAATAATTCGACCCACGTAAGTTTTTCTCTTGTTTTCGGGTTATGAGCTTGACAAATATTACGGTAGTTTCTGGTTTTGAAGAGTTATTTTGGTCTTTAAAAGTTACCTAAAGACTTGACCTGTTTGATAACTGTTGGTAGAGCGCAAAGCAACAATAAACATTTTAGGAAAGTTCTCAGGGTTTTATGACTTGTTATGTCAATCCAGCTCAAGCTTAAAAGATGTCATTTGAGATATTGCAAGTAATAATTATCAAAGAAAACGTGAAGTTTGGAAAAATTTCCAAGAAATTCTCGACTTTCTAAAACCCATAAGAACATTTATGAGTTTTTTATTTTTATATTTATGAATGAATGTTTATCAATTTTCTTAATCTTTGTTTCATCTATCGATGATGTTCAACATAAATTTCTACAAGAATCAATAAATCTTTATATTTATGCTGCAATTGCAAGCAAGACACATGTTTTCTCTGTTCTCTCTCTCTGCCTTTATCGCTTTGCTTTACGGCTGCTTCATAATATTATTATTATTATATGCTGCTTGAATTGCATTTTTTGCAACTCGTATTGTATGGCTCACATTTCGAGTCATTCACAGCGCCGTCAAGCGAATGTTTATCTTCCATGCTGGAAACTGGTGTTTAGTGTCAAATCAAAATTAATTAATCAACTTCTCTTCCTTCTATTTTCGTTCCACTGAAGGCTGCAATTTTTAAAATATTGCATTGCCGACTTTAGCATGCAGTGAATTGAAGATAATTGACTAAGCAAGTAAGCTCAACTGTGTCAGCATATTTGTTGTTCTAATTCCATTCCTTATCTTAAGACTCTTCTCATATTAACGAATTCCTGTTGTATTAATCTCTTAGTGCCGGCTTTCATCATTCGAACTTGATCTTCTGAGGAAGCAAACGACCATGACTCTCTTATCCAAATGCTTAATAACCTAATTCCATTTTGACACGACACATAACTTTTACTATCTCGCAAACGATGCCGAAATGAAGGGAAAAGAAGAATGAAAAATAAATGATTCGATAAAATGAAGAGGAAAAAAAATCAAATCGCATTAGCTCGTTTCACTTTAATCTTTTGTCATTTTTGCTATTATATTGTTATTTATTTTATACTTTTTTTTCTTCTTCTTCTTCTAAACAGTTTCTTGTCTCCCACATGACGTTATAGCTCCAAGGTCGATTCAAGATTTACCGGAGAAATTGCTCGTGTCGGGTTGCTATTTGCCAGGTAAGCTTTTTATTATTTAAATTACTTTTCTTATGAATGAATGTCAGTATCCGGATGATTGATGTTTGTGTTTCGCGGAATCTTTAAAACACGAGACAAGTCTTTCTGGTCTTTTTCGTCTTCTTCTTTTTTTGTCTTTTAACTTATAGTTTAAACTAATTTTCACACAATTTCAAAGGTTTTTTTCCTTATGAGTTTCTTAGTTCATAATTAGCAAGTATGGAATAGAAAATCAGGGCTACTTACAGCAATCTCACCTTTGACGTGTGATTTAAGACGAAAGCGAACACGACTATTGACATTTAAAGATCATTTTTATTGCCCTAAGCAAACTATTTATCATTGACCTTTGTAAACCTTAACTACTTGATCACGTGCGTTGCTTTTAACTATTAATCGAAAGTTTATGAGAAATGAGAAATGGAGAAAAGTATTTAATGTCATTAGCCTTAAAAACTGACAACGTTGATGGTGATGATGAAGAAAATTAAATTAAAAATTTATCGTAGGTAACTTCACAACAGCTGGCTATCCATTGATTGTAATTGAAAGTGATAAAGTTCATCAGGCTGGCCTGAATTGCTACGAATTTGCGACAATCTTATTGTTCTACAACACCATTCCCATGAAGTAAGTTTGCTTCCACTATTCACTTCTCAATTGTTGCTATAATCATTTCATTTTCCACGTTTCCCTAGTGCAACGACATTTGTAATCCATTTAATTGCAAAAAACGATAGAAATGGTCACGTAAAAGTCGTCTTAGATAAATTGGATAATGGCTTACAACTATTGTACGGTCACGTGAAAATAAATTCAGTTCTTATAACATTGACAGAAGTATCGGAAGAAGAGAAGCTAAAGGAATCATGCGATGATGATGACAAAAGATACAATGAACAATTACCAATTAGTCATATAAAGCTTGTTTATGCATCAACGTATGAACAGCTGTTGCAGCATATGACGAAGGAAAGTTTGTTTTCACTTTGCAATGGCCTATTGGAGCATGATCAATATGAGTGGAAAGAGTTTTTCAAGACAATAGAACCATTGCAAAGCCAATGTTTGATTGCTGGTCGTCGTTTAGTTTCCGTTCTTAATGATGTTCGTAATGCGGATCTTCAAGGCCCACCAACAAGACGTCAATTACATTCACAACATCGAACACTTTGTCGAGCACTTATGGACACTGAATTGCAAAGTCTTCGACGTAAAGGGCCAATAACTCTCGCACGCCTTCAAGATCAAATGAAACGAATTCGAAAGCGATCTTACCGTGTTATTACCAAAAATTCTGCTAACGAACGGAAAGTGTTCAACGCCAGTAATATTTCACATTTCACTCATAAACAACAAACGAATGAAGTCATTGGTAATGCATGCAAAGAGTCAGTTAAACAACAATCATCAACGCCAAACGAGGAAAACTTTGTTGAACAACGATTGAATGGTTTGATAACCGTTTTTAACGAAGTCGATCGTGCAGCAAAGCGACTGGAGCAATTAACAGAACAACATCGCGAAAGATTGCGCGAACTTACTAGACAGCGGGCATTAGAAGATGAAATCAATGAGGTGAGACGTGGATTAAATTAAAAAATAAGAAAAATAAGGCAAACGTGTCACTTTATTTCGATAATGAAAGTAAATCGTAGAATATGAAACAACATTTAAGAATTCTTTTTCTCCTTTCACTGTTAACATCGTAAAGGTCATTGAATGGATTCAAGGCGAAGGTGAAAAATCTCTCATCAAGTATGGAACACTTTCACTAGAATGTGGCGACACAATTCGTGACGAAGAACAGGATTTTGAAAAGTATTACTTCATTTCTATGGTAAGTGATTTGAGTTTATTTGCTAAGCAGATTAAAATCCTTTCAATTCACATCCATCTTGTAAATAATCCCCAAACACAACCTAACGAAAATCGATTTTCTTCTTCTTCCCACTTCAAATATATTTAGAAACACATTGCAAAGGGTAAAGATTTGATTGAAGCAGCAAGCGAATTGGACTCATTGAGAGATATTGGCGATAATTTAAATTCAGAATTAAAAGCTTACAGCATTCGTCTTGAAAGTTTACGTGAAAAGTTTGAAGGCGCTGCACGACTTCATCATTTATTAGCATTGAAGCTCAATGAAGATGACATTCAGAAGGAAATGGAAAAGCTCGCCGAAAAAATTGGACTTTCTAGTTTAATGCAAGACAAATTTAATAAAATGAAATCGAAGAAATCAACGGGAAAAATGACAATTACCACAACGACAATGATTACCACTAGTACACCAAAAAAAGAAAGAGAAATGACGTGTGACAGCTGCTATGGAGATTCTTTATTGATATCAAACTCCATATTGCCATCGATTGAAGAGTCACCGGAAAAGAAACTACTAGAGAGAGGTACAACAGCAGCGAAAGAAGAAAATAACTACGATGACGACGGTATTGATGAAGTAGAAGCCACAGCGATGACTTCGACGTCTAAATTGGTCGATGATTCTGGCTTGGAAACGTTTGACGATTCGTTCGAGATGAAAGATGATGATGAGAAACTTTTAAGGGCATGCTCGTGTCAGAGCATTGTAGATGATGCAACGTTGGCGTGTGATAACAGCCAGCATGATCATGACGATGCTGATTTGGATGATTACGATACAAGTGAAAATATTACCAGCATCAGTATAGATGAGACGACGAACAAAAGTGAAAGTCTTAACAATATTGCGACGGTTCCTTTGCAAGCGAACGCTCACCTGTATTGTCATGCGTCGAACTTACAATTGGATTTGGATGATAGTTTAATCGATCAGAAAACACAAAAGTAAGTCTTTGTTCCCATGATTTCTCCTTGCTTGCGTAATAAATTTATTTTATTAAATTTAATGTTGAATTGTTTTCCATTTTCGTTCAATTTCTTTTGTTTCTTTTCTTTATTTTTTATTTTCAATCCAAGGACGCTTCTTTTAATCATTCGGGAAATGATTGGAACGGAACGCGATTACGTGCGCTCGCTTTACTATGTGATTGATAACTATATGCAGGAATTGCTTCGAGAAGATATTCCGCAAGCTTTACGAGGTCAACGTAATGTCATATTTGGAAATATTGAAAGAATTCATGAATTTCATCAGCAACACTTTTGTAAGGAACTTGAGATGTAAGTTCATAATTAAGAGAAACTTCACATTATTTATTGATGATTGTTGATCGAATAAATTTCATTTTAATCATCAAGGTATGAACATCATCCTTTGAAAGTTGGCGCTGCTTTCCTTCGTCACGAACCAAAATTCTATTTATATGCGCTTTATAATAAAAATAAACCAAAAAGTGATTCGCTTATGAGCGAATACGGTTCATCGTTCTTCAAGTCAAAACAGATGGAATTGAAAGATAAAATGGATTTGGCATCGTATTTATTAAAACCTGTGCAACGGATGGGTAAATATGCGCTTTTACTTCAACAACTTATGAAGGCGTGTTCGAATATTCAATGTGCTGGTAATCAGGAATTAATCGAAGATTTGGATGAGTTGCAAAAGGCGGAAGAAATGGTTCGCTTTCAGTTGCGACATGGTAATGATTTATTGGCAATGGATTCGCTTAGAGATTGCGATGTTAATGTTAAGGAGCAAGGTCGATTGTTGCGACAAAATGAGTTTCTGGTATGGGAGGGACGGGGCGGTAAGAAGTCACTTCGACAAGTTTTCCTCTTCGAAGAGTTGGTGTTGTTTAGCAAAGCTCGTCGTTTTCCAGATAGAAAGGTTTGTTAATTATTTTATTTACATAAATCATGTTTAATTTATTCATCTTGTTTAGAATTTGGATATTTACATCTACAAGAACAGTATAAAAACTTCGGACATTGGCCTCACAGCATTCGTTGGAGATTCCCCAACAAAATTCGAGATTTGGTTCCGCAAGCGAAAGCCAGGCGATACTTGGACGTTGCAGAGTATGAATGAAGAAATCAAAAACACCTGGACCGATGAAATCTCGAAGCTGTTATGGAAACAGGCGAAAAGGAACAGAGGTAAGTAATTAAGTTTCTTTAATTGCTTGCAACAAATTTTCTTTATTTTGTTTTAATCGTCAGAAATTCGCATGGCAGAAATGTCTTCAATGGGAATCGGCAGTAAACCGTGTTTAGATATTCGGCCAAGCTGCGATCAAATCAACGATCGTTCCATTAGTTTCTCACAGTTGGGAAAAGGTAAGAGAAGAATTGTTTCGCTGTCGATGAATAATCGAATCAAAATTTCTTTCCTTCTCTTTTCTCTTCTTCACACTCAACAGCTCCGAAGTTCCGCAATTCTTTTGTTGGTGCTTTGCCTGATATGAAGTCATCTCGTCGTCCCAATTCAATCATTTCCCTAAGTTCATCAGCATCTTCAGGTGGCTCATCAGTGTCGTCTTCAGCTACGTGCAACAAGACGTCAAATGAACACAGCGATGAATCTGAACGAAATCAAGCGAACTGTCGCGAATCACAGAAAGACAAAAAGACTTTGAAGCAAGAAAAAAATGTGCCATGTAAATTTAAATATTCACGCTCCACGACTGTTGTGAGTCAATGCTCGACAGGTAAAATGCGCTTGACATTTTGACAGAAAAACGATGCTCATCTTCATAAACTATTTTACTTTTTCACACAGAAAGTGGAATACTCGCTGACTTTTCATCGTTGAGTCCCGAAGAATGTCTGGAAAACCCGCTGTGGCCGTCATCAGCTCATTCAGTTGTTTCGCTGAAAAAGTCAAACAGCATTTTAACCTCGGTCTCAGCATCATCAGGCGCTTCAGTTTCGACAACATCTTCATCATCATCATCATCAACGAGCTTTGGTAAGAAAATATCATCGCCATCAACACTCGTCACGACATCGTCTTTAAAATCTAAGAAAGCTGTTGAGAATGCTGACAAGAAATTTAAATCTAACAGCAACTCAAGCATCTCAGATGCTTATCTTAACGAGAATAATGTTACCGTCCACTTGTAAGCTTTTTATTACCTATTTAATTTCTTTCCATCACCACCCACACTCAAACTGAAACCTGAAACTTTTTGTACAAGAAATAAATCACAAATTTCACTTTTTATTTCGATACTTCATCCTTAATTGAATATCTCGATGAGAAGATGAAGCAAACATAAAATATAAATGAAGATGAGTAACTTAGTATACCTGACAAGCTTGTATTTGTATTGTTAAGATAACATTAAATTAGCTTTCGATATAGTTCTTTATATAACTTAAGAAGATATGAAGAAGTACCCACAATTGGCCATTAAATTCATTAAATATCTAAGATATTTACAAATTATCATCGCGTTACTTTTCAACTTTAAAGATAAGCCTTAAACATTTTTTTTATTTATCATTTACCAGTCTAAATATTCAACGTGATTTGTTGCATTAAAAATATTTATAAACATTTTTATTTTATCTTCTGACGAAAATCTTTCATAAATTAAGAAATTCTAGTTTAACAATTTAATTTTGATTTAGATAGAATTTAAGTCTAAAGTTTCTATAATTTTACATAAGATTGATGTATGATTAATTGAAAGTGTTAACAAGAAGAAAATACAAAAATAATTAATAAAGAGAAAGAGAGAGAGAGAGTATTTAATGAACTTATTTATATATTTATTTGTAAAGTTGCGTAACAGAAGCGTGTGGATTTATTTCAGAATTTCCAAGAGTTTCACTTTATATCTTAAGTTTCTGATCAACATTTCTTGCAGCATTCTTTATGTCTGTTTAATGTTGCTGATGAAATCAACTTTTGAAACGAGGCATGAGTTGAACGAGAAGCGTCGGAATGAGAATTAAAACCAAACACGGACCGGTCATCAACGCTTATTGGAGACTAACAGGTGTAAAGGAAAAATGTAACAGTTTGACAAAAATCTCCATGTCCACTTCTTGCGACAGCAACAAGACAAGCTTAAAGCAACGACATGAAGCATTTTTAAGAAAAGTTAATTTAATCGATTTCTTCTTGTGGACTGTTGTGACCGTTAAACATTATCGAGCCAATTTCGTATCTCAATTTAAGCGTTTAAGGAAAAGTTGAACTTCACTTTCGCTTTAATGAAAAGAATGACTCGAAACGCGATTTTTTTAGGCTTTTTTTATTTGTGTTGGAAAACACGAGAAAATTTGATTCACTTATCTTAAGTTTCAGATTTGGCTTTATTAATGGCTTTATTGAATATCTTCATTGAATCACGTAAATTGGTGAAGAGTTGAGATAATCCTTTGAATAATTAATAACTAACAATCACTCTTCTCCTTAACTTTATTGGCTTTCTTTAAATCGTGTTGTGTGTGATAAAAAGAACTCTTTAAGTATCCGATTGTCTCTCTTTCCCCGAAGTTTTCTTTTCATTATTATTACAACAGCAAGTCTTAAAAACGAAACAAAAGCGTCTTTAGACGATTCAAAGATTTCGAAGCAGTTCAATAAATTTTTATTTTTTATTGTTTGTTGTTCATTTCTTCTTCTCACTTTTTTTTATTTATTTTTGTTATTTATTTATTGAATTGAAAGTAAAAGTTTTCAACTTTCGTTCCCTATTTGAACTTTGCTTGCTTCTTCTCGCTTCTCCTTTACAAGCGTTGATATTTTATTTAATTAATTTACCGTCCAATAAACAATCAAAACGATGAAACAAAAAATATTGTCTTGACTTTTGTTTGCTTATTGAGTACGACAGGAAACTGAAGTAGAAATGGAAGTTGATTAGAGATTTCCATCCAGGGTTAAGATGAATGAGAGAGCTTGTGATTGAAATATAAAAAGCCGCTTCTTTTGAACAATTGATTACGACAACCGACAATCGACAAGGTCAAGAAAGCGAAGCTCACGAAACCCTGCACAAGTGCCAACATACAAAGGAATAACGAGCTGTGCATAAAACTTTGACCTTAAGCTCATTATGCATCGAGATTTATAATTTTCCGCTTCATTAAATCTCTTTCTTCGTTCATTTCTCATCGATAATTTCAGTAATCTTGTTTAATTCGAACCATCAAGTCGAATTTTCATTGCTGCGTTTTGAAAGATAATAAAAAAAAGTTGAAAGAAATGTCTGGCGCTGAGAAGGAATCAACTTTTACAAGCTCAGGAAGCTCGCAATATCAGAAAATGAATTTCGATGATGTCACTGTCGAGCATAATTGCATTTTGTCAGGTGAATTATTCTGAATTGAATCTTTCGTTCAATTCTTCCACTTCAACAATCTTCTTGTTAAAAAGATTCAACGAAAATCATTGAAACAAACAACAAAATTATTCAGTCGCTTCTCCTTCTAATCATCATTTGGCGAGAACATCCATCAACGAAAATTTACTTTAAATCGAAGGAATCTGTGAATAAGGAAATTATACGTCACATGACCAGCAATTACCGCTTCATAATTCATCCATACAGCAAGCTCAAGTAAGTGTTTCATAAATTTTAATGTTGAAAGTCTTTGCCACGCAATTTACATGTTTGCAATTGTATTTAACATAAAATAGGTTTTATTGGAGCTCCGTCATGGCTATCGTTAGTTTTTTACTGTTTTTTCACTTACCATTCGTTTATGCATTCCACAAAGACCTTCGCAATGAAAACTGGTGCATCATTATCGGCAGTGTACTCAACACATTCTGCATCTTCGATCTCATCTTCAACTTTTTCACTGGCTTCAAGACAAAATATGCTAATTTCATTGTCCTCCATCATGGTTCAATTATTCAGTTAATTTAATCACTTTTCCGATAACCTCGGGATGAATTTCGATTTCATGAGATTGATTTTCATTCTTTTTTTCTCATAACAGAAAATATATGCGTAGCACGTTTTGGTTTGACTTTTTATCGTCATTACCTCTCGATATTGTGCACAGGTTGTACATTGAAGACACTTTTTGTGACGAATCTGAAGAGGTTTTCAAAGCTTCTACTTTCCATCTTGCATTTCTGATGAAGTTTTTACGTTTCACTTCAATTCTGAATATAATGAAAGGGTTGAGTGATCTGATGGCAGTAAGTTCGTGATTGCTATTTAAGACGCTTACTTAGTAAAATTTTCCTTTATTTAAGAACATCAAATTAAGCTACGTGACATCGAGAATAATCCTACTCGTGCTTAAATCCATACTGTTCGTTCATTTAACTTTATGCACATACAAAGCTGTCGCTTCAAGCATGTTCTACGTATGAGAAGATAAATAACTTAATTTTCTACTCCATTGTGTTAATCGCCTTTCCATTACTCCATTACACCAGTACATTTACGAAAAGAGAGAAATCTCCGACAGCATCAGCTTCATCTTAAATCGCAATGTTAATTACAAGCACAAATATCTTGTTATCTTAGAAGTCGTCATTCTTGCACTTTTCGGAACAGTAATTAATGTTGATTTTCATAATTTCACTCTGGGAAAATTTATCATCTCGTTATGCGCTATTGTGGGTGTCACATACAACATTTATCTCTTGGTCGAAATTCTCAACATCATCAAAACCATTCAAGCACCACGATCAAAGTATTACGAAGTTATAAATCAACTTGAAGCCTACATGCAAAAGAAACAGTTTCCCATGCGTCTTCAGAATCGTTTAAAATTTTTCTACGAGAAGAATTTCAGGAAATCTTATTACCGTGAAGATAAAATATTTGAGATTTTGTCAGGTTAGTAATAGTAAAACTGCAGATAGTTTTATTTAATTGAATCCTAGGGCTGTCTGTTGGTTGAATGGAAAATTTACTGAAATGACTGAAATGTGTTAATTGAAACCATGAGAAGTTGAGTCAGAGACATTCAAATGTGTTTTCTTTTTATCTTTTCTTCAGAGCCACTTCAACGTGAAATTATCATCAACACGAACCAACTGTTTGTAGAAAAAGTTAAACTCTTTCGAAATGTATCAAGAAGTCTTGTCACAAAAATCGCTGGAAGTTGCAAGTGTGAAAAGTTTCTTCCCAATGATTTGGTGAAATTTATTTTCATTACAATTTTGAATTTACAATTTACAACAACCAGATTTGAATCGACGTAGATATGTTTCAGATCGTTAAGGCGGGTTCAGTTGCTGATTGCATGTGTTTCATAGCTTCGGGAACTGTTTGTGTTTCAGCGACAAATGGAAGGGAGTTGTGGCACTTGGAAGACGGAGATTACTTTGGAGAAGTTGCATTAATTCTGAGAAACAACCAGGTAAATGAAGAAGAATTTAAAACTTTTGATTAATGGTGCAGTCAGTGAAAATTTAATGTTCTTTGCTTACAGCGAGTTGCTAACGTCACAGCCATTGAATTTTGTGAGATTTTTATTCTCGATTACGCCAAATTCAAGAAATATGTGACAACTAATGAGACAATTATGCAAAATTTGACTGAAACTGCAGATTTACGTTTGAAATTGATGCTCCTGGCTGAAGAAGAACAGAGAAAAAGTTTATCATGTTGGTTTGCTTTGAAGTAAATCGATTAAAAATAATAAAAATATTTCATATTCTCCTTCATTATTTATTTGACGTTTCACGAAAACAGAAGTGAGAGAGAAAGAAAATTTCTTACGAACTTAATTCAGATTGAAAAATTTCTTATAAAAACAACGTTACATAAAATTTCAGTATGTAGACAGTGGACTGTCGATCTGTGTTTGAGAAGCAATCAAGAAATTTCCAATTCCAACTATTGAAAGTTCACTGTAATTGCTCGCAAAATTTACTGTGATGAAGCGTCCCTCATCGGCGACTTAATTACTTTTTCTTGCATCTTCTTCCTCCTTCTTTAGTTACAATGAGAACCGCAAGCTACTCAATATTTCTAACACTTCAAATCGTAAAAGGAAATGAAACGATGCCACGTTTCGATTAAATTACTTTTTTTTATTTTCAATTCTCACTGTTTCTCGCTTTGTTTTTGGCGGTTTCCGTGCAAATTCATTTGGTAAGATTCTTCGTCTCTTGTTTTATAGTTCAGACTCAGACAAAGTGATTCTTTCACCAGCAACCGCATGAAATTACTTAAATGAAACGGCGACCGATACAATGCAAAACCAAAGAATTTTTCAATTTTCATTAAAATACTTTTTTTGCCGATAATTTCGGGATGTGACACAACAAAGTTCTTTCAATTCTCATCGTTCCCGATTATTAATGTTAATGTTGAAAGATAAATTATCTTCCATCAATACTTCTTGAAAATGAAAATATCATTTTCAGCACATGCAAAGCCGCTTTCTACTCGATTACTGATTAACTTTGAGTAACAAATTAGCGTGCATTAATTATTGACTTCTTCAGTTCTTCGGCGCACAGCTTCACCAAACAAGCGAAACATTCTTCTCTCTCAAAACGCGGTAAAACATGCAACGAGTGCATTTAACATAAATAACTTATTTAGGTTAAAGTCAATTCTCGATAATTTGCAGTTTACTTGTATTAAAATAATAAAAAAGAATAAGGAGAAGAAACAACTTCTTCGACTTCATTGCCTTCATCATTAAATTGGTGTACCGGTTAAATTTTAATATGAAATGTGCTTAATTAAACGTCAGAGAAGAAAAGTTGAAAATTTTAAAAATGAGTAAAACAAACAACTCACGAAAAATTAATGAAAATGAGCTCAACTCAGTTCAGCTTATCTGCCTTAGTTTGAGTTCGTGAAGGCAACAGAAAAGTGAATTGTAAGCAATCAAATATGATAAATTTGATGCTTTAGCATGGCAGCTTTTTTCGATTAAGATCTCAGGGAGCGAAAGTCAGCAAATTTATTACTTCTGAATAGAACCGGACTTTCAGAAAGGATTATAATGTTAAAATCATCTTTGCACTTTGTGCACGTTTAAATAAATAAATATCTAAGAATTGCATTTTATTGCTTCTTTCACGAGATATCTTCGTTTGTAGAAATAAGAAATAAGCTTAAGTGTAGCTCAAGTAGTCATAAAAAGAAATCTTTTTATGCATTTTACTATCAGGAAGAGAACGATTCCTGTTTGACGACCACCATGAGATGAGATATTTTATATCCAATCAATGTCTACGATGGCATAAGAAATGTACTTACAGTTGACAACTCATTTTCACACTTTGAAACTTTCTTTAAGCTTCAATGAAAAATGATTTCGTTTAATAAAAGATTTAAATGCCCGAAACAGATGTGAAAAGTTTCTGTGTACATATTGAAGATCTTCTAACTTTCGTTCCATGTTTAGGAATATCAAATATCGCGAAATAAGAGTGAAAGTCATTAAAAAAACTTTGCGATGCCCAGAAGGAGAAAGAGAAGAAAAAAACTGATTATTTGATCAAAGCACCGGTTGATTGAGTAAATATTATTAAACTTCCTCTGTCTACATTTAGTCGGAATTTTTCTTACAGTTTATGAATTTATCATGACGAAATATTTGACGAAAGTATGTGAAACGCCTGTTATGGATGGAATAAAAGGAAAATTTCTTGTGAAAAATGTAGATGAAGAAGGAAATCGATTCAGTGAATTGATAGACTGATGACAGCCTTCGTTTCGAATCAAAATGTCGAGGAATATGAAAAGAATTGTTCAGATCATCGTAAGACACAACAATGTAAGTTAATCACATTACTTAGTCGCTCTGTTAAACATTCAATTTGCGTAATGATATAACACAATCAATCATTTCTCAGTTTTACGAAGCTCATGTGAAATGCAATCGCCAAAAATTCAGATGTATTGATTGCGATTGTGTCTGAAGTGATGCTGTAAACTGACTTAATTATAATTGTGATTATTTCGATCATTTTTCATCGCATTACAGGAGGTTTATTACAGATTTTTGCGAGTGCAAAATCTCTCATTTCAGTCATGTTTTGCACCAGCTCAACTGCTGCTAAATACAACTGAAATCAATCAAGCTGTGGTAGAAAAAGTTTTCGCTTCAGTATCATTAATATAAACTTCATTACTCTTTCTATTTTTATTTTTTGCAAACATAAACATGGCTTTGATAATTTCCATAACACGGCGTAACATGTGAGCTGTTCAATTTATTTCACCAGCAATAAAAAGTGCTTTTCATAACTTCCGATTTTCTATCTCATTACCGAAATCTCTTCGCTTGTTTGTCGTTACATGCTTTCGCGTCAATGTTGCGCGTGGAGTCGACGTCTCTTTGCGAAAGATAGAAAGAGTCGCAAATCGTTAAATATTGAAGAATGTTGATCAGAAATTGAAGTCAAATCATTAGTTTTCTTTCACACTCTTTCTTTGTGCATGTTTTGACAACAGACGCCGACAAATTGGACGTTAAGATGTTTCATCTCAGCTTGCTGCAGCTTTTAATTAATGCAAATGACTTTCAAACTGTCGGAATTATTCAAAACTTTTATTTAAACGTTCGCATTAAGATAAGAAATTTATAAAAATGAATGATTTTTCATCATATCGGCGAAGTCAAGATCACCAACGCAAAAGTGAGCAGCGATTAATCATTTTTATTATCTTTCTTCACGTTACGAGTGATTAAGATATTCGATACATTTTGAAAGCTTTTCGTCTGTTGTTGTTTTAACATGTCGTGGATTCCAATATTTCACGTGATTTTTGTGGGATGAATGAGGCAAATTGAATTTTATGTTCATCCTTCAACTTCATTCCGTTTCCAATTTTACCACCAAACATTCACTAGAAAGAAACTTTAATAAATCCGAACTTCACGTTATCACTCAAACGTGATTTAATCCAATAAAAAATTCCCCCTATGAAGCATAACGTGAGAAAGCAATTGACAGACACAGAGTGAAGTCGCCATGTGAAAACGAAGAGACTCGTCTTGAGTTATGAACATAAAACTCTAACACGTCGCATTCCATCAAGCGAGGGCGAAAGAAAATTATGAATTTGTGCAAAGCAAAGCAAAAATAAACTTTCACTGAAATCGATAAAAAGAGGATTAAAAATATATCAAAGCGATTGAATGTCAAAGAAAAATGAGTAAAATTTTTCTACCGAATGCTTTTCGGTTGATTAATCAAGCAAACGCTAATATATTGGAAACTTTATCTTAATCCCCCTCCGAATAGTTCTCCTGTGAGACAAGTTTATGTGAAATTTTTAGTACGTGATTTGTTTTCAATTTATTTTCATACTGAAGAAATACGTGCGATGATGAAGTTCCAGCTAACCATCAATAAATAATTCATTGCGACGACGACTCTTCAAATATCTTCTTTTGACATCCGAAAAATGCTTCCTCTCGTATTTTAAATCGTCGGTCATCGATCGCTACTAAACCTTGTCATTATCCACAGATTCACATCACACAAACTATCATTACATTGAATGACAACGCGAAAGTCAAGATCTGTGTCCATTCAGTTAATTAGTCACTACTAATATGATGTATTAATGAAACCTTTTTCTGGCGCTTCACTCACTTCACTTTCATTCACGTGTGATCCAATCCCATCTCAATTGTCAAAACACATCATCAGAATTGATGATAAAAGAAGAAAGAAAGAAAGAAAAAAAAGTATCGAAATTCATACTGTAATTATAATTTCCGTGAAAAGGTGAAGAAAGAAATTCAAAATAAAATGAAATGATTTGTAAGACAATATCATATTCGCCCCGTGATTCTCGCTCTCTCATAATTTCTACACCGCACCGCGACGTCTATGATCACACGATATAGATAAACATAAGAAATAAATTCGAAAGAAAAAAAAAGCAAAGCTAAAAGCGTATTGAATGAAAAGAAAAGTTTTTTATAATCAGCGATTGCGCTAGCTGAGATTGAAGGGTCAGAGCTGCGTTGAAAGTAAAACTGATTTTCTTCTTTCCTTATGTGACTCGCAATGTTGTTGTTTTTAGCAGTCAATTAAATGCCATAAACATTTTTGATTCTTTTTTATTTCTATTTATGTGTTTCTTTTTTTGACCGCCGTGCGAACACCGATGGTGATGATGACGTCGACATGATGAAAGAGAAATTCGTATCAGGCAGGAGTGAAAAGGGCAGCAACCTATCAACAAAGAGCCATGCTACGGAATATCTTTACTTGCGGAAATCATTCGAATTCGGAAAGAAATGCGTCGACATTGACTTGACATTGAATGTCATGTTATTGCGTCCCAACATGGTTCATGATTTTTTATTTTTTTATTTCACTTCGCTTCAAAAAGCGGCGGATCGTCTTTTTGCGACATTTTTATCTTTAAACTTTAATTTCATTTTTATGTCTGATCATTGTGCAAATGAATTAAAACAACAAAGTTAAAAAGAATCAAAACATGGAGAAATTGCAAATCAATGTGATGTCAGTGTGAAGAGCGGCGACATCGGCCGATCATTACAGCAAATGACGAGTGAATGTCTCAGAAAAGTTGGAGAAATTTATTTATTTCATTTTTCAATTTAATTGATAACGATGTTATTGACTACAATGTGACTTTAATGGCTTATATTTGCTTGGATTAAATAATTTTTGCTTGTCGGCGGCAACCTTGTGATAAATGAAATTGATCGTTTAGTCGACCGATTTGCAATCACTTCGCATTAATTTTTCAGGCTTAAAATTGATAACGTTTCAAGTATTTAATTTCACTAACTTCCAACTAATCCCCTTGCTTGTAAAATTTAATTGAATCTTCTTACTTAGCTTAACGTTTAAATAAGAAACGAACAAATTGATTCATATTTACGTAACTTTGACTTCTGAGTTGAATAAATCAAGAAGACGTCCTTCAATTCCATTTCTCAGCGAATTGTCCAAACCCAAAATTATTATGCAATGATCGAACGTTTCTTCAATGTAATCTCACTCGATGGATGTAATTTTGATCTCTTTTCACAATGCTTTTCCCATGCATAGTAAAATGTATTTAGTCGAAAGAAAGGCCATTTTTCATTTCCGCTGTTACAGATTTATTGCATTGATTTTCATGTTGCAAGTTTTACGACGTTGTTGGTTGATGGGTGGAGGCATTTTGTTAATCAAATAGCTCGTAATTCGTCATTTCTTTTCTTGCTAACTCGATGAATGCCTCGTAAAGGCTTTGAATATAAAGTGTTACGTTAACTGTCATAAATGCCACCGAATCTTTTCATAAATTATTATTAAAAAATCATTAAGTCAAACGATTTAAATAACAATCTTTGCAAGATATGGAAACTCGAAAATCTATGTTGGAAAATTTTAAAATGTTGCAATTAAATCTCTTCAACAATCTATCTGAAATGTCACACAATCGAATTTGTTTATCTTTAGCACACAAGTTGCAAATTGCATTGTGAACAAGCCACACATGAAAGTGAAATGAATGATTAAAAGTAATTCCTTATAATGCACGGAAACGTCGGTTGAAATGTGAAGTGAGATTGATTGAAACTGTAGCTAGATATGTGTTTAGTAATCTTCAATCACAAACTCTTTTCTCGTTCACTGTAGCTGCTGCTGCTGTTTTATATTGTTGGATGATTAAATGTTTGTTCAAATTGACGAAAAGATTTCCATAAGAAATTGGAATGTTTGTTGATCCGACTTAAAAATAAATGCAAAAATGCTTCATTATTAATTCGAAGAGCGACCAATTGATAAAGCTAGGAGAAAAGTAATAAAAATAATAATAAGCTTGACATTGATACGTATCAACATTTCTCATTTCATAATGATTCACGTCGTCGTTGTCGATAGAAAAATCTTGGAATTAAATAAAACTTGTTATCACAAAATCCAAAAACGTGAATGAATGTTGAATGAAATTTGAAATCGGATGAAAGATAAATGAGCAGTTTATAACAAGCGGCCATCAACAGCTTTTAAAAGACGACGAAATGGAAAATAGATTTTTATCAAAATAAGAAGAAAAAAAAGCCTCAGCGATTTATGAACTTAACTCTTAGAGCACGAACAAGGAACATTCGATGAGCGCTTTGATTGAAATGCTGACAAAAAAAAGTGCAAGTGAATACATGGAAATTTCTATTCAAGCAAACGAAGATAGAGCGAAGCAAGTTTTCTTGATTAAATTCATTTTTCAACGTCAACGCATGCAGATTGAAAATCGTTTTTCTAGCGATGGTCATAAATTCTCAAAGTTCACCATTCAACGTGACTAAATGTATTTTTAATGTTGCACTCAACATAAGCCGCGAGAAGTTGCAACTCGCAGTGTAAATTCATATTTTACGGCTTGCACTACAATTCGCCTCCGTTATGAGAAACGATTTTTTCTTTTAATTGAGCATTCAACTTCCTTTACACTTCTGTCTCGCGACTCGCGACCAGAAGAAATGGCCTCTTAACATTGTTTATCTTTGTAATGAATGTTCATCCACAAGTCAGCTCCGCTTGACGTTTTTTTCCTGAAGGTGCAAGTTTAAGGTGTCATAAAATAAATCTTTCCGGTTACGAGAGATAACGGACTTTATTAAATCGACTTTTCTCAGGCTTCTGACAATGCTTCATATGGATTGGATTTATATTTATAGAAATTCATTTAAATAAATTTCAAAATGTCTTCAGCCCCGAGCTAATGTTAAATGAATTGAATTAATCTCTTTTGATTTTGACCTTTGCGAAGAGGAAATGAACCTTTGAATCACGCAAGAGTTGAGAGAACTTTTGCAGCTATCAGGAAATATTTTCGGCGATAATAAAAAGTTCTTCTTAAACGACACAACAAGCGAAGCTCTCACGAACAATTTTCGCGTGAGTTATGATGATTCATTAAAATAAGGAGAGGAAAAAGTAAGTGTTTTTGCATTCATAAATTCCAGTCAAATTGGAGGGCAAACGAAAAATAAAAAAGGCAGAGACACAACAATGGACCGACGTTCAAAAATGAAAATTACCGCACCAATCAACTCGATACAGTTAAATAAATTCTTTTCCCTCTTTTTCATTTCTCTTGTCTCAGGAGATTTGCTTGCTTTCAAATAAAAGAATGTTTGAAGTTGAAATGAAATTATGTTAATAAATAACTGAATTCCGATTCCAAAACGCTTAATGAGATCAGACAATCTTGAGTCGAACGATGAAAATGTCGAGCGACAGAAAAAGACCTTTCCGAGCGGAATCCGTTATGATTTTAATCGTATCTCTTTGAAAATTACCTCACCGTCGACTGCTTGCAATAAATATTTAAGTCGATTGATACTTTCTAACCCAAAACCATCATCATCAATTGACATGTTTCATTATAGCGAGAGAGCTGACGAAAAGATTTAATAAGAACATGAAGCTAAATGCTTTAATTAATTTATTTATTTATTTATTTGTTATGCAACTCTTCTCTCTCCATTCCTTACTTGTTTGAGTCAAAGCTGTTAGTCAGTTGTTCAGCAAATCAAGTGCATTCATTTAAATGGAAGAAAGCAAAGTTATATTGACATGAACAGGAGAAATATTTAAATACATAATTGACCATAAAATCGTTGACGACATGTAAGTATTGGGCATAAAATCAATTTCAGGTTGGTTGTTTGGTGCAGTCAAGCCTGGCTTGCTTCCAACTATTTTTGTTTTTTGTTTTTGTCAGAGTGAAAAGAAAATTTAAGCCTTTGAGGCTTTTTAGGCGATTAAAAAGTGAAATCATGTAATTGAATCCCTTTGTGACTCCTTAAGCAGTTTTAAATTGATTCTTAAAAGTAGTTGAGTGTCGTTTGACAGTCGACATTATAAGTCAACGAGCTTTTAATTCACCTCAACAAGTGATTGCAAAAACGTTCAATGTTATTTATTGATCGAGATCATGAGCTCAAAACATAATAAAATTATGCTTTAAACCAACTAATGAGTCATATTGTTAAATGTAACAGTTGATAAGCGAGGTCATTGGAATGAACGGAAAGAAAACTTTTCTACTTGACAATTGATGCACTTTACGGTTTTTAAAATCATTTACAAGAAGAAGTTAATTGTTTGACCTTTTACGGGAAACTTTATTGATTTGTTCAATATTCAATCAATTCCACGCTGATTAAATGACAAAACGAAGAGAATTGAATCAAAAAAAAGTATTTCGGACATGAATTCCAGTCGGACATAAATAACTTTCATTTAAAAGAATTAATGTTTAATGCGTGCACAAAAATGTTTCCAGTCGCATCTTTTTTTCTTTTATTCATTCATTTATTATTTATTTATTTTTTTCGCTTTTTATTGATGTGATTCGAAATGTTTTCTCGCCAAATACGCGCAAAATTTAATGACCGAACATCGATTGTAGTCTGTTGTTACTTTTTTGTTTTAACGAAACATCGGTTTCTCAATTTGTTGCGTTTATGGTGCCATAAAGTGTCAAAATTTATTTTTTGTTTGCCATTGAACTCTGAAGGGCTGAATGTGTTAATACATAAATATCAGTTGTGCAAGTTTATGATTTGGAGAAGCTTCGGAAGGCAGAGAAAAGCAACTCAAAGCTTCAATTATTTCCTGCATCAGAAATTGCACTTAGATCAATCGAGCGATGAGCTTAAATTATTTACGATGCAACTCAATAACCTCTCACGTTATAACAACGTCCTACATGAATCACGACATCAAGAACGATTTTCATAATAAGCTTTCATGTCAAAGACATGACGATTTCTTCAAACTAATTTAGGAGATTTATTATGAAACCAAATGACATTTCGTTACTTCTTAAAATCAGTTTTGAACTTTTCATTGTTAAATTGGGAAATAGTTTTAGAATTTCCACGAAACTTTCTCATCTTAAATGAATGAACATGGCAAGAAGTCTTTTGATGCTTCGCAATTCGCAATTCATTTCTCTGCTACAAAGTGAACATTAAATTATCATTTTTTTCTTATTAATGAAACAAATGGCAAGCTTCGTAATAACACAATTGTAAGCAGTGAAAGTAAAACGACAATGAATATGAAAAAATATTAATTTCTGATGATGTCGTGCGATTGTTTCTAATGGCTTTTGAAACAATTTCATTGCATCATCTTGAAAGTGCGTTGTGATGTTGATTCATTCATAACAAATAAGACAATGTTTCGGAATAGTTTAAAAAGATCAACGAAATCCTACCTTGAACTGAAAGAGTTATTGAGAGAGCTTTGTGACTCATTCAACCCGCAAAAGTAATGGTAACAATCTTCTAAGCAATTTTATTATTTACTCTAAGTAAAGTTCAATGATACGATCTCCAAAGCATGTGTGTGACTGACTTAAACTGAACAGAGACTGGGAAAATATTTCGTGTTGATTCATAAGTAGAACCAAAATTGTCTTATAGCGCACCGAAATTTTTTTCTCCTTTTCGCTTTATTTCATTTCAACGACGTTAAATGTCTACTCACAGAATGATTTAGGACAAAGTACAAGTAAAAATCGTGTTGCTCATGATTCACTTCACATACGTCAAGCATTCTGTTCTCTATAAGTTTTGAATCATGTCGCGAATGTTAGGAAATCTTAACTTCCAACACTTCATTCAGCTTATCGACCTCACATAAAAGTTTTGTTGCGCAAAAAAACAAGTCAACTTTTATTCGATAAAAAAGAGCTTAAGCTTCTTGAATTAAATAAAATGAAAAATGGTTAACAATAGGGCAGTAGTTACAGTCTTTACATGCTATGAAAATGATTTACCATTTATAGGCTCACAATCGTTTGCCATGTTATAACAATACTTAAGTTAATAAAAGCCAACTTTCTTATTACATTTAATGTGTGCATAGCTGCTAGAGATCGAAGTCAAGCAATTCATGCTGAGTTGAAATCCTGATTGAAATTAATTTCAAAGCAATCTTAACTAATTTTTATTGCCTTTCATTGCTTGTTTGAGTATTAAAACAATATTTACTTAAGCTAACCATATGTAATAAAATCAGCAACTTTATGAACTCTTTTCTTTTATTTATTTTTAGCTATTTAATCTAACAAAGTTGGAAGAATATTTGTTTTTTTTCTTATTGATATGCAGAAGAAAGAAAGGATTCGGACAAGTTTATCGAGTATAAAATTAATATGCAAACACATTGTAAACTGTGAATAAAGAAGAAAATGGAAAACAAATATCGAACGATTCAACATGTTGAAAATTAATGAAGTGAAAACAAGATTTTTCATGTTTTTCTTTATCGATTTGTTATTAAAGACAAGATAGAGAGAGAAATGGATGACAATTTGTTATAATTAGTACACGCATAAAAATACTGTACGCGTTTTAATGTGCCGTGTAGCAATTTGCAGCCGTGTGCCCGTGTGAAAAATTATTAGATTTAAGTCTCTTGTAGATTTTTTCTTTCTTTCTTTACATATTTTTATAGAGTCATTACAATGATAATTATCTGCTATTAAACATTTCTCTGCTAATTATCAATTAACTTCAAGATAAGAACTGGGAAGTTTTTATAGTTTCTTAATAAAAAGAAAAGACTTTGAGTTTATACTTTCTGTCCTTATCTCATTTAAAAAGTTTACGAACAAAATTTTATTACAATCGTGTAGGTAACAAAAAAAGCATTTCATGATTTAGCAGCTAAGAAAAAGAAAAATTTAATAAGCAACAAATATCGAGAGGGTCGAGACGGTTGTCTTATCACGCTAGCTACCGTACCGCACAATCCGCAAGTGGGTTCAAACTTCATTCAACAAATATTCTCATAATGTCTCAATGTTACGTTGAAGTATTTTCTAACAATTACCAAGCACTTTCATGGGAGTCATTTCTATGAATATCTTTGAACAGTAGCATAACTGCGAAAAAAAAGAGCTTACTAAGTAAGTTAGTAGTCGCACGGGAAAATAAAACTTGAGATAGATAAACAAATTATGGCACAATTTACATAATCGCAAATGAATTAGTAACGTTGGATGTTTGTTTCACTGCACTCGATGTTAATTCCAGAGTTGGTAGTTTGAATTGGCACTGATCACAGCCATTAAATCAAAGGGGAAATTTATTTAATGATGCAGTCGTTTAATTGATCAACTTCACACTGCTGGCAAGTTTAAAGCACCCTCTCGACATTCATTCGAAGAAGCCGCCTTTATGATCAAGAAAATATGATATGTGCAATGAGTTTTAAATGTAGACTCAGCTATTACATTTAATTGAATTAATTAATCTTTTTTATTTTATTTTATGTGCTTCTATGTTATTTAGTAAAACATTAGACGCTCTTGTATTGAATTAAGTTAAATTAAATTAAAAACGAATTGCTGTTCTTGTGTGCTGATTGAGATTTCCTGATGTGCTGTGAATCAAGTTAGAGCAAGCAATAAATCAATCAAAGAAATTGAAAAAGTGAGATGAATATCGATGAGCACTCTTCAAAGTATTCGATTTTGTGCTTGAAATGTCATAAATCTAACCGCTGAACTTGAAGATTCAAAGAGTTCTGTTTCGATTTGATTTTTATTATTTTTTTTGGCAAAGACTTTCTTTTTCACTCACGTCAAATCTTTTTATGGATCTATAAGCGATTTACAAGTTTTGAAAAGCATTTAATGTCGATGATTATCAATCAGTATGGAGATTGGTTTGAAATAAGAAGTTTTTCGTTTTCTTTTTCTTTTCCTATGAGTATTTTCGGTTAAAAAAATTAAGGTCAGTGTCAATAATATCGACAGTGCCATTCGTTGCCAGCCTTTCTGTCTTCTTCTCCTTTTTATGAATGTAATAAATTTGTGAAACTGGTCAGAGTTGAAGCTCGTTTCATATAAATCTTTGATGGATTACAGCTCTTCATGAATGAGAGATTTTTTCACTTTTCACTCTTTTTTCATTTCACATGGAAGCTTCAAGATTTGTCTTAAAGTTAAGATAGAAATGGGTCGTGGTAAATATTCCATTATAATAAAGTGTAATAAAAGCAGCTGGAGTTCTTGAATTTGAGACATCATTTCCATCAAGGAAACATTAATTATCCCATTTCAGCTCTCAAGAATTTATGGCTATGTAAATAATGCCTGACAAAGTGTCTACGCTTCTTCATTACGCAAGCAAAAAAGTTTTCTTTCTTTAAGCTTTTGTCGGACATTCTTACACACGAAATTCATGTTTGTTAATTAATTAACTTAATACCGTACGTGATTTGGAGGAGAAAGTGGTTGGTTGAAAGGGAACACGCATATGTTGTTAATTTAAATTTTTATTGTGCAATTTTATAAACATTCAAATAAGTTTTAATGGTGGTAACAAATCAACTTAACTCTCTTTCATTGACTATGAATTCTATTTACTTTTATTTATTTTTAACATTCGCATAAAGATCAAAACTTGCATACAAATTTAGCAATTTCTAGATAAATTTCATTTGGCGCCGACTGTTAAAAGTTCAACTATCTATAAATTTATTCGATGAAAAAAATTGTTTCATTTCACAATGGAAATAAATGAATGAAATGAATTTAAATAGAGTGCAAAAATCCGCCCACGAGCTAAGCAGATAACAAACAAAGTTCAACGTTTTGAATAATTTATGAACTTTATGGAGCACTTTTCTATTTCCCATTGAATTGAAAGTGAAAATCAAATGAGATCTTTAACTTGCTTTTTAAATGTTTATTTAGCATTTAATCGACATCTTTTTAAATGTTTTTTTTTTTTGGGCAAGATAGAAATTTACGTTGGCTCATTGTTACAATTACTTTGAGGCTTTGCTACTTAACATCAAAGAAACTATCTCGTGAATCACTTTTTTAAGGTCTTACGCTACTAATTCAACTGTTGCTGCTGCTACCATTGCATTGTAACAATAAATTTGCATAAGAAATCGGAACTCACGTTTGAGAAGAGATTTCAATGTTGATATTTGTGCAATATTATTCTGATTAATTTTATATTATAGAAAACGAAAGAAAAACTTTCTTTGGAATAAATAAATTGCATTCAACGATTGGAGGGATGCAGTAAAAATTTAGACACGGATTTCAGTCACCATGAGGCAAAATTGTTTATCAGTTCGTTTCGTATCTTTGGGAAAGTAAACATTTCTAAATTGAATTTAATTTTTCATTTCTTTTTTGTTTATCTTTAAACGACCATCTCGTGATAATAAATAATTTCCTTCGTTTCCTTGTTTATCTGTCATCAAATTTCTAAACGTCGAAGTCTGATTCAATAACAAAATGATGTTTATCGCACTCTAATTATATAGTCGGATGCTTACCCTCTCATTGACAGACAACATTCATTGCTAAGTCATCCCTGCCTTCTTCAATGAACTTCAAATGCTGTTAAAGCTGATACTTCTCTCAATAAGGTTTCAATATATTTAACTTCTCGATTGGATTTTCATTCAGCTTGATACGAGTATCCTCGAGACACGAGAACAGTTATGAAACGAACACATTCCTCGTTTCAATCTAATCGGAGACACAAGGACTGAGTTAAAAAAACAATAAATGAAAAAATCAGGGGATAAATTCTATGAAAACAACCACAGCAGAAGCAATAAAGTTTGATAACCATCCTCAAATCACTTCAAATCTCAAGGGGAAAGTTGATGAATTTCGACATTAGGAAATTCAAAAGGGTGAACTTGGGAACAATAACTAACACAAGTTATTGGAACAGCTCACAAACGCACATGATATTTTATTTCGCTTGAATGTTTCTTTAGACTTTATGGAAATTGAAAATACTTTTAAAAAAACTCCACGAAACCACGAACTGATATTTTTCAAGGACTTTTAAATCAACTCAATTTGATCTACTAGAAGTAGACTTGATAATATTTCTAATCTAGTACCTCATTTTCCAAAAGATTTTAAATTGAACTCTAAAATTGGACATTTCGCAACAGGTTATTTTTATTATTTCTGATTTCGAGTAAAACAAGAAGATAAAATCTAAGGGGTGGGTTTGGGACGTAATAAAAGTGCAGTTTTATCTTTTCTCTCTCTTCCACAGTGAAGGACGCTTAAAGGTTTTTTTTGCGAAAGAAGCTGTTAAAATAAATACACGACAACCGACTTCTCGAACGAGAATAATAAAAGAAACAAGCAACAACTTCGATTATCGACAAGAGTGTATATAATGAGAGTAGCTTTGTTTTCGTTGCTTTATATTTTATGTATTGTGAAAAAATATTTAAGTTACTTTATATTTTATGTATATGAAAAATTGACCTCGGACCACCACAGCTGTCCGACCGAAAAAAAAAAACGAGAAAGAAAGGGAAAAATTTCGGTTCTTTTCATTATTAAAATTATAATGTTGCTTAATCACAACATAAATCTTAAGCTTCGCTTGTCCTTTGTTTTACATTTTTTTTTCACTGACTTACCTAAGATAAATTAACGTTACATGTTATCCACTCAGACAGAATCCGGTTAATTCTAAAGTTATCTTCTGAATAATGATTCGTGCAAGAGACGAAGACAATGATGCTGTATGGGCAAGGGAAGAATGATTTCAACAAATAATCCAGCAAGTGAAGAAGAATGAGGCTTGTCTTAGCATTCCTTTGCCCGGAAGGAGATGAAAAGTAGAAGATAAATCAGACTAATTTCTGGTGGTTTGCCATGAGCGGTAATTTAAGTATATTTAATCAAATTTTGCGGAAGAAACCAAGATGAGAATTCTTCCCCTTGATTGAATTGTTGTTTCCACAGAATTTATCGTAATCATTGATTCAACAGTCGTTTAAATGCAACTTTAACATTTCAATTTCCAGTAAATGAAGTTAAAAAGTGAATAAAAAAAGATTCGCACAATTTTGACAGCCGCAAAAAGAGTTCAGAAGGTTCAACAGTCTTACAATTTCTACTTTTGCAAAGTTCGATAAAACAAAAACTTCACAACTTTTCCCAATTGTTGCTCGAAGTTTATTTTCAATTATGAAATTTGAATTCTCGTTGATTGAAATTGAAGTCTATGCGAGTGAATATGAAAATGAAAGTGAAAAGTTTTCGCAATTTTTCTTAATGTAAGGAAAATTTGTTGAACTTTGTCATGATGAAGATGTTTAGAAATATTTACAATGTTTTACGAAGGATGTTCATCGTTATCTTTCTTAACAACAAACATCAATATATTAAAACGAAGAACAAACCACAAATGTAATCTTCTCGATGCCATTGCTACTTACTTAGTCAACTTCAACAACTTTTTCTGTTTTCATTGTGCTGTTCTCTGTTTCATCGCATCATTCTTCATTGTTTATTGTTTGTTTTGATTTTTATCTCAAACTACTTCCTTCGTTGAATGAATCGACTGTGGTGATTCAGAAGAAGATGGTTTAGAATGTTAGCACGAGACTTAGAATTAAAGGAGAGAAGGAGGGAAGTAATTGAAGGAAGCGGATGCCTAAGCTATCAAAAGACAACATCGTCGGTTGCTACGTCTGAAAATAAACAAACTTCGCTGAAGGGATCAAACATCGTTTCGTTATTTATGATTTGTTTACTCTGCTATTTTGTCACACTTCTCATCCTTTTCGCCAGCCTTCCGTAGCATTTGAAAGAAACAATTATCGGCATTGATGTCGAGACGAATATCATCATTATGCCTAACTTAATAAGAGTCGCGTGTCGAGTACTTTTTGCTATTTTCGGATTCTATAATCGTGTATTGAATAAAAAGTTTCTCACTCGATATTAAAATGAACATCATTTATGCGACTCTTTTTACATCCCTCAAATTACTTTCACTTTATGGTTTCACATTAACGAAACATTTAAATCTTCTTCAAACAACCGATATTTACGCAGTAGCAACATTTGTGGAAATGGAATCAAGCAGATACACGTGACAATATCGAGTTAAATAATTTAATGAAATTTGTTTACCAATGAATTAAACGAAATCTGTACAATGCCAACTGCAGCATGTATCGTCCCATAAATCTGTCAAATTTTCTTTAAAAAATTCAATTATAATTGCAATGAACTATTTCATTGGGTTTAAAGTGATTATAGAAGTTTCAACATAAATCTCAACAATTTCCCCTTTCCCAAATGTAATTTCCATTGAGGGTTTGTGTGATTAGAACTGGGCCAATTTAAATTTCAAATCCCTTTAAATGCTTTATTGTAAGTGAGCAAACAATCTGACACTGTAAGTGAATTATTTCATTTCTTTTTTTATTGCAATGAGTTCTTCTTAGCTGTGAAGTTGTGTTAATTGAAATTCCGTCAACAATCTTACATGAATGAATGAAATTAAATGTCATTTAAATGCAATATTTAAACCACAACTTCATATTTATTAACTGTCACTTTAGAAGTTTTCTTATATGTTGTAAATACATAAATTGTTAATCAACATATATGTTAACTGTTACTAGATTAATCTTACAATTGCACAATGTGTAAAAGAAAGAAAACGACGACGACAGCATAAAATTTTCCATGGCACTGTCGCATCTCCGAAACTAATCAAAAATAATAAATTTTATGAAAAATGATCAGCGATAAAACGCATAATCAATAAGCTATTTCCTCATTATGTGAGAGAGAAAGAAAGGTAATTTAAAACAATGTTTACTAGCGAACATAAATCTAAGCAACGACGAGCGACAACGTTATGATATTTAAAAGCATTTCGTTTCTCTTTGACTCAATGAATGAATGAGTTTTCTATCGTACAAACCATTATGCTGGTTCACATTTATTGCGCTTTAGTATGTGGAAATTTATCAACATTTCACATCATAAATGGTCAGTGATGCTATGCAGCATCAATATTGTGATAAATTGTCTAAAATATGTTTTATGACTTTAATTTTTTGTCATTGATTCAATTGAGTTGACAGCATAAACTTTGTCGTCTCATAAAATCATTCAATTGAATTTGTTCGTTTATATCTAAACTCAAACTCGAATAAAAATTAGAGAAATAAAAATCCTGTTGCTACCACGTAAAAAATAAATAAAAAATGATCCAATTTTTCATTTCGTCCAGTAAACTGCCTTAAGCCTCGACAACTTTATAAGCTCGCGCATTTATAAATCGATATTGTAATTCAATATTATTAAATAAAAAGCTTTGCTAAAAGCGTGGAAGTTTTTAATAGCTTTAGTGATCGCATTTCTCATTTACTACCTAATAGTTATCACACTTTATTTGTAAGCAATGCATATGAAAGAAAGAAGTAAAGAAGTCGACTGAAAGCAAAATACGAATAGGAATTATCGTTTTATCACCAACTTTAACAGTGCTGTTTAATCTCGACATTTGTTTGGCTTTTAATCCGTCACACGAAATTTAAAACTTGCGATTCAAATAATTTATTAACACACCTGAACCGTGATCTATGATTAAATTAAATCATATCTGGAAATACATTTGCTGGTTTGGCAAATTCAGTAGATTTGTATATTGAGACTGGTGGTTTGGTTTGGTTTAGGAAGAAAGTTCGTTAGATATAGACAGACTCCCATAAGGAAGTTAAAGATTAAGCAGCTCATAATTTCATGTGTTCCCTTACATAAGTTATGAGCTCTTGCATTCATAAAAATAATTTAAAAAACTGTTTAATATGTCGATGAAGTTGATTTCCAATTAATCGTTCATTGATAATTTAATGAACTAAATAATTTCTCACGTCGACATCGAGGGTTTTACTTGCTTGCTGATCTTTGTTAAATATCGGTTTTGTATTTGCGATTAAATATTTTAAGCATTAAGCATAAAAATCTACGACTTGCTTACTGGTTTGAGAATGATCATATTGCGGTAGTCAAACGATGAAGACGGACCACCCATAAATTACATAAACGTATCCACCATAAATGCATTATACAAACGTAAAAATAAAAGAATTTCTTGGCACGAAGCGAAAACATAAATAATATCTACCGCACATAAGAAAGAAAAAGTTTAAAGCTGATGTGTAATTAATATCAACTTGATCGTTTTCCTGCAAAACATTATTTTTAATCGTCATTTGTTGTTATTCAAAGATAAACTTGCGTAAGATTATGAAGAATTGAAATCAAGGGACGTGTTGGCATCAAAAATTTTCAATGTTTTAGTACACAACTGAGATTAGATTAACAAAGCGAGGTCAAGATTAAAGTTAATCTGGGTTGAGAGTAGCAGTTGCTCAGTAGCATTTTCTAGTTGTCGATTAATTGAATCAAACGGGATCACGATCTAGAAATAAAATGTTTATCTATGATTATCAGTTCAATTATAATCTCACGTAGGTGCAATTGCAAATTCTTTTTATTCTCGAACTTCTCATATGCAGCATTTGCTTGCAAATTTTCTCATTTGTTGTTTTTTCATTACTTACGTAACAAAACTTGAATGAATGCGGGAGGAAATATTAATTTCCATTGATATTCGATATCTTTAGATAAAATGTGACGAGTATCTGAAACAGATTTATTGATTTGAAATGAGGATTCATAAAATATACAAAAACTCATTTTTATATCATGCAAAATGATAGAAAATTTGATTTGGATCTTTTTTGACAATCTTCAAAGTATATCAATATCAGTTTTTGCTCCCACTCCCTTACACCTTCGTGGAAAATCCAGAAGGGATTTAGAAAAAGTGCCAAAATCCTCAGGGTTTGAAGGCACTTGTTGTTGAAAGCTTGAAAAATGTTTAAAAATTGGAATTTATTGAGATTTCCTGTCTTCCATATTATTCTATGTTGAGCATATTTTTAGGCAACTTTCTTTTGACAAGGATCATAAGATATCTTAGGAAATTCAAGATGTCAGTTAAGGATAAAGAAAATATAAAAATATTTTCTCCATCAAAAATTTATCTTTGCAATCTCTAAATCAGAAATTCACCTAAAGAATTTCTTAAGCGCTGTTTGCTTGCTTTTGCTTCGTTGGAATTTTCACTGTAAAATTGTTAATTAGTTTTCTTCTTCCTTCCTTCTCTTCACTCAGATTCTTTAATGAGAGCTAACAGCCCAAAGAGATTATTAAAATCTTTAAACTCCTTAGAAGGAATTTACGTAAATATTTGACGAAAACCAGTGGAGAATAATTCAATTATTGAAAATATCTTCATTTATTCTCGTGGGAGAATGAACAAGGAATTATTCACAGTTCATGATATCAAATAATCTTATCATGAAAATTAGATGAAAGAGAACAGAGGTGAAGGTTATATAGAAAGGAAATCGAAGGCGTAAAAAGAAGAAACGTGTCATGCACGTCATTACAATTCCATTTTCTTGTTTCTTATTTTTTTCTTAGACATCAAGCATGTCGTAGCAGTAAAAGATGCTTCTGAATCACGTGGATACATTATACATATGTCTACAACATTACATGATGCGAGGGTTCAATAGGATTCCCAATAAAACTTTTGTTTTAAAGACTTTTCTACTTCAACAATAATAAAATTGGATTTAAAGACTTTTGAGATGTCTTCCATCAACTTTTTAAAGCTTCTGATGTAAAGTAATTAGAGAATTGTATATTTTTAGAATGAATTTCCAACATTGTAAGAGAATGTCTTGTTGAAACAATTTTCCCTTAGGTAAAACCAAATTAATGAAAGAAAAAAAGGCATAAAAAATTTATCATTCATTCGAGGGAGCGCCTTGAGGCATTTTCCGATTAATTTAATTGTAATAATTCTCTGCAAGGCTTCATTGATGTATTGTCCTCGATTCAAGCTCAACTCAAAGTTTATTGAACGGTGTGGAGTTTTCTTTTCTATTCCAACGACGAATTTATATCCCTAAATGTTTGTTAAACTTTGCTAAGCTACCAAGTTACACATCCACGTAGCTTTTTTTACATTTCATTTCACAGTTTGAGAGTAAACATCTTGAAGTTTATTTTTCCCCTTTTCGTGTTAAAATATGTCACTCGCAGTGTTGTAGATAAACAACATTGAACTTTCACAAACTTTAATCTTTGCTAGAGCAAAATAATTTTATTTAATTTAGATCTCTTTGCTTGAGGCTTTTACACAAGACTGAACACATTACCATCCTTTCCAAGTTCTGTTCTTTTTCTGCTTGCCTGCTGGGGAAATTTTCAGCGGATTAAAAAATAAAAAACTTTTCCATCTTCTAGTAGCAATTTTCGTTGACAGTATAAATAAAAAGAAACTTTATTTGTTCCTTCTTGACGAGAGTTAAATATGCTGGAAACAGAGCTGGGAATTAGGGTGGAGGATTAATTTTAATGCAATTTTTATGCAACAAAATCATCAACCCTGTGCAGGGTTAAATTTAAATTTAAATTCGGTCATCTCGTCAATCACGATTCCTGGCCCTGAAAGTAAAAATAAAAATAAGGAAGGAGAATAAAACGCTCAAGGAAACAAATTCTAAGTTAGTTGAATGATGATTGCTTTCCAAGTGGAGTAATCAAAATTGAATTCGTTTAATGAGAAGTTTAAGTAATCAACCTTAGCAACGATTACGATGACAACTGATTGAGATATCAGATGTCAAATGTAATTAATTGTTTGAAGTTTCCAGATGAAAACTTCAATCATTAACTAAAATTTCATTCTATTTATAATTAAAAAGAAGCACTAGAAATGTTTTGTTAAACTATGTTAAGCATTAAATCTTAAATTTCCTTCTATCTTTATTCCATAAGTTATAGTAAATTTAATCATAAACACAATTAACATTTGCATTAAATTTGACAAAATAAACTTAAACATTTAGTTGCAATCACAATAAATCTTCTTAACCCATTGAATAATTTGAGGATTCTATGTAAGTCGTCGGAGTTTTTCCATTTGACCGCTTATACGTTGATTGTCCCCTTGAGAATGTCACACCATGTTCAACAGTGTTCGATTGACAACACAAATAGTTATGGAAATGTTGTCGAAACAAACTTGACACAAAGTAAAGTGCGAGAGGGTTGAGAGTTGAGTTAATAAAGCTGAAAAAAACCACAACAAATTGTTCATTAAAATATTCAAAGCAACTCACAAAAGTTTTTACTTAAAATAATTAAAGAATTTTCCTTCCTTTCCAATAAAATAAATCTCATTGACAACATTCTAAGTCAATTAAAACTTTTTATTCACTTACTATAAGCAAAATCCAATAATTCTGACGTAATGCCACATCAAATCATAATTCGATTCAGCGTCTTCGGAAAGCCAAAACCACAATTGAAAAATCCAATGGGGGAGAAAACAAATGATGAAAACTGTAAAGAAGGATTTGCAGTTCTAAGTGGTTTATTGAGTTTATTGTTGAGTGACAACAAACCTAAAATGAAGACAATCACCATTCTTGCAACGTGCCTTCGGTTTTGTGCTTGAGGGTTCTTCAATCGATATCCGGCACCCGCGATGCTTTGAACTTCACGAGCACTGTTTTGAAGCTTTTTTGCCATTAAAGTGTAGAGAATTCCGATGATGGTTAGGGGAAGAAAGTAGTAAATGGTCGCTTTTATGATCGTCATGTACCTTTCAACACACATTACATGAAAAAAAATGTTTAATCAGATTAAAAAGAAAACTTTTACTTGCTGTAAGTTTTTCCAAAATTGCCAAAGGGACTGCAATACATGATATCGTTAGTATTAATAACTTTTGATACAAGAACAGCTGGTAATGCGAATAATACAGCCAACGACCAGATCACGACGATGATGACGAGAATCATTTTGGATCTTGCCTGAAGCTTCTTAAGGGGATTGACAATGCCAGTGTAACGGTCGCTTGCTAATGCCACAAGAGTAAATATTGACACACCAATCGAAATGTCTTTCGCAAATTCACTGCCACGACAAAGAACATTGCCCAAGTTCCCATCACCCCATGGCCAATGTTCAAAGACGTAAGGAAGTCCAGCAAGCGGTACACAAATGAGAATGACTAGAAGATCACCGAATGCAAGAGAAAAAATGTAACTGAAGAAAGAAAGAAGGGAAAAATGTTATCGCGGATTTTTAATTAATCTTAACAATTAAATTATTGAAGCATCAAAGAAGCTTTTCTCTCTGTGTTTAAAGCTCTTTCTAAAATATTTCCCTATTTTGTTATTCGAGGAAGTCATGAAGTGGAAGATTATCTGATAAAAGACAATCCCATGTTAGTTTATATGAATTTTAATTCAAAAATATCGAGCGAGCATGTTTTGCTGATCTCCATCATTAAGCTGGCAATAATTTTTGTTGTGCGTTCCATTCGAAGTTCAACATGAATGTGTGATAGAAATAAATATTAGATTTTTCTCTTTCTTCCGTCTATCCGCTTATCTTTCTTCTTCTTTCTTTATATTTAAACATACTCGTACATATCTTTTTCACTCAAATAGTATGAATAAAGTGGGTTAGATATGAATATGTTACTGTCTGATAATATTATGCAAATCATAGTTCGCATATTTTCCTCACCATACATTACATTTCTTGAATACTTCCTTCTATCTTATCTATATTCTTTCATTTAACATTATCATCATCATCATGTATTGAATAGACAAAGAGCAAGTCTAATTACGATGAATAGTGTTCTTTTCATTTCATCTAACTTTCGAGACCCTTTTCATAAAAGATTCTTCATCTGAAAACGGCAGATGTCATCCTGATTGATACTACATTTTCAATTTTGAGTTTTTACATATAAACTTTTGTTAAGAAAATAGTTTTTGACTTGTTGCTACCTTGGGAAGTTTTCTGGTAGACCAGCAAATTTTACGCCTAAAACTTAGGCAAAAATTTCCCTTCGTCACACATGTTGTATAACTTTCAGGGGCAGAAATGTTCACGCAGGATAAGAAAAATTCTTCAAACTTTAAATGACTTTTCTTCTACATTTTGGATGAGAAACAATTTTATGTCATGTGATGCGAGTAATCAAAATGACTTTTTATGGCTCGATGTTCTATGTAGATTTATGTAAATTTTAAATTTTTATTCTCAGCACAACAAATAAAATAAATTTCTTTTCCGCCTTGACTTCTTTATTAAATTTATTACTTATACTTATTTTCGAGCAATAAATCTTATTCACAATTTTCCTTTTTTTGCTTGTTTCTCAAATGTATTTGATGTTTAGCAAATACTCATCAAAATAATTCTTTTAGTTATCACACAGTATTCAGATTATCATAACATTAAAGTTCAATGAGAATTTTTCTACTTTTTATTTTGAACGTACGTGTTTGGAACATTTCTCATCGACGGATGTTTAATGAAAATCACGCAGATAGTCCAATTGCCGACGATGCCACTCAAGAAGATGATTGAGAAGAGAATCGGCACTAGACATTAACGAAACATGAATTGGTCATTAAATCACAAAACATAAAAATAAAGCTTAGAATGTCACAAAAGACTTAATTGTAATAGAATCTACCGAAATAAGTTTCAGGCCGTGCTGAGTACGGCAAATAATCTCCATCAGTTATATTTGTAACATTATCCATGATTTCTGTATCCATTATAGCATTCATTTCATTAATTTTTATCACCAATAATAAATTTTATAGCATAAGTTTCAATAATTTTTTTAAAAGCTTTCCATTTCATCACATTGAATTCTTCTTCCTTTCAACTTTTACTTTAACTTCAAAACTTTAATTTCAATACACTTTCGACTGAACTTTATCCTTTGCTTTTCCGTTTTCAACTGAATGTTTGCAGCTCCCCCGCAACAGATTATATAGAATGATTTCACTCAAGCTGAGAAGACGAAGAAAAAAATGAAGGAAAAACAAGAGAGCGAGCGAGTGAGTTTGGGAAATGAGTGTTTTTAAGCGTGTTAGGTATAGATACACTTCTGAAAATATTTACTTACAATTTATTACACTCAAATCTCTTCCACTCTTGTGTTGTAGACAAACGAGTGAAGCAGGTGAAGAATTCATCGCATGGCCTTTTTATTTGGACATTCAAAGCTACGCTCAACAATAATGTAAACTTAATTAAATCATCTAGACAACGCTCTCGCTCTTTCTTGTCATTCTCGGCTTGCTTATCATTTCGAAACTCTCGATAGGATCGTAAATATGCGAAAATAATGAAGTCATTCGTATGGTAATCTTTGATTAAATCTAGAATTATTTACAAAATTATCAACAGGATGGTAAATTGGTAATTTCATTCAAATGTAAATTAGAGAACAACAAAGGGTTGACAATGATATTAAGCTTCGTATTCGTGATAATTAGGATGTCAAATGTGCCCACTGATTATTAAACATGCGAGCTTTATTCTAGCGAGATGAAAACTTTTTGACAGTTTATTAAACTCAAAATTTTCGTCTTAATCTGCTTAATGATGCAAACGTCTCTTGACATCTTCATTTCTTTCACGATACTTGTTAATAAATAAACATTTCACCAATAATATGGCATTTTCTTCTCATCATAATCCTTGCTTAATCCTCAGAGAGTGCGGCGCAAAAAAAACTTTTCCTATCAATTATTTCTTTTTTGTTCAAATCTCTTAGCGACGAATACTTCAACAACAAGAAATATTACGATACTATTGAACTTTGTGAGTATTTTATAAAAGTAGTAACATAAATTCGTCTTCTTGTTCTAAGAGCTAATGTTTGAAGCTTTTGAATTATATAAGCTGATTACATGCGCCATTTTAACATGAATTAAGGTCTATTGAAAGTCTAAATAAAAATATTACAGATTGGTTGGAGATGATGAGGAAACATTGAATCAGTCACGTTCTCTTAACTCTGTCTTATTGAATTATCAATTAGATTATTTCATGAGAAGGCTTTCTTTATTATTATTACCTGCACGTTATGAGCTTACATCAAAGAATTTACAAATGAACATGGAGAATGAAATCTTTTCAAAATTATGAATAGAAATTTGTTTCCTGTTTGAAAAGTTGACACCTTAACTTATGTAGACGAAGCCATAAATTTAATTTCTTCTTATTCATCTAATAAAAAAGGTCAATTTGTTGGAAAATTTCTGTTTTTTCACGATAAAAACTTTTTCAATTTTTCACTTAGAATAGAAGAAATTTTTTATATTTTGGTTTTACCCCTTAAAGTTAGGCAAAACGTGATTGCTCCTGTTAGAATCTGGATAAGGTCAAAAGTGTTGCGTAAGTTCTTGCAATGCGCAATTGTTGAAGTTTTCAATATCAACAATTGCTCAAGCTAGAACTTACGCAACACTTTTGACCTTATTCAGATTCTAAACAGGAGGAATCACGTTTTGCCTAACTTTAAGGGGTAAAACCAAAATATAAAATCCTTATCCAGATTCTAAATTAATTTAAAAGCTTCAGAAAATGTGATAAAATTATTTATTACACTTAAATTCATTGTAATGGCATGAATGTGTGTTAAGGGATAAATAAATTTATTAAGCACATAAATCTCAATAAATAATCTGTTTAATTCCTTTTATTTGATGACTATAAATCACTTAAACACTTTCACTGTTGTTCGTTTTGTTTTCACTTCATCCCTTGAAGTTCTCTCAACGACAAAATCTTCTCTTCAACAGAGAGATGAATAAAAAAAAGATCGAAACTCTCAGCACAGATTTCATCATTAAACTCAGTTGAATCTTATCAGGCGATGATGTAAAACGTGCATTGTCTGTCATTTAAAAAATAATTCTTTTCGTTATCAGTCAAGTTTGTATTGTGTAATGATTTATTAAGTTGCTTAATCGTGCGAAACTTAACATTAAATTTCAAGATTCATTAACTTTCACACGAGACTGAAAATTTTGACTGAAAATCTGTTTTAGTGAATTTCTTTTTAATGTGATGAACAACAAAAATGTGCTGATTACGTGACAGTTGTGAATGACAGAAGTAAAGAGTTTCTTATCAGCTTATCACACGGAAATTTCTGTGCCAACATAAAAAAATAAACAAAAAAATGAGCAATTTAAGTGTCAACGATGTTTTAACTTTCAATCTCAATTATAAAGTAACGAAGAAAGTGAAGAAAGGATTTCTAGGCTTTCGAAATGAAACGCAAGAAACTGTTATCCTTAATGACGGTAAACTCATCACAAACGTTGTTGAAATTTCTTTAATTTAGTATGAAAATTTATTGACAGTGAAAGGAAGAATCGAGTCTGGCACCATGACAGCATTACTCGGCGCCAGGTAAATTGATCATGAAATTATTCTAAATGTTAACAACATTAAACGAGCTAAGAAATCTTCACTAAAGTGGGTGTGGAAAGACGACACTTCTCGCTGCACTTTCACAGAGATTAAGAGGAAAACTTATCGGAGAGATTAGATTCAATGGCGAGGTCATAGATCGGTCTAAGATGACAAATATCTCAAGTTTCGTGGCACAAAGTGACGTCGCTCTCGAAGGCTTAACCGTCCGTGAACATTTTCATTTCATGGTAAGAAGTTTTCATGCGTTTAATCATCAATGACTTTGATTGATCACATGAATAGATTGAACTGAAAGTGCCGAAAATGTCGGCCTTCGAGAAAAGTCGGTTAAGTGAATCGTCTTTGACGAAATTTGGTTTAAAAGGCAGCACAAAGTTGAAGTTTCTCTCGGGGGGAGAAAAGCGGAAGTTGAGCTTAGCCAGTGAGGTAAATGAATTATCTAAGAATGTGTGGGTGTTAATAATAAATCATTCTTAACTTTACAGTTACTGACGAAGCCACAAATTTTATTTTGTGATGAACCGACGTCAGGTCTTGACAGCTTCAGCGCTTTTTCTGTTATGAACACACTTCGAGAACTTTCAGGATATTCCAGCAACAATCCAAAGCAGATTTCGTCGTCATCATCTCGCATCATTCTCTTCTCCATTCATCAACCGACATCCGACATCTTTCAACTCTTTACAAATGTCATTCTCATGAAGTCGGGACGAATAATTTTTCATGGTTCCGTGCAAGAAGCTGAAAATCTCTTCACAAACATGGGAATGCCATGTCCACCACGATACAATCCAGCTGAGTTTTACGTTAAAAGAATTTCTGATGCGAAAGTTTCTGATGACATCATCAAACGCGTGGGTGTCAATGAAGAAGAAAAGTTGAATGAAGAAAATAAGAAAACTTCGTCACATTATGATGAAAACTTATCAGCTCGATCGAAAGCTTCGTGGTTGCGTCAAGTTTATTTGCTATCGCAACGAACTACTCTCAACTTCCTTCATGATCCAAAACATTATCTCATCGAATTTCTCATTCTCATCGTAAGTTTTTTAATCTCTAACTTTATCTTTAATTAAATTTCTTTCTTCTTAAGGTTTTTGCTTTAATCATCACCGCAGTGTATTCAGGAATTTCTTTTGAATCTCAGGCACCAGTTCAAGACATCAAAGGCTTTCTGATAGTTGTCGCAACTGAAATCTTGTTTGTTTTCGTCTATGCTGTCTTCATGTTGATCTATGAAGTGCTTCCGTTGTTACGTAAGGAAATTGGAAATCGTCTTTATTCCCTCTCTGCGTATTATGTTTCGATTGTGTTACTTTCAGTAGGTTCATTGACAGTTTTTCGTGGAAATCGAAGAAAAGAAAATTTTAAATTTATTTCCAGATCCCACGAGTCTTTCTTGAAACTCTCATCTTCACTGCCATCATTTATTTTCCGACTGATATAGGCCGTGACTTTATCACGTATTTGCGTATTTGTTTGTCGGTGTCAATGTCAGGAATTTGTGCAATGGCTTACGGCTTCTTTCTTTCCGGTTTATTTGAATCATTTCTCATCGGAACTGAGCTGTCAGCTATTCTCGATTTGGTGCTCATACTTGCTGCTGGTGTTTATATCAACGTCAGAAATGTTCCATTCTTAAAATACGCTTCGTTCTTCTACTACGCAAATGAATGTGTTGCGATAGATTTCTGGTTAACTGTTGACGACATCAAGTGTAGTCGAGGATTTAATTGCTATACGAATGGCACGGCTGTACTTGAAAGTCTCGCTTTTGGCACCACTGAATATGATGTTTACAAGAACTATCTTTATCAATTCATCTTGACATTCATGCTTCACGTTATGGCTTTTCTTGGTATCAGGAAAAATGTTCGCCGAACTGGTTTCTACTGAATCAATTTATTTGTAATTTAAATAATGTTTCTTCTCTTCAGGTTGTATACGAATCCCAATCTACATTTTATAAAATACGCGTAATATTAAAAAAAGAGAAAAATAAACAATTTTTGATACTAACATGTCGAAGGTTTTCGCTTTTCATTATTCATGTTAACGCTATTTATTTAATGTCGTTGCGAAGGAAGAAAATGTTCCCTAAACAAAACTCCATATAGGATCCGATCTACTGTGAAATGAAATTTTCTTTGAAATCCGCTTTGAAATATCTGTCATTTTCTTCAGCATTCTGTTATTAACAAGCATTTCGTAGGAAAAATTTTCCTGAAAAAAGCAAAAAAACCCCAGAGGTTCTCAAACATCTTCTTTAGTCGAGATTCAAACCTTCGATATTTTAAATCTCAAAAGGTCGTTACATTTTCTTAAACTTTTAAAATTACAATTTAAAGAAGGAAAATCGCGAAAAAACATTTTTACTTTATTTTCATACATTTATAGAGACAAAATTATAATTATACAAACTTTATAGCACAAAAGAAAAGGAATAATTAACTAAACATAAATTTTGATGTACATATTTGTATGTTGATGCTTTAAATTTAGTGCCGAATAATCAACTTTTCATTTGAAAATGATTCATTAATAATCTACATAAATTATGTCATTCCCGTCGTGAAGGGAACATCTTAGTCAGTTAATAAATTATAAGATTCATCTTTGACATTATTCAGACAATTAAACATTAAAATCAGCGTTCAAGAAAGTACTTTAAAATGAAAAACTTTGCTAACTTTTCTTGCGTTTCATCCAATCGGGAATCTTATCATAAATTTGTCTATAAATTAATAAAATCAAAAGTGGAAGCGCGAAAATTGCACTTTTAAAGAAGTAAATATAAGTTGCGAATAAGAGGATTGATACATCAGTAGCATATGTCATTGTAGACTTAACTTTAAGTTGAACTTGTTCTTGAAGTTCACTTGGAGTCACTGCACGTGATGATAATGACGGCGATGGTGTGACATCTCGTGCTACAACTTTTGGTGTCGCGAATCGATTGATAATTATTTTTCGATTAAATGAAGGAGATTTTGATTCACTTCGATTTCTCGTTCTCGATGAAGATTTCTCTCGTCTCGTGGGATTTATTGAATCGTTTGGATTCCTCGCTAATGCCGGCATGTCACTTCGATCACGTGATCGACTTGATGATTGATTTCTTCTTTTAGGAATCGTTCCAGTTTTCGATTTCACAACATTCCCCCGTCCACGAGATTCAATTGAACTTGTGCTGCTTGTTATTCCGTCTTTTCTTTGAACAACTGTTCCATTGAGTGTCAAAGTCTTCTGCGGGGAAGGAGATTCAATAAGATTTATTCTGTCATTTGTTGACATAATTTGTGACAGAGAATTAACGTTCATGTTTATGTCTGTAAGATTTTTCGTCTTATTTGAATCTGAGAGTCTTCGACCGAACACAAAATCTTTTGCGTTGTTTGGTGGAGGTGAAAACGTTCGAGGTTTTAAAGCATTAATTCTTGATGAAGTTTCACGGTTTTGTTGCAACAATGTCGATGATGCAATGGGATTTGATGGCACTGAAGGTGAGAAGGGCCTTTGCAGAGTTGATTGTGGTGAAAGATCAACGGAAGAAGTAATTCCAGAATCATTTGCATTCTCATCTTCATCTTCAACTTCCAACTTTTTTAATGCTTCAGGATCCATGTAAATTGGAACTTTCGGCTTTGCTGGTCTTGCCGAAAGATCTTTGATGATGTCACCATAGAAATTTGCCATAACTTTATTCTCTTCAAGTGAAGTTTGGCGACGTTCCATGAGTTGTTTCTTTGCTTGATCATTTCGTTCGTTATTTGGTCGATAAAATTCTTCTTCAGGTTCAGGAGAAGGTTCAATGACAAGATTCCTCTCTTCTCTTTGCGTCTTTGGTGATTCGACTTTAATTTCAGGAACATCTTGCAACTCTTTCTCTTTCGAAGGAACTTCAAACATTTCATAATTTGTCGGTTGAAAGATTTTCGGTACTTCATCAATTTCCACACTTTTTCTTTTGTTATTTGGTGAAGTTCTTGGTGATGGTGAAGCAGAACGACGTCCTAAAAGTTCAGCAATTGTTTTACGTTCTGGCATTCCCGAGGTTGGTCGACGACCATCAGCACTTGCTGGGCGTTTTAAAATCGGTTTAGGAACGAAATTAGGATCAGGAAGTGGCGTCAAAGGTTTTGTAAGAATTGCTGCTGCTTCACCATTCTCTGGCTGTCTATAAGGCGACAACATTCGTGGATGATAAGTTTCCATTTCTTTTGATCGATTACGAGAACGTCGAGTAGGAACATCATCGTCATCATCATCTCCTGAAGATTCTGTGCTGTCAGTGTAATCGTCACTGAATCGTTCAACTTCTGCTATCGGTGGAGCGAATGGAGATGGCGATCTGTCAAGCATTTCCGGTGTATTCAATTCATTTCTTAAAGTATTTAACTGCGTTCGTTCATCAGAATCTTCATCTTTGAAACTCAATCGTCTTGCTGGTATATTAATATGTAAGTTCGGAGATTCACCTGATAATCTTCGACGCAAAACAGTTTCTGTTAAAGAATTCATTCGAAATCGTGCTAAAGCCGCTTCTTGAACTGCATCTCCTTGCCCACTTGATCGTCTTCTTTCTTGATCGATACTAAAACTTCTTTGTCTCGTCTCGTGTTCCATGCTGAAACTTCGTTTTCTCGCAGTATCAGCTGCTTCATATTCAACAGCTTTATAAAATCGAGCCATTGCACGTTCATAAAGAAGTTCCGTGGAACTAACAGCGTGTCGTATCATAGGTGGTTCAGGAATCATCATATTGAGCTCAGGAACTGATTGTGACAGTGGTGGTGGCGGTGAAAAGTAATCTTCAACATCAGAATCAAAAGAATCGTTTTCTGAAAATGGAAATTGAATTAATTTTCAATTTTTTACAGTGCGCCGCTTGACGGAAAAGTGGCCAAACGGCGCCCTCTAGCAGAGTTTTTAATGGAAAATTGCAATTTAATTTCATAAAAATCGAATTTGAAGAATACAAAAATTTCATTAAACTTACTGTTGCCATTCTTTGACTCTTTTCCAGAATATAAAACCAACATGAATTCACTGCTGTTCTGAATACCGCCACTTGATGCATCTTTTCTCTCCACATTTCTTTGATTTCCTGCTTTTGATAAGTCCAAGAATGTTCTTTTACCGGTAGTTTGAGATTCACCGTTTGCCTTCGTTTGATGATTGTTATTTGAATCGTGTGCTTCTTGAAAGTTCTGATAAATCGCTTCCTTCTTATCGCGAGGGATTGTTGTATCATCAATTTCCATTTTGAACTTCACGTTATTCTTTGCAGCTCTCAATTGACGAACTTGTTCATCTAGATTCGCTTTCTCATGCAGAGATGTCGATGGAACTTCACGGAATTTATAAAAGTCACCTGGGGCTCCATAAGTCATATCACGTTCAATTGTTTCATCATCGAATATTTTTGTGTTGAGTTTTATTTGTGGGATTGGCGAAACTTTCTTTGTTTCCATGAAATTATTTGTCGGCGACTTTCGTGCTGGTGACGGTGATGGATTTTTTCGTTTCGGAGCAACAGGTGGCAGTGGATGTTGAAGATTTAAAAGTTTCTCATCTTTTATTGGCTGCATTATTCCACGTTTTGGATCTGGTATGAAGAGAACGTCAGATTCTTCACTTGGACCACTGACACCGTAAGGATTCTCAGCTTTCACTCTAAACTTATATTCAGATCCAAAAATTAAATCATTCAACGTGACTGCCAATTGACGACACGTTGCTGCTTTCAACCAAACATTCCAACCAACTCGAAAATATTCCACAATGTAATTGCCAATCTTGCAACCGCCGTCATCAATTGGTGGTGCCCATGATAATGTCACAGTGCTGCCGAGAAGAATTTTAACAGCAGCTTTACCAGGTGGCAATGGTGCTGCTGTCACAGTCACAAGAAACGATGCAACATCTTCACCCAATTTATTGATCGCTCTTAAATTGTATTCACCACGATCCGTTCGCATTGTGTTGTCGATTTTCAGCGATGAATTTTTGTCACTATTTATGATTTCGAATCGTTCATTATTTGTTATCACTTCACCATTATGTGCCCAGACAACATTCGGCACTGGACGACCTGCAATTCCAACTTTTAATCGAATCACTTCGTCAGCTTCAATTATCAAACCGTCTTCGTATTGTCGTGGCAAACGAATCTTTGGTGGAGCTTCGATAGTTAAATTTGATTTTGTAAATGAATAACCAGCACGATTTGTAGCTGTGCATTTGATTTCACCTTCGTCTGTTAGCGATGCTTGATAGAATATTAAAGTGCTTGAATCATTTTCGGTTGAAATTTTCGTTCGTCTACTGCTGAAGATTTCAAATCCATCTTTAAACCACGCAATTTGTGGTGTTGGAGAACCAGCAAACTTCACTTTAAATTCCACTTTTTCATTCTCAATTCCATTGAAATCTTCGAGCTCGTTCGTAAATTGGGGTGCAGACATCGCATTGCGTTGAAGTGTTACTGTTAATGGATCTGAAGCTTCACTTGGTGGTGATTTACCGACAGCATTTTCAGCAATGACTCGAAATTGGTAACGCCATCCTGGTTCAAGGCCATTCAGTGCAAGTTCTGTGAATTGAATGAGCTGTGGACAAGCACGAGTCCAATTTGGAGAGCCGCTGGAATTTTAAATGAAGAATTTTTAATTGAATTGAATGACGACAAATAGAAAATCAAAATCTTACGTTCTCCGATGCTCTACGACATATCCAATGATTGTCGATCCATTGTCAGTTCTTGGCCTTTGCCATTTGATTGTCACTACGTCAGGTTCATCAGTCGGCAAGCCTGGTAATAAATAAGGTTTTCCTGGCGCTAATGGAGGCTCTGTAATGAAGAAAATTTATAAATAAAAAGATTAAAATGTGAATGAACATGTCGAGAAGAGCTCAGGCAGACCTACACGATTTTTTGTTTGTACTTTCATTGTTTTAAAATATCTGATGAGCGAATTTTTCATTTTTTTTTTGCATTTGAGTATTGTGCTCAATAAAAGAAACTAAATTTTGCTAAAGGTAATGCGAAGAGAGGAAAACATTCTCGCACGCTTGATTATTGAAGGAAGATTCAGCAAAAAAGCAACAACAGAGCAAAAAGTAAGAAAAACCGATCAGTTATCTAAAAATAGCAGCAAAGTCTTTCAGTCTTCAGTCTCGGGAATTTTTCTTGATTTAAATTTTGAATTTTCATAAATTTTTCATGAATTTAAATTGACAATTAGTGTGGAAATTTACCTGCTGACTTCCAGTGGATATTTCGTCTCGACTTATTTTTCTGCTGCTTTGATGTCTGATTGCCCATGATTAATATCAAAACTCAGGAAAAACTAATAAAAATTGATTAAAAATACTTAAAAGCTAGGAAAACTTTCGTAAAGAATAATTTCAAACACAAAACTTTTCGTTTCTGATCAGAATTTTCACTTTTGACAGCATAATTGATCTTGAAAAAAAATTCTTTTCCACTCTTATTCAATTCGATCGCTGCCACCTTTCAAATGAAAATTATTAAACAGAACTGCGAGACTTTTCAATGGAAAATGAAAGAAAATTTTCTCACAAACACAATTGGAAAATTCGCTCGGAAAATTTTCTTGCGAGAAGAGAAAAACTTTTTGTTGTAGTTGAATGTTTAGAATAACAAAATTAAAAGAAAAACTCGAGAGAAAAGTAAACGTTTCCACGTGCTAGTGACGCAAGAATGATTTCCGAATTCAATTCGCAGAAACTCAAAACAAATTTTGTTTAATTTAAAATTTATTTTTATTCCCATCGTAAAATTTCATAAAGTTCTGCTTTTAAAGCTTCCATATCGACACCAAGTCGCTTAAGACTTTCAATTGATCGCAAAATTTCTTCTCTTTGAAAAAGATTCTCTAACGATCGTCGACTAACAGTGAGAATCAAATAAAGATGAGCAAAATCGTTTTCATCTTTAAGAAGCTCATCAATAGTGGCATTTAGTGACTTGAAATTTATGAGAGATTTCAATTCGTCACTGAATGATTTGATGGAGAAAGTTTGAATTGATTCGTTTTGACTATTAATCGGTTTAATCTTTTCAATCTCATGTGACAGAAGTTCGATTTCTTTGTCAGTGTTGACACCATGATACTTAATCCATTGCAGAATATCTTCAACTTCTGAAGATGTCATGAAAACATTCCAAGCTGATGTAAACTCTTCACTTTGGAGGTAGTCGAGCAAGTTCTGAACTGCCAAGTCATTCTCGAAATACTCGCGTGTAATTTTTTGAATTTTCGGCAAATTAATAAATTGTGAAGCTTCATTAATTTCGACACGAAGTGTAGAACGAGCTAAATATGAAATATTTGAAACATCATGATGATTGTTTAAATGATTTTTTCCATTTTCTTACCATTTGAGATCAGAACTTTCATTAAAAAAATCACAATTGAGACACGTAAAAGTTTCATATTCGAGAAGAATTTTTTGCAGCTGATTTTTGAGAAATACTTGAAGCAAATGATAAAAGCCTTCACTATTTATGTGTCTTTATATTTATTTGTAACAAACAAAATCAACAAAAAGTGAACCAGAAGGGAAAAAAGTCGAACATCGATGAGTGACGTTTTCCTTGTTTCTTTTAAAAACGAAAAACGAAAAACGAGACAATTGTGTGGTTTGCTAATCGAAAGTCTTATCACAAACTGATAAAAATAGAACAAAATAAATGAAAACAACGTCAAATTCTATGTGGAAGTAAGTCAAGTTGCGTTGAAGGCGAGTTATTTTCAATCAATTAAATGTTCTTGAAGAATGAGTAATTTTCTTATTTTATTGTCGTGTAATTTGTGCGATAAAACAACTTCTGGCTTTTATGAATTCTTCTATTATTTCTGTAAATATTTTATTGATTAAGGGGAATTCATTGAAGGAAAGAAGTCAATAAAACTCATTGCGAAATGATTCACAATTCTTCTTGCGACATTGCGAATGATAACCGCCGATTTCCGATCATTGATCACAACAAAGTGTACACAGAATGAATGAAAATTGTAATTAAATAAATTTTAAGATACATCCGACCAATTATTAGTTTTAAGAACATGTTTGCCAGAAGATACGAAAACGATGTAAAAACAAATTGGAGATTACAAGTGAGAACATTAATGCGAGAAAGTTTGAATGTCGTGCATACTTGAAGCCAAAAAAAGCAAGCCAATGTCCTTCATTGCATGACACGGCGAGAATTAAGAGTGTTGATAACACAGTTACATGTCCATACACCTGTTTGTTGAACAACAATAACATGATCTGAGAAATTCTCTTCACAATGCAAGTGTTCAAACAGATTAAGTTCTGGGTAGCATTCAAAAACAAATACGAAGACGTCAAACAAACAAACCATAAACTTGACCGCTTAAGTCTCGTTCGACTCAATTTGAAAATCTTTTTCGTTTTAGAAATCTTTATTGATTTACAAATAAATATTAGTTTTGTGAGACGCCCCTTAAATTAGTTAAACTTCTTTTTACATTTAAGTTGACTTCAATCTTCTTAACGCTAATCAAATTTCTGAATATTTATTCAAAGTTTAAGAATTACGATACGCTACAACACCATCCATCAACAAGTTTCTTTTCTATCTCGAATTCAACTCATCCGTTCGTCTTTTATTTATCATAAGCATACAAACAGCATTCAATTTATTAATTCTAAGCATAAATAGCTCACTCAATCTTTCCTTTGCTATCCGTTTTATGAGAAGAATGACCACTTTATTTATTCAGGTTTTATGATCGCTCCACAATTGTGGAGAACGATGAAGATTATGTGAGAGTCTTTATGTATGATTAAAGAAAGAGATTTCCAAGACTCTTTCTTCATTCATTCAGTAACACTGAAACAGGTTTAAATTTGCTTCTTGATGATTTTCCATTTCTTTTTGATGATCAATTTCGTCTCTCATGTTGGATTATTTTCCATTCTCTCTCTCGATATTGACTTCCATTATGCGCAAGGCTTTTTTAGTGAATGCATACACGCGAGTAGCTTTACTTTTGTGAGATCAGATTCGTTTCAATTCTCGTCGCGATAACATGCGTTTCGTGTTTTCATTGAGATTTTTCTTGTTTCAGTCTTAAGTAGTCTTTTGAAGTTAACGTAGAGTTGAGTTGAGAAAGAAAGAAAGAGATAATAATAAAGTGGTAACGAATAATTAACGATAGGGATATGTTGGAGGATTTTTCTTCTGATGAATTTTGTGTTTCATTATAAAAAACAAGTCGATGTTTAATTAATTTTCTAGCATCGTTTCTTATGATGTTCTTGAGTGAAACTTTCGAAATTGAATATGCAGATGCTGATAGATTGTGACAAGAAATCAAGAAACCGCTGTACCGTTATTGGATGATTGCATTGGTTATCATGTCATAAACCTCATAAGTTATGCTTGTGATTATAAGAAATTATTAGCGATTCAGTTATCTTGTGATTTCGTTGAGAATTTTTCTTCTCTCTGACACTCTTCGAATGTGATAATCATGATGACTTCTATTCAATATGTGTGAATAATTTACAAACTATTCGCGGAAGAAAACGACGAATGGAGGCTAAATTTAAATTATTTCGCGATCAAATGTTAAATTTTTGCCATGGATGAAAAGAATTGACGCTGCATTTGTTACCATAAACCTGCTCAAACTCAAGGTTCAACCTAATTATAAACAAACAACATTCAAATGTCTGTTATGTTCATTGAAAGAAAATTAATTAATAAACTTTGGATCAGATCATTGAATTTGTAATTAAAAGCACATAAAAACATGAAAACAATCAGAGATTTGGGAAGTGATGAAAATGTTTGTAACTGTAAAGTAAGAAAACAAAAACTGCCACAAAACAACCATTTGAGGTTTTTATCACCGCACTAAAACTACGCGCGCGCATATTAAAAAGTTCAACAAAAGCAGAGAAGAAAGCAAAAGATTTTTCGGGAGACAAAAACCGAAACGGAAAACTTGATATTTGACACACAAAACGACAAGTTTATAAAATGAAATAGAACGGTTAATGAAACGCCGCACCATGAAGTGTGTTTAAAAATGCTTCAAATGTCTTACGCTGCATTTTAATGAAATATCTTTCGAGTGAACATTTCCAAGGAAAAAAGGCTGAGCCACACTTCGATGTTATGCTCAAATGCTTGCCTTATTATATTCAAAATAGAAATATTTAAAAACAAAACATTCACTCAACTCCCTACGTGTTGACAAATTCAATCCAATTTTAAACATGATTGTCGAACATTTCATGCTCAATCAACCTTCAAGCGTTCACTTCTCTTTACTCAATTTTTTTCAGTTACACACGAATTTTTTACAATAAATTCCATCTATGTTGAGTTGAATAAGTTAAATTGAAAACATACATACGAAAGAGGAAGAAATAATATCAAAAGGAATCTTAATTGCAAAATCAATTTGCTTGAATGAACAAAGATCATGTAAGCTTTTGTTATTGACAACGACGACTACGACGACATGCAACAAAGTTTGGATTGAAAACTGTTTTCTAATTTGCATTTACGTCCATTCATGAAACTGTTTTCACTTTTTTTCCCGACTTTATCTTTAACAAGGGCTTTTGAAAAACTTGTCAGTCAATAAACTTTGTTGTTAATTGAAACAATTCAAATGAAAAAAAATTGTCAACATAAACAAATAAAAATTGAAATTTGATTGAATAAATCAATGAATAAGAAAAATGTTAGATTTGAATTTCCCTCAACACAAAAATTATCCGCAAAACCTCAAGAAAGTTCTCTCGACATATCTCTTTCACTTCAGCAACAACAATCACTCTGAAAAATAATTTATTTCTTTAAAGGTGCAGTTCCAAAGTGCTAGAGAATAAATTTCAATAAAGAAAAATAATATTGAGAAAGCCTCCATGTGTTTCTTGATGGTGACCTCAAAAGGAGAAGCGGAATGTTGTGTGTAAAATACAAGAAACTGTGAGCCCGCTTAAGTTCGAGCGAGAGAGAAATAAATAAAAAAAAGGAATTTCAACGCAAAAGCAGTCCCAGTTTTTTTTTTTCTTTAATGAAACATGCTTTTGGGTTGGTTGACGAAGTCGAAAATTTAAGTGCAAGTTTTGCTATCGCAATTTATTGAAGAGACGAAAAATAAATGTGAAAGTTCATTGATGGATGGAAAGAGACAAGAAATAATTAAATAAGAATTTAGTGAGTTGCAAGTGATTATTAATTGAGGATTGAAGAAATGGAAGCGGATGTTCTTAACGCACTTAAGTCGCGAGTGGCGTATCTATCAGGCGGTCGTGATCACGACTCTAATTTGTTGATTATCTTTCAATTGCCATACGAGCTACAACCGTGGACAAAGCGCTACATTGAATTGTCAACAAAATATTTGTTGTCATCGTTAAGGTGAGTTTTTAACTTCAATTTGAAGAAACTTTTTTTGGTGCTAAAGAAAGTTTTTCATTTTCATTTAAACAGCCAACAAACACTTAACAATGGACTAATAGCGATTGTTGACTCTCAAAAATGTTCGTGGCGACTGGCACGTGATTTAATCAAATTGATAACTCAATCACTCGACACAAATCTCATCAAACTTTTTGCGATACGAACTGAAGCATTCTCTATGCAAAATTGTGCAAAATCTTATAAAAAAGGCGAGGTATGTGAATAAATAACGAGATAAGATTAAAGAAAAAGAAAAAAATGTTGTTGCTGTTGCATTTGGTTCAAACTTTAAACATGTAACCGGATAGTAAACTGGACTTATGTTGATTGAAATTAATATTCTCACCGCAAAGACATTTTGTGCTTCTTGGTCTTGAACACAACGAAATTATGAAGCTGCATCGACTTACTCGAGCATTAAACTTTCAGGCAAATCAAATGAAATTATCATGCACAATGGCGTGAGGATTATTTAAATATTTTTTATGGCTTCATGTTGCATTTGATTTCATTTTCAATTATCATTTTGCATATTATTAGAAACTCTTTTTCTTTCTGGTGCATTTAATAAGTTGATTACTTTTAATAGACTTCAAAACAGAAACCTTAAGTAGTCATTAAAATATTCGTGATCTAGACGAAAGAGAAACTTCGATTTTAAATACCAAAACAAGAAGATTACAACTTTCAACCAAAATCCATCAATGAAGAAAGTCGGAATTAAATAGAATCAATTAGCTTTAAATACTCTCCACTTGACATTGTTAGACGGGGAAGATCACCAAAGACTAATCTTTTTGCTCACGCCTACAACGGTCATTAAAAATGAAAGCAAAGTTACAAATCGTCATCCTACATTCCTTTCTCGATATATGTTTGTATCATAACAAATAATAAAACTTACATTGGAAAGTGAATGCATAAAGAGAAATTTATGATCCAACAAAAATCAAGATTCAATGCAGATTGAGACTCGAAGCATGAAGGTAGAGAAGAGGAAAGAAGAAACATTAATGCTGACCTTTAAGGCAACATGACGAAGACATTTGTCCTTGGCGAATTATAATGGAAAGAAATAAATGTTGTGAATGGAAGATCGCGTATTAGATAGAAGAAAAATGAACCGTAACGTTTCTCAGCGTGATTGTGATGCAAAAGAAGTTTTCTTGGGAAGGGCTGTGAGATGAGAAATCGCAAACTTTTGTTAACAACCTCATCACTTCTTCATATTTTAAGATTTCATTTCATTGATTATGATTTCTCACCACGATTGAATGATGCAACCACCACCGTTTAGTTGTCTCACTTAAAGAAGCTATCAAACTTTATCTTAATTGATTATGTTACATAAATAATTTATTTCCTTTGTTCATTTTTAAGGCACGTAATGTTGGTGAGTTTAAATGCATGTAAACGGTAGCCTAATGAAATAGTTTCACTAAAAACATCATTAGACAGAAAGTTGAAAAGGCCGTTTAAAGTCATCGAAACCTGTTTCGATTGTTAATCTCCTAGGAGAGAGAAAAGATATTTGAACCAAATGCATCACGATTTTCGTTGTTTAAAATTTTTTTCTTTCTTCTTATGCTTTTGCTTCACAACAACAAACAAGCATGAATAAATGAGAGAAGAAATTTTTATGCAATGAACAAATAAACCTTTCTTCACACAATTTGTATGATGATGAGGAATAGCTTTGCAGTAATGACTTTAATTTGCAGCCGATTATCATATCGAAATCTCGTCTGAATAAGTTCTTCAACTTGTCTGAATTGCCCAACGAAATTGGCGGTTTTCAGAACTACAATCACGATGAATGGATTCGTAATCGTGTGGTGAGTTAGTGAATCTCATTAAATGATTGCCAAGTAAGCTTTTCTTCTTTCTCTTTCATTAATAATTTTTTAACAGCAAATTGATGAGTTTAAGAAACATTTTGAGACGATTGTAGCATCAATCAAAAGTTTAAAAGAAAATTTGGCAAACACGAGCACAATGCGTTCGCAAGAAATCGAGCAGACGATTAAGATTTGCTCTCCAACATATTCCGATGTTCAGAAGTCAATAAAAACGTTGCTGGATAATGGTGAGTTCAATTACCAATTACCAATTACTAAATATCTAAATTACTCTTTATGAGCGTGAAAATGACTCGCATAATTGATTTCAAGCACTCATTTGACAAATTAATCGTTGAAAATTGAAGATTTTCATGCGTTAATTATCTGCTTTTATTGTATCTATTGAAGTGGGTCATTGAAAGGAAATTGAACGAGAACAATAATCAACAAAGCTTTGCTTGTCTCAACTTGAGATACTTAATGATAGTCAACAATCGAATCGATGGAACTTTAGAAATTTGAACGAATGGAGAAGTTAAAAGAGATTTCTAGACTATTGAACTAGAGATTAATGTTGGCTAAATATTACTTGAGCGAGAGAAAATTACAAACAATCATGCAGCACTTGCTAAGACCTCAACTTTGAATTCTTTTTCTTCTTAATCATTGCTTGTTTCATTCTTTTTTGCTCTTGCCACTTGTTCGTGTGCTTCACAACTGGTTTCATCTTAAACCGAGATTCGATTTGACTAATTCATTTCTGCACATGTTGAATCTGAATAGAATTTAGACGAGAAGTCAATGAATGAATGAAATTAGATGAAAGGTTTAGAAAATTAGAATATCAAAGCATCTGACTATAAATTAATTAATAATTTGAGTTTCTCTCCCTTTACAAATTATTTTCTTAATAACAAAAAGTTTATTGAACTTGTAAGAATTCAAAAAGTTTCATAAAAAATCATTAAATGGCGACTTTGTCACTGATCACAAGATTATGCAAATCATGAAAGATTTTTCTTTCTTTTGCGTTTATCGATAAATATTTCAAAAGCGACCAAGAACAGTTCCTAGCGGTTCAATTTACAAGCTGCGATAGCAAGAAGAAATAAACTTAATAAGATTACGAGTCGAAAATGTTTTAATTTTATATTTTTATTACTCAGGAAACAAGTTAATCAGTCAAATAAATGATTGGCAATGTCGTGAATCACTTCTATCGCAAGACATTCTCGATGCCAAAGAGATCATTAAGAACACGCTAAACGACATTGAGAAGAAGCAAACAGAAGTTTGTAATTCGTGGAATGAGCTTGAGAAATGCTTGGGAGATGCGAGAGAATTTTCGCAATTAGAAGAAGGAGTTTCGTACGTGACTAATTGGATTCTTACCACGGCCGAGTCGCTTTTAAATGGTCAGTTAAAAGTTGGATATGATATTCAATCTGCAGAGAAGCTTCGACTTGATCACGAGATACTTGAGTTCCAATGTTGGAAGACTTACGGTTCTTATGGTGAACTACTTTACAAAATCGATCACTTTCCGGGATGCAAAGACAGCTTTGCTTACAAAGATCTTCTGTCACAACGTGACTTTATGGATTTCGTCTGTCGGAGCTTTGCAACTCGCTTAGAACGACGTCGAAATCTCTTAATCACATCCGTTCGATTTTATCGACTTGTAGCTGAGTATTTTCAAAGAACGAGTAATGTTTTTGAATCGCTGCTACAAACCCAAAAAGAGAATGTCGACAATTTCGAATTGGCGAAAGGTAAACTTCATAAGATCAAAGAAAGTCAACAAAGCTTAGGTGAGACGTGAAATTTCATTGATGCGTGACAGCTTTAAGTGAATCTTTTGTACATGAATTTGTTCCACAGGAAACGTTGAGAAAGAATTAGTCAAAGAAGGTGAAAAGCTTAGTGATATTCTCTCGATGCCAATCAAAGATGCGCTAGGTCGTGACATTGACGTCGACTACAGTGAAGACATTGCTAGTCTTCGTGAGGTGCTTGATGCTGCTAAAACACGCTTCAAAATATTCAGCGACAGCATGGATCTTCAGAAACTTACGCTCGAGCAAATAACTCACATTCATTGCTGCGAAAAAGATGCTGAAATGGCCGTGAAATGGGTTGAAAGTGAGTTCAAATCATTACGAAATGTTTCTAGCAAAATGATAAATTAAACTTTCGCAAAAAGGTCTTTATAAAGTCATGCTAAAGTCTCACACTGTTGTTGGCTGTAATGTCTCGGAAATTCAAAACCAGAAAGACGAACATCAGGCGTTTCAAGACACGGCAAAAGTGAGTTAACTTCGAATTCAATGAACATTTTAATTTCTTGTTTTATTTCTGTCTCCCTTTAGAGCACATTCAATTACGGTATTCAATTGTTGAATGCCGCTTTTGCACTCCGTCAGTCATGTAAACTAAGCTCCGACTCGAACCTTGAAACGATTGACCATTTGAAGAAGATGTGGAAGAATCTTCATGCTGTCAGTCAAGAACAAATGACTCGTTTGCGTGTTTCTGCCGTGTTTTATCGGAGTGTAGACGAGCATTGCACAAAGTTGGAGCAATTGAAGGCATCAGTTATAAAATTGAAAGAAGTGGAAGATGAAGAGAAGCAAATTTTAAAGTTAAGAAAATATTTAGCAGTACGCGAACGTTTGTTGCTTGAAGTCGGACGAATGATGCGATTAGGAAGATTATTGAGAACTCGTCTGAAAGAACCTTTCTTTCTTAATAATGACTTAGAGAAGTGAGTAAGATAACTTAATGCATTTATAAATGTTATTCGCTAATGCGATAATTAAATCTTCGCAACTTACAAACATTCTCAGAAATCTTCATCTTTAAACCCCTTCAGCGTTTTCATCAACTTTTCTTTTAATAACTTAATTGATTGAATCATTTTTCTGACGTTTATTGAGAGAAGAAGAAAAGAATTTTTTCGTCTGACGTCGATGACAGATTTTGAGATGAAAATTGTCTCATGAGAAGAGTCAACGACAATAAGAGAGAAACTCGACTTTCAATCTCATTATTAGATCATCCAATTTTACTTTCTTCAAATATTTTAAACAGTTGTCGTTTAGTGTTTCGCGTGATTAAAAGCAGCGCGTGGATATCGTGACTTTGGGTGTTCACAACGAGCCGGTTTTCATTTATCGATTGTGTTAATTTAGAGAAAAAAGATTTCGAAATTCTTACAGAGTGATTTTAATGTCAGAATTTTAAATAAAAGAATTTTTTATATTTATATCGCAAGCTCATTAGGGCCAGAAGTTAATAAGTAAAAATAGGACAGAAAAAATATTTTTTTTGCCTTCCGTGAAAACGTGGACGGTGTAAGAAGAAACTGAAAGAAAGTCGATAGATAATCTTTTGGCAAAACATCAAAAGACGTTAAACTTTAAGACGAATGAAGAGAATATTCTAATTTATTGTCAATAAAACCATTGGAATTCTTCGAAACCAAAAGCTAGTCAACAGTGTTGAAGTATGTTGTTCAAGACAATCATTTGGTTGTAAATTTATTATTTATCAATGTAAAGTAATCCGCAAGTTTCGAACCTCTCACGATTACAAACAATCTGATCAGATTTTTATTATTTCTTATAAAGTTTTATGCTGTTTCTTTATTCAAAGATGAAGTCTGCGAAATTCTATTCTAAGAAATTCCCTCAGGGAATGAGTTCAGACATGAGAAGGAAGCATTCACTTCGCACATTAATCTTCTTCTTTTTTTAATATTTTTAGTATGTCGAGTGAAGAAAACGTGATTGCAATGCCAGGTGACAACTCGATTGCGGCTGATTCCATTTCAGCGAAGTTGATTGAAGTGTCGCGTGTTGCAGAATCGTTAGATAATGTTCTGCATGAGATGCAAGATGACTTAAATATATTTGAGAGTACGATGAGTGGAACTTCATCGACGACAACGCCGTCCACAACAGTTGAGAGAAAAATATCGTCAGCTAACAATAGCGATGTAAGAAAAAATTCAGTTTTCATTTCGTTGGCAAAACATTTATGAGAAAATTAATTTTAGGATTGGAATTCGAGTCTCAAATCGTCAACAGAAGACGAATCATTTGTCACGGCTTCCGAATACACGCCATCACGTTCATCATCTTATCACACAGCGTCAGAATGTCGCGGAACATCTCCTTGGACTTGGAATGAGTCTGCTGAAAGGAGTTCGGTCGATTTCGATTCGTCAGACCCTGAACAGATATCATTGAAACCTCTCACGACAACTTTATCCGCTAATGCATCTTTTGACGATTCCGAAAACAGTTTTTTGTCACCAATACCGTTTGGAGAACAAACGGAACATGACAACGCTCCACCCCCACTTCCACCGAAAAATTCAAGTCCATTGCAAGACATTTCTGAACCAACACACAATCAAGAGAACAGAATTTACACGATCTTTGAATCACCAACAACATCACCAAGTGAAATCGATTCACTTACTGAAGGTGAATGTGGTCGAAAGGTGAGCGACGACAATAATAATCTAACAGATATGACTGGACTTAGCTATTATTATCAAAATATTATAACTAAACAAGTGCTTAAGACGTGTCTTTGATTTCTTTTCTATTTTTATTAAGCTAAGACTAATTAAAGATTTTGATGCATGAGTGTTGCTTTATGAATAATTTGAATTGATTGTTTAATGTTTTACTAGTTGAATTTCATAACAAATTAAACAGAGATTTACTTGAAAATAGATAGAAAATTGATTTAAATTAAATAAATTAAGCATGTAGTTGAGTTAAGACAATTGACACAGCATTATAATGAAACTTTTTTTAAGAAATTGTCTCGATTGTGAAGCAAGCAAGCAAAGGAAAAAAAGCAAATGTTCAATGTCAATTTTAATGAAATTAAATAAAACAATATTTGCATTCATGTTTAACAATTTAATTTATTTGATCGTGGAATAAATAATTTTATGATTGGATATTGTCCAAGAAAATTATTTCATTTCGTGACGCAATATTTCTTCTCATGAGTAGTTTAAAAATGTTCATCTGACTTGCACTTGGAATATAAATTAAATGAGAAAAATATAGCAAATGTCAGCATGAATATTCAGCATGACTTTCGGTTGGATACGACGTGATGTGGCAGCAATAAAAGTTTCGCGAGTTTCTTTCGTGATTGATGATATTGCCATGTGCGTAATCACACACACAACATTGTCATTCTCTCTTATGCAATTAAAAATAAAATATTTATAAATATTTTCATGAAGATATTAAAGCTTTGCAAATTGTTTGTTCAACGTTCGTCAAAACATTCAAAGTTTGACTTGTGTTGATGTTGCAATGTTTGTTTACATCGACTACATCCAAAGATTTCTATTTGCCGGTTCACACATTCACAAATTTCTTGTGTCGCAACACAGAACAGTTTCGTGTAGCAAAGTGGAAGCACTCCTGACGATACAAACGTTTTTAAATGATACGTAACTGTGTTCAAATAAGTATTCATGATCTCTCTTACCACGTTCGTTTTATTTCAATCAACAACTCACTTTAATATCCAATTGTTGTAAAGTTGAGCAAGAAAATGCGAGTGTGGAAATGTTTTTCATAGAAACTTCAATCGTTTCTCTCAAATTAAAGCCTAAGAATTGTAATTGTATGGAGTACGAGACTTTTGGATCTGGTTTGTTCGATTCGTAACGTGATCAGTTTTTCTTAGACACTGCTGCAGTCTACTTGTGAAACTCGCCGCAAACTAACCGAGAAAAGAGAAAAAAATTCTCAATTTAAATTTATAAGTTTTATGTTTTCATATCTTTTGAGTTAACCGAATTCTATTTTCGCGAAAAAGAAAAATTTTCCTCCGTTTGAGTGTTGATTGCTATCGAAACCAAATTTAACCGAATCTTTTGTTGGAGTATCTAATAAAAATCGTCATTAATCTTCACTCGCGCTTAATTCCGTGTTATGTAAAAAGTGTTTTCTTTAAAAAAAATTAGTAAAGTGATTCAGAATTAAACGCGTAACTCTAACAAATCTTCTTCTCGTCTAAAGTGTATTTTTGTATTTCATAGAAAGTGAAGTGAAAAAAAAAGAAGTCGCAAATCAAGCAAAAAAGCAGAAGTGAAAAAATATTCTTTCGACATTTTTTGCTTAGTTTTCCACATTTAACAATTTATTCAAGTTAAAAAATAAAAAGAATGGAAATCGATCCAATGGAAGAAAGGGATTTGTACAATAAGTACAACATGAATAACAACACCGTGTCAACAACAATCAGCACCATCATTGTTCAAGGTGGACCTCTTCAATTAGTTATAGCATTGCTGAGAGTAAGAAAAATTATTTTTTACTTAAATATAAATTATGTTTGGATGATATCAGTTTCAATGTCTCTTCTGACACTCGATACAAGCTTCTGTCTCTCATTACACGTTTGAATACGATGAGAATTGCTTTCAATACAGCCTCATGTTGCGTCACGAAGTGCTAATTATCGGTACACAACTCAATGACGAAATTTTGATATTTATTTACTTTTTTTTTCGACGACCTAGTCCCAGTAACAAAAGTTAATAAAAATTCAACAAAAGTGATTTTTTTCGTTCATTTTATGCTTCAAATTCATTAACAAAACGAGGAATAACCGGTTCAGAGTTTAAGTTAATTCTTCATCCGCGAAAAAAGAAAAACAAGAAGCAAAAATAATTCCAGTCGAGACCTCAAACTATGCATGAATATCAGAAAGTCAAAATGTTTGGAAGTTGGAAGTTTATTGGGTAGAAATAAATAAAATAGCAAACGACTATTTACTAAACTATGAACAGATGTAAGACATTCGATTCACACATCTTCCTCTCGCCATTGCCAATCCATATCATCGATTATTAATAACTCTTTCGTCGTCTCATACACAAAATATTGTCTCAAAAAATCACTTTAAACTCATTCTTTCTAAACTCGCACAATTGACTTGGTGTTGTCTTTTTTTAATATTTCACATGAATCAGATTTTGAATGAATTCTCGTACGCTTGATCAACCATAAAAACTTTTTTTTCTATCATTTCGAAGATCTTTTACTAGCTTTTTGTGAAATGATGTAATTATTTTAAATTAAAAATCTTTTCAAGGCGCTCGCAGGAAAGAAATTGTTTACAATATGGAATCAGTTAAAATGTGGTGAACATGAAGTCATGGGCGCAGAGGTTTGTGTGTACTGCGGGAAACTTTGATCGCTTAAATCATACTCGTTTGCTTGTGGATAAGAATGTTTCATCTTACATCCAATTTGAGTGAAATCACTTCTCAATGGCGGACTTTTATCCGACCCCGAATACTTGCTTATAATAACAAAAAAAAATCAATTCGAATTAAAGTTATTTTTATGTTCAATGTTGCCAGAACCACTTTCAATCCACGATTCATCACATTTTCTTTTTAAACATTTCGAAATCTTCGTTTGTTCCTTCGATATTTTCAATTGACTGGCGCAATAACAGGCATCGAATATGTAGGAAAAATAACTTCCTGATCTACTTTCTGCTTCTGATCGTGGCAAAAAATAAAAATAGTTTCTTTGGATACTCTCATTTCAAACTTGGCCATCAGTTCACGTTTTTCTTTTGCTATTTCTCGGATTGCGTTTATAATTTTTTTTGCCAGATGCTTCTGGATGCTTATAAATAAATATTTAAATCGAGAATGTTTGAGATATTTTTCTATGAGAAGAAGCGAAGAAATTTTAAAACTGTCGATTGAAATCTTTTTCTATTTTTGCTTTAAAAATTGCGGAGTGTAAATTTAAATTGACAGAATAATTAAAAATGAGATGAGAATCATCTTTGGCTTTCCTTCTCACTGGCAATTTTGTTTTATTTCTAATTTATTTGCTTTTTGTGTGTGACAAACACGAACAAGTTTGATGACACATTTCTATTCATTAACAATGCTTAGAAGTTAAATTATTCTTATCGTTCATGTTCAACACAATTGTCAAAGCCATTTTAAGTCAACAATGACCAAACGTGATGCAAAGTAACGCCATGAAAATTAATAAATTAATTTCATTTTATATTCCGTAGCTTGAAGCTTTTTTTCACTTAAAACTTTACATCTTGATAGCGAAGTTTTACAATTCTCCCTTTTCAATGCAACCTTTGAGAGTTTTTCTATTTATTTCATGATATTTTGTAACGTAACAACAATTTTTCTTCGCTTTAAATAGTATCCCCATAAAGTCTTTTGTTGATAAAACATAAAGTAAAATTGATTTATTGTCGCAGACTTTTGAATACTTTCAATTGAAAATGTTTGTTTGAAAGCATCGAAGCAGTTTCTCACACTCGATTTTCGTTGAATGTGACCAGCGAAATAAAAATCAGCTTCGTAAACCATCCGTAGAGTTTATCTTACTCTCCCCGTTCCTTTTTTACGCGAGACGTGTTTTATGTGGCTTAAGTTGAGCATTGACGATCATAAAGTCGTGTTTGTGTTTATTTTTTAAAATATTCAAACACTTCAAAATCATTCATAAAGACGTGAATGTAAAATACAAAACGATTCGTGTCGTGATTTATGAATAAATCCATGAAAACAAGAAAACTTCAAACGAGTCAATATTGTGTACGATGATGTCATTTTTAAACACGTCTTTCAAGAGTCTTGTGAATCTCATTCTCAACGCATTATTTTTGTTTGTGAATACGAAGAAATGACAAATGATCGTGATATTGAATAATAAATAATTAAGATTCTAATTAGACTTTATGCTCAACTATGAACACTTTTAAATTTAATTAATTGCGATTATCACAGTATAGTGACGATGACACAATTAAATTTAATTTTAGGAGATGACAACTTAACGAAATGCAGTGAAAATTTTCATAAAATGTCATTAAACTTTTACAATTTCATTTCTCAAAAAATAAGTAAAAGAAATGTTCGAATGGCAAAGAGCGAAGGAAAAGCCGGTTTTGCGTTAACATTAATATGTTCAACATGCTTCAAATAAGGCATAAAAAAGGAATGTTTTCGTAAGAATTATTTATGGAGCAACATCTAAATGAGAAATTTCTTCTGTCGACAATCTAGAAAGCTGAACTGTTTCAAGTAATTAAAAGGAAACTATTTATCTTGATCCAAAAGAAATCTTCGCTAAAGTTTATTTCTGAAAGAAGTTAATTATTTTCATAGTCGAAATAAAATCTGCAAATTTGGGATTTTATTTCATGTTTTTAAACGGAATAAAAACAAAATGTGGTTTTAATGGTTTTCGTGCAAGACATTATTCTGAGTTTGGTTGACAGTTTGCCAAGAAAAATATGAAAAAGATGTTTGAGTAAATGTGCAAGAAACTATTCTCGAATTTGTTAATTTAATACGATCATTAAATTGGTTTCCAAGCAAAATCATTCTGCGTAAAACTAGAAATGAAAATATTTGAAAAATTATTTGTAAACATTGAAAACAAGAAGAATAATGCAATTCCATGACTTCATTCAAATGTTTAATGTTAACATCATTAACATTAAATTTCCTTTAATCTTTGGTTTCGTTTCATGTTCAATGAGATGGATTTTGATTTTTTTGAATCTTCTTATGTTTTCTTAGTTGAATCGGTAGAAATAAAGTAAAGCAAGAAGAAGAATTTTATCAGCGAAACATACATTTATTAAGCTTAAAGCCACAAACTATTTTTTTATTGAAACTTGTATAAGAATGTGAATTCTAAATAAGCTAAAGCACTTTGCGGTTTCATGAATGTGAAGCAGCCATCGAACTTCACTACAACAACTCAATGCGTGAGAAGTTGAGATAAAGTGTTCGTCTTGATTGAATTGAAGAAAAGAAATCATTTTGCAATAATCTAGCAACAATTTTTCATAAATCCAATAATTTCTTTCTCCGCATTTGGCTTAGAGTTCGACACCTTTTAAGGTAACGAATACACAACAATTTCCAAAATTGGAAGATATTAGTCGTTGTGAAAATGCTGTTATTAATGTTAGTGATGATTGATTGTTCAGACGATTTAGGACTTTGTCATAATATGAACTCGAACACTTTACTAACCATGTAGAGAAACATCAATAAAAGCATAAACAATTATTAAAAACACTGGCAATAAACCAGTTTTCAACCTACAATTCATTTCTTACAATTCGCAAAGATTATTTTTGATATTGAGTAACATTTCATGTTGCTCTGCTTATGTTGTATGAAATTTGAGGTTTTGGGATTTTAACTTGAAGTTCTTGCAATACTTATCGATCATAAATGTTTGAGTAACATGAAACAGAAGCCATTTATGATCATTTATATCCTCATCGAATTTCTTTAAAGTTACTCAAGGTTTGAATTCATCTATGTGTTTAATAATCTGAACATAAAGTTTTATTTATTCACACATTTCTTACTCAACCAACTTTATTTATTACTTTCATCATTATTCGTTACATTGTGAGTTCCCAAAATGAAAGGTTAGAAAGTTTAGCAAACCAGCAGAGTCACAAAAATGTTGAATGACTGAAGAAATAAATCAATTAATTACATAAATGTTGATAAGGAAACTTCCCTGAAATGAAACTGATTTCATCCAAACAATTTCTTTATTTAAAACAAAAATAAGCAATTATCTCTCTTGACCCAAAAATAAATATAAAACCAACAGACTGGAAATTCACTCCAAATAAAAGTTGCCGAAGTGATACCAAAATTCACATTTCTTGGAAAAAACTTGGATGAAGCATTGAAACTTCAAAAGCAACATGAAGAGTTGATGCTTAATATTCAGGTAGATAAGATGATCATTGATTTATGATGTTTCGTTTACTGAAAATTATATATTTCTCCACTGTGCATTTTGTAGAATCTTCCTTCGCCTCTCGAAGAGTTTTATCGAAAAGTTCAAGAAAAAATCGCGGCACAAGAAGAACCAAACCCGCGACTAATTGAAGACATGGCAGATTCACTTAACATTGTCTGGGCTGATATACAAAAAATGCTTCACGAGCGCCGACTGATAATCAACTTGAATGTTGCATTTTTTGAGCGCCTCGGTGAGTGTTACGGTAAAATGAGTGCGTTGGAGGTCGCCTGTAGGGATACTATGATCCCAATTGAAGTTGAAGCCGTCAGAGATTATTTAGAGAAATTCAAACACCTAAGGATGGAAGTATTATCATCAGTTATGAATCCACTAACAGTCGGCAATCAGCTGTTAGAGAAACTTAAGGAAATGGTCAACTACGGCACTTTGGATTCAAGACCAGATCACATTCTTGAAGAGTCTAAAAGATCGGTGACACTTGTGGAAACTTGGCTTGAAGATTTAAGCGACAAACGAAATAATCTCGAAACTGCTTGGTTGTGTAGAAAAGTTCAACTCGAGCAGTGTTTAATTTTAGCTCAACTAACAAAAGATTTATCAGAACTGGAAAAAATTCTAAATAAACAGAAGGATGAAATTTTGGGAACATTTACGCTTGGTGACAACAGTAGACAAGCACAATCACTTCAGCAAGAATATGAAACATGGAAAGTTGATGCAATCGCACTTCGAGACAAAGCTTTGAAAATCACAAGAGCAACTGAAGAAGTTGTTAAGCAAGGAAGCTTTATCGGAGAAGAAGCTTGCAGCAAAGCTTACAGCGTCTTGGCAAATTGCACAGAATACTTTGACGAGATTGATTTACGTGAATCACTCTTGGAACAATCGAAAGAATTCTTCAGAAAAGCAGAAAATGTTCTAAAGCAACTCGATGATCTTGAAAGAGATTTAAAGAATGTCAGTATGCGACCAGGTTCGCCTAATTTCATCTCAGTGCATCTTAAACTCATGCAAGAAGTCAGCACAGCAATTACTAAGACTCTTGAACTTGGATATTCACTCATTGACGAAGTTGGAAGAACCAAGCCTGAAGTCGCAGGTGTTCAAAGAGTCGTCGATGAAATTGAACGAAGAAAAATTTATCTTGACAAAGCATTTTCGAAAACAAGTGAAAAGCACATTAAAGTGTCAGAAGAACTCAGTATTTTCCTTCAACAGTACAACGATATTTTCTCGTGGATAGAATCACAGAAAAAAGAAAGAATCATCAGTGGTCCAATAAATTTCATGGGAAATAATGCACACCAAGCCAAAGACTGCCTTAATTCTCATCAGCAGCTTCTCAGAGAGTTGGAGGTTTGTGTTGTCGATTTCATTCAAACATTACAAGTTGTTGACATGACATGAAATGTAATTCTATAAATCAATCTGTTAAATGTCAACAATTTGACGGTTTCATGTAAATTAATAAAAAAATTTGCTTGAATTTTGATTATTTTTAGATCAAAGACGAAGAATTTAAGAATCTAAACAGAAAAGTTTCAGAAATTTTAGAATTTGTCGAAGATTCACAACGCAACGATGTCAACGAGAAGATTCATTTGCTGTTGAAAAATTCAAGTGACTTCAACAACTTCCTGACATCGAGAATACCCGTCATTGAACTCTACTTAAGATTCCATCAAGAAGCTGATCATCTCACAAATCTTTTCAGCAATTTAGAGCAAACATTGAAAACTAAAAAGCGTTCGGAAGATTTTCATTATATCGATACGGTGTGGAGCAAGATTCAAACACAATTTACTGTTCTTAAAAATATTGCAAAGCACTTCACAGCTGAGAAAACTAAGGTTTGTTGTCTGAGTGTGTGTTAAGTAAAGTTTTTAGTCTTGTTTTGAATTGCGGCATGTTTTGACATCATGTCAAATGGATGATGCTTTTTTAATGGTTGATTTGCGCTACTGTCTTCTTTGACCTCTTTCCTTTTATTAACCGATGATGAAAATTCTATTTTCATTCAATAAATATTTTCGCGGATATTCAATGCTCGTTTCGTTTTTAACTGCTGACCCATAAAACTTTCAAGTCAGATTTTTTTTCACTTTACTTTGTTTGATTTGCGAAAATAATGCCGAAAGAGGTTTTTCTGTGTTTATGATGTGTACACAAAAATAAGAAAAATATATTCTGGGATGCTGCCAACATTTCTTCAACTAGATTTGTCTCTTTCTTGTGTATGTTTAACAGAATTAAATAATGTAAAACAACTGTCGCGCGTTTTTATGCTTCTACTTACATACAAACAACGCGGCTGTATTCATATTCTTGAAGATATCTTTGAGAAGAACAAAAACAGCACAGACTGAACGCGCTCTCACCACATATACCCAATACTTTATTAATACCATCGTACGTTCTGATGTATGTTTCAACTATATCTATTTTTATGTAACAGGTCGCAGATTCATATCTACAAGTCGATCGAGCTGAAAACTGTATCGAGAAGACACTCGACGCGTTCAGTCGTCGTCAGTTGGAGATAAGTGATGTTTGGGAGCATTGGAATATAACTAAAGAGATCAACATCGTGCTGGAGCAAGTGATGGCAGAAAATATTGAAGTAAGTCTTATCCAATGATCTGATTAATTTTTTTTAAATTAATTTCATTGAAAATGTTGAGAAAAAAGAAAATTCTATTTTTACGACATTCAATGATGAAACAAAAGAAAGAAAAAAATCCTAATTTTTATATTATCTTTTTGTCTTCTCGCAGACACTTTCTTTGACCGCCAAGATCGAGGATGAATTGTATCCAATACTCGCAACCTCGGAAGAATTGCCAAGTGAATTAATTCGTTTTGTCGGCAATAAATTAAAAACGGTTCTTAATGAAATTCAACAAGCGGAACGCGAATTGTCGGCGCGAATCGATAAAATCGATAAACTCGAAGCAAATGATGAAGTGTCCAATGAGAAAATTGTGCAAGTGAAAAATAATCTAAATTCGATTAAAACGAAATTATTTTCGTTGGGTGCTGATTATAGTGAGTTAGTGGATGTGATTTTAGGGTTTTTGCGTGCTTATCAAGATGTTTATGAAAGCATTCGAGCATATTTCGCGGATAAAAATCAACCGTCACCACTTGCAGAAAATGTTGAAAGTCTCATCAGAGATTACGAAACATTCAAAAGCAATACAATGGAACATTTCCGTAGTTTACTTGCTCAAAGTGAAAAAATTATCGATCGAATTAAAATGCAAGAACCACCTGGCTCGAAAGAACATGACGCTGACAAAATCATTACTCTTCTTGAGAAACTTCGAGTTTACTTCGAATCAAATGCATCATCAGAAAATTCTGAATTGAAGCGGCAATATTTCATCACTGAGTTTGAGAAAATGTTAACGGACCTTAATGATAACATCAGTGATTTAGACTCACAGTTCAATGATATGCAGGATAAGTTTGGAGAATCGGCAGCGGCTTCTAAAGTCGCTTCACTTTCATATGAATACTTCGAACGAAATGTCGATGTAAGTAAATTTTAAAACTTAATTATCAAAAGATTTATGAAAAACTAACGATGACAAGAATGAATGTATTTTAATACTCACCTGATTTAGCTTAAAGCTGAATGAAATTTCATGAAGATTTATAGTTTACTAGAAGGCAATAAAAACTTGTAGAACGATGAAAGTTGTTTAGACAGAGAAGAGAATTATTTCACTTTTGCTTGTTGAGCATTTATATTTACAAAGAAAAACTTTAAAAAAAAATTTCACTGAAAACTCTTCTCAAATTTTGCGCGTCCTTTTCATCAATTAAATTTCACTTTACATATTTAAAAGTTAAAACGTTCACTCGAACTTATTTTCATTATTTTTTTGTTTTTTACATTTTCACTGACAATTTTCTTGAACAATTATCTATTAAGCACAATATTATTCACGATTACGCAATTAAATTGCTGAGGCGCCCGCCATGATTAATTTATTTTCCAAGAACTTTGCTAAATCTAGTACGCCAAAATTCCCCAATTTGATATTCCGAAGGAAAAAGCTACGTCAACATAAATCGTCTAAAAAGGATTAAATCTTCTTTTCTTTTATCCTTCAATTCTTAGTTATCTTTTTCTTTTGTGTTTTCAATTGTTTTATTTTGATATTTTATGTACAAAAAAAAGTCACAAAGTTGAATGTAAGGTATAAAGAAAATGTAGCACTAAAGTTTTGAACTTATTTTAATCTCGTCTTAAATTGTTTTATTGACACGCTGAGTGAGAGCACACGCACGTCAAATACATCATATGTCACAATGTAAACATAGGATGGAGAGAAAATTTGTTATATACTTAAGTTTTGATAGTCGTACGCCGGTTTTCATCATTTTTATTTATTTATTTATCTAACCCGCCTCTGCACTGTGCGTCTATTCAACGTATGTTTGCGAAACTCCTTTCGTCGCTGTTTTCTTAATTTTTCTTTTCGGAAAACTGTCTCATCATTTCATTTTACGCTCAAAGTTTCAAATGTTCATAAAGTTAAAACATTTTAATTATATCAATAATTTTTGCACGGTTTTTTATTAAAATTTTCCAGCTACTTAATAAACGAATCGAAAATTTCATCAGCTCGTATAAAAATAGCAACATCAGCTATCCAGATACGAAACCGTTCATCGATGGGGAATTAACGAAGCTTCAAAATCGTTGGGATGAGTTTAGAGATAAGTCACTCAAGCTGAAAAACTCTTTGTCACTAGCTCAACAATATTTCAGCTTGTTGGATATTGTGAGTAGTTTCACTTTTCTTTCTTTCTTCTATTTTTAAGATATTTAAATTCGTATTTATGTTTTTAATAAGATAACCGTGAGAAAAGAAAATGCGATTTTAAATTTTTCTAATTGCATCACATGTTTTCAATGATGCAACATGTGACATTTCACAAGCATTTTCTGTTTTAATTTCTAGATCGATACACGTTATCATAAAACGTACACGTTCTTGGTGAATTCAGTGAATTTGAGAAAAGATGAACTTCGTAGTTCAGACAGCGCATTTCAATTAATTGATGAGATTGAAAAGTATGTGATGGAGAACAAGGAAAAACAAATTGACGACTTAAAGAAATTATCAAAACTGTCTAAAGATGTTTTCGGTGTTGATAAAACTGAAAATCTTTATTCCGACAATGTTTTCATTTTCGAGTCTTTTGAAAAAATAAAATCAGATATTGTTGACATCGTGAAAGATTTGAAAGCGAAAGAAGATCCTGTCGCAATGATTAATGAGATTGATAAAAATATTCTTGTGATCGAAAGCACAGAAGAAGTGATGAAAATTGAGAATGTTCACGAGATTGTGCCAGTTGTGGAAGGTGAACCACCGAAGTTTGTTCGATATCTGGAAAGTGCTGAAGTGACAGAAGGTGAAGATTTCACTTTTGAATGTATCGTTAAAGGAACACCGGAACCATCAATTAAATGGCTGAAATATAGTTCTCCTCTTGTTGAAAACCAAAAATGCCGAACAACATACAGCGACGGAAAATGTCGCCTTGAAATTTTAGACGTTTCTTCATTTGACGCTGCTGTTTTCTCTTGTATTGCAACAAATAATTCAGGCACAGCTCAAACGACAGCGAACTTGATTGTTAACGAAGAATCGAGTGAAAAAACTAACTTGGCACCGCCAACATTTATTCGACTTCTGCAAAATGCCTACGCAAATGAAAATTCATCATTTGAGTTCAATTGCTTGGTCACTGGCAATCCATTGCCAACCGTTCAATGGTACAGAAATGACAACTGTGTCGACAGTAACTCCAACTACAACATCACTTACAACAACGGTCTCGCATCCCTTCAAATTCCATCTTTGAAGATTGAAGATCAGGGAATTTTCACAGTCAAAGCAAGCAATCAAGTTGGACATAACGAGTGCAGTGCCATCTTGAGCGTCGAAGGTAATAATTTTATTAATAATTTTTACAATCTCATTAAATTACTTTTCACAACAGCTATCGAGAAACACCAAAGCCCATCCATTAAATTGCCACTCGCCAACGTCGCTACAAACGTGGGACAACAAATTAAACTCGAATGTAATGTCGTTGGCAATCCACGACCTGAAATAATTTGGATGCACAACGGAAAACTACTTTCTGATGACGTTAACGTGAGTAAAATGAAAAATGCACAAAATTTCTTTCAAAACATGAAGGGAAAAATCATTTCGTAATTTGTTTGCCTGAAGTATTTAGGCCATTTAAATTACTATTAAGTTGTCAGGGCTGCTACGTACGCAATTTAAGATTCGATTAATTTTTTTAAAATTACATTTATTACAAGTAATGATGGTTAAAAAACTTAGAAGAAAGATTTGAAATTTTTTGATTTTCCTCCCTCAAATTTCACAGATGGTCATCCTAAAGTCTTAAACTACAATTCATAATTAAACGTTTCTAGATCCGTGATAAATTTACTTTTCCCCACTAATTTTCTTCACAAAAAAAAAATTAATTAATTAAAGGAATACCGTGCAACGAAAACATACAAGACCTGACTTTAAAGAGAAACAAAACATGTGTGGGCGAAGATTTCTCATCGCTTGTATGTTAAGTCATATCAAAAAGAAATATTTTTTATGACATCATTTGAGGAAAGAGCCATTCGTTCATTCTCCCCCACAAATCCCAATTCTTCTAAATGAAACGAAAAGAAAATTTCCACGAATACAAACAAACGATCGTCGGCGACACTTACGAAATGATCTTAAAATAGAAAAGTCTTATGGTAAACACAGCCGATGTTGACGGCATAATCGCGAAAAAATGAAGAAAAATCATGTTCGGCTATTACTTTATTGCTTATTGTGTTAGTGGAATTTTCCGATTGAGTTTTTCCCCTTTGTCTGTTTTTTCTCAGTTGCAGTACGACGGCGAAAGATTAACGTTAACTATACCGAAGGCAACCACAAAGTCTTCTGGAATTTATCGTTTGACAGCGAATAACATAGCTGGAGAAGCATCAACCGAGTGCTACGTTACTGTCGAAAAGCCAATCGTTATTAACAAAGAAGTCGAAGCTATCAAACCTTCAGTTCAATTGCCCTTAAAAGATATCTCAGTGTTTGAGGGAAAACCTTTGCGCTTAGATTGCATCATCGTTGGACATCCAGAACCCGAAGTCATTTGGCTACAGAACGAAAATCCTATAAAAGAATCAAACGACATTCAACTTTACTTTCAAGGTGATAGTTGCACACTGCTCATAAGTGAAGCTTTCATAGAAGACGCAGGCGTTTATAAAGTCGTTGCTATAAATTCAGCGGGCAAAACATCAAGTGAATGTCGTGTGACCGTAACCCCATTGAACATTGCTGAACCTCTTGTAAGACCATCATCTGATCGATTATCAACTAACGAAATGCCGCCGAAATTTGAGAAACTTCTCACCGATAACTTTGCAAACGAAGGCGAAACAATTGAGTTGGAATGTTGTCTGGCGAGTGGACCGTTGCCAGATATTAAGTGGTATTTGAATAATAAAGAAATCTCCTATAACGATCGTATACAGCCATTAGCACAAGAAGATGGAACGTTGAAGCTTATTATTAAAAACGTTTTGCCAGAAGATAAAGGCGTTTACACGGTCAAGGCTACAGATTCAACTGGTGTTGCGAAATGTTTTTCACATTTAATAGTAAAATCGACCGCAAATAGTAGCGACGTTCAACTGTTTCAACCTGAACCAGAAGAGAAACAAGTTTCACCAACATTCAAGGAACTTTTCTCTGACCGTTCGGTGAACTTCCAAGATTCAACAAAGTTTGAATGCATCGTATATGGGAAACCAACACCGAAGATTAAGTGGTTGTATAATGATCAACCAGTACAGGGAAAAGACTTTCTTGTATCGAGAAGTGGCGATCGACAAGTTCTCATAATGCCTTGTGTCACGCAAGAGAATGTTGGAAAGATTACTTGTGTCGCTGAGAATGAAGCTGGAAAAGCTACTTGCGTTGCTGTATTGACAATGTCTGGTATTCCCATGTCCACAGAACAACAATTTACAACACAAGAAGACAAGTCGGGATCGTCATTAGTCACAATGCAAAAGCAAATCACAACAACGACAACCACTAAGCAATCGAATCAATTTGGAAATGGAACTCCACAATCGCAATTCCATTCAACATCGGAACAAATTGATTCATCTTATAAGAAAGTTGGTGATTCGACACCAGAAGTGTCAGAAACAAAGAAATTTGAAGAATTTAGAGAATCATCAGATGAACCACCACAAACTTTCGCTCAAAAAATTTTGAACTTCACAAAGAATGAATCCACGGAGAATGTCATCACACATTCAGGTGGAATTTCTACAGGAAAACCTGTGAGAAGGAATATTGCACCTCGATTTGTCACGCCATTGATTGGGAAGATTGTTGATCAAGGTGTTGATGTCGTACTTGAGGGTATTGTTGATGGATATCCAGTACCAACACTTGAAATTACCAAGAATGGCGAGAAGATTGAAACCATTCCTGGAGTTATTGAAATCACTTACAATTTAAATAAAATCAACATCAAATTGTATAATGTGATGACAAAAGATGCTGGAAGATATTCGGCAATTGCTAAGAATGAAGCTGGATCGGCAACAAGCACTGCTGATCTCGTTGTCAAAAGTAATTTAATGACATTTTCAAAAATATTTTCATGGTGAAAATTTCCACAATATTTTTTCATTTATTTATAGAATCAATTTTCCCACCGGTTTTCGGTCGTCGACTTCAAGCACAAGTTGTAAAGATTGGTGAACGTGTCATCATGGATGTGGAAATAACAGGAACACCTGAACCAAGGATTTCATGGTACAAAGAAGATCGTCCATTGATGCCTGGAATGATTTCGGAATATAAACTTGCACAAGTTGGAAACTGCTACAAATTGATACTTGAGAATGGTTTGAATGGTCTTTTCAAAATAATTTGAATTAAATTTTAATTTTCTTCTCTTTTCTTCATTTTCTATCACCAGCTAAAGTTCAAGACTCCGGAAAGTACATGGTGAAAGCAGAGAATTCTGGTGGTGAAGCTCAAAGCATTGCAGACTTTCTGGTCATGGAATCGCAACCAGATCGAATGGTCGAAATCACTAAAACTGTCGTGTTCAGTGATTTACCTCAAAATCAAGTCAAGGTAAGATTTTCTATTTTTCTTCCCTTTTTCCATATAAAACATCAAAAAAAATCTTTCTTCACATTTCCTTTCTATCATTATTGATATCATAAAAAATGACTGAATATGTTTATAAACTTAAATTAGTCTGATCAAACAAAAATTCAAAACGGAACTTCAAAAGAAAATTATTCGTCACATCAAGAAGTGAAATCTCAAGCTCAATTGGGAAGCTCAACCGAGTCAAAAGTAATTCTCGAGACAACTCGAACAACTTCTGCTACAATGCGAATGGAGCATAAAGCAAACTTCCCTGATTTGCCTGTGACATTTTCACAGAGAACGCAAACGCCGACGATTCCTTTGGTCAGTGAAGGAACAATGATGGACTCAGAAGTCAAACGTGAAGTTAAAAAGCAAACAGATTCAACTCAAACTCCACAAGCTGAACCAGCTTTTAAACCCCAAGTCCCAACAGCTCCTCCATCATCTCAATCTATTCCCTTCCCATTCTCCGACGAAGTTCCGGTGTCAAAACCACCCGAACCACTCAAGAAAACTGCTTTAGAGTTCTTTGAAAGTAATTTGAAGAATTTGCCACCTCTGCAAGATGATAAATACACGAGATATGAAGATGTTGTTAAAAGCAGCAAGCAATACGTTCACAAACAAAACACTGTTAAGGAACAGTTCCAATCGAAACTTACTGAAGATTTGAGCTTCTTCAATCTTAAACCTGAACCACCACCTGAAATGGGATTCATGCCAAAAGTAAAGCCAACTCAACCTGAACGACTTGTTGAAAAAGTCAAAAAGCTTGAGGAAGTTCACCAATCAAGCGAAACGCCTTTGAGTGGAACGGTTTTACCTCAATCATATAAAAAGGAAGAAAAGTTCGAGAGGAAAGAATTCGTGTCAACGAAAGCGGTTGCAACTTCTCCATTTTTACAACAAAAACCTTTGTCACCACTCCCACAACAACCGTCATATTCACCTCAAATTAATCGCGATAAACTCTTAACTTCTGATCCTAAACTTACACGAAGTCCTTCGCCAAAACCTTCCGCTGAAGCAGTCAACATGGAGAAGTTGTGGGCGATGAAAACAGTAAAATCGCCTGAACCATTCTCACACCATCAACAAAGCTTTTCTCATGAACATAAATCATCATTTGTTGCTTATTCATCGCATCAGAGTCAGAGTCAAAGTCAACAACAGACTTTGCCATCAAAGGAAGTTTTTGTTCCAATTCAACCTTATCCTGTTGAAGCGCCACCAGCAACACAAGAACAACAGCAAGAAGAAGAAATTCCAAAAGTTTCTATCAAAGATACAAGAAGCTTCTTTGAACAAAGAATTAAACAAGAAGAAGTGAAATCAATCCCAGAGTTAAAAGCTCCTGGTCTTGTTAAGCAATTTGCTAAGCCAATGGTTCCTTTAATTCCTTTGGAACTCGAGCCAGGCTCACCGCCAGAGATTTGTTACGCCCCTAAACCTGTTTTGGAGAGAACGCAATCATATGTTGAGAAGATTGAAAAATCACTTGAACAGAATCTTGATAAGGAACCTGAAAGAGTTCCTCCTGGTGGTGTTCGAATAATCCCGACAAGGCAAACTCCGCAAAGAATGCCATCACCACCAAAAGTTCAACCACAAACCCCAGTGGCACCTCAAATCCCCCCAATCACCCCAATCACCCCAAATATCATAAAACCTGAACCAATAAATATTAAATCAAACGATGTTGTTGACTTTTCATCATCTCAATCGAAACAATTTCATTCGGAACGAATTGAGATCAAGAAAGAATCATCGACGGGTGAACATTTGCCTGGTTATCGTCATGTTGAACCACCGAAATTTTTACAACGTGGAAAATCTTCTGAACCAATTAAAACGCCACCATTTGAACTTCCCAAACAAGAACCTTTTATTATGAAGCCTGAACCACCAAAGCAGCAATTTTCTTCGCCATTGCAACAACCATTCAGTCAACCACCGAAAGAAGTGCCAATAGCTGTTCAGAATCCTCACTTACAGCAACATAAGCCAATATCTCAATATCAGCCAAAGCCTTTCATACCGAAAACGAACAAAAAGTTTAATGAATTCGTTTCTGAGACTCACGAGAGTCACAGCATGTATAAGAACTTTGTACGATCTGAAGAAAGCACTCAATCGTCGGAATCTTATTTCCAAAAGATTGATCAGCCAAAAATGATTCAACCACCGCATAATTTTTTGCAAACCGAACCACAAAAGCAGCAATTTTTACCTCAACAGCAACAGGTTCGCAAAAAACATTTCCCCATGTGATGTTTTAGATGTGATTTTTGTTGCCAACTCATGATTTTAGTTTTTATTCCTTTACTCGCATCTCTCCCCTTTTATTTAATTCAGTTTTCAGTTTAATTATCCCACAAATGCCAAATATTTTTTTACTTACTAACTGTTTCTTGCGAAACGACTTTTTTCTTCTCCCTCAAAAATGAAATAAATAAAAAAAATTGCAAATCGATTGAATTTATTTTTGGAAATCGAAATAAAGAAAAAGCTTTAATCTCGAAATATGACAAAAAAGATGATTGACGATCTTTATGACGAATATGAAATATTTTTACAGTTTTTTTTCGTTTCCCTTTTCATACGATTGGTTGATGGAATTTTATTCAACTTTCATTGTACATTTGCATTCATTAAATTGAGTGTAGATAACTTAATTCAGTTGCTTGAATAAGAATCCATTAATAGATTCAGATACTGTTGATTGTTGGATTGAGGCTCACTTGAAAAATAAACAAGTCAATCTTGTGTGTAGAGTAGATTCACTCAAATTTAAACCATTTTCCGATTCGATTGCTTACTTAAGCCGGTTGCTGTTCAACATTTCGTTCATCTATTCTACTGACTTCCCTCATAAATCACATCACGATCACACAAAACGCTCGATGTGTAGTGTGCTTGCTTGTTTTTTGTGTGTTCTTTTTGCAATAATTTCTAATTTTATCTCACGAGCTTTTCTTTTCGTTTTGATTTCTGTTTTTCTTCGCTTTTCATTAAAACGAATTTTAATTCTTTGAATTTTCATTTCACAGGAAAGTAAAACCACACAAATGATGAAGAACATTTCAATGACCAATAAGCAGATAAAAATTAATGAAGAACCGATTTCGATTCAATATTCAGACGAGCCAAGCCAGAAAACGAATATTCAACCAGCACCAAGTCCTTCGAAGTTCGTGAAAGGAGAATTTAGGGAAAGTGAATATGAAAGCGACTACGATTCAAAGATTCAATCGATGTGGAGACCAAGCAGTGGACAATCTGATCAAATGTATAAGTCAGTGACACCAAACTTATCACAAACTCCACAAAAGTTTTCTAGTCAATTCAAAACGCCACCACCGCCTTCTTCTTTTGAAAGCCCAAGACAATTTTCAACTGGACCACCATCACGTCCAAAATTCGAACCAATTGAGAAAGTTCAAGTTCAACAGACAAAAAAAGTTGAACAAAAGCAAAAAGTTTTCAAACCAACTCCAGTCACTCCAGCAAGAAGCAGCTATAATAGTTTCTTGGAAAATACTAGTCAACAATCTAATCAAACTAAGAGTTATTATTATACGTCAGGGCCACAAACAACAACTTATTATACAGCTGTTGCTGGTCAACCAGTTCATAATGCAATCGCACAGGAAACGTCAAATACAATGCACATGAAAGAGTCAACTGAGAAGAGTCATCGTGTTGTTAATATCACTCAAACACGAAGAGTTATTTCACTTGATGGTTCTAAGAAACAAGATGAGAAACTTGAACCTTTCCCTTATTCACCAGACCCTCAAAGTTATTATCAAAAGCAGAGAGTTCCACCACCACCAACTCCAACTAAATTTATTCCTGGAGAATTTCGTGAAAGTGACTATGACAGCGAATTAGAAAATGCAAAGATTCGACCAGTTTGGACACCAAATCCATCTGATAATGAAGACCTTCATTATAGACGTGTTCGACCACCTTCAAGTCGATCTTCTAGCGTCCCAAGATCATATGAACGTGTTATGACTCCAATGGAGTTTGATACAGCACCAGTTGTCATGCCAACAAAAATTAAAGTAGACTCGCCATCACTTAAAACGCCACAACAATTTTTCTCAGCTTTATATCGAGATCAGAATCAAAGCAAACAAACATCAAGAAATGTAACACGCGATGATATAAATATTCAAACACGTTATGCACCTAAAACATCATTAGTTGATCATGCAAGTAGTCAGATCAACAGCATGAATACAGCATTTAAAAGCAAAGCTCATCAATTTATGAAGGACGTGATCAGCGATCAAAGACAACAAAAGCCAATCTTAAAGAAAGCAAACAGCGTTAATGAAGGTTCCGGTGCACAAGCGTATAGGGAAGAATCAAGAGTATCTCAATATGGTAAGTTTTTAACTAAAATTTATTTGTTCAACATTTTGTTTCTGTCTCTTTCGTTTTGTTTGAATTTTCATCCCAATTTGGAATTTTCTTCTTTTTTTTGTTTTTGGAAATTGATTCAAAATTAATTTTTTTTTTACTTTTTAAAACAAAAGAATTTATGTGTTATAAGTTTTCATACCTTATTCATCTTTGTTTTGTCCAATTATGAAATTTTCATTGTCTTTTCCCCTTTTCCCGTGTCTTACGCTAAAAATTGTGTTAAAAGGAACAAAACATGTCGATCCGGATACTGGTATAATTTATTTCAAATACGACTTTGGCTATGAGTTTGGAATTATTTTCCCTGGTGAAGGGAAGAAGATTGTGAGTGGTTATAGAAGTGGAAATCAACAAGGTGAAAGACAAAATGTTCTTCCACTTCGAACTTCAGACATTGAGGTTCCAGTAATTCATGAAAAATCGAACGGTAGAGCAAGCGTTGTCAGCTTCGGCACGACAACGCCAATAGAATTCGATAAAAGCGACATGAGTCGAAAACGATACAGTTTGCCATCGCCAAACTATTATGATCGATTAACGCCGAAGTCAGGAATATTTCAGACATCAGGTACAGCAAGTTTTGCTTTAATACTTTATGTGTCACTGAATGTATAACTTCATCACAAAAGTTAATTCTTTAATGTGAGACTAAAATGTTTTTAAAACTTTGTCACTAACTCTTTTCTCATAAAACAATCGTACAAAACTTTTAGCGCTTATCAGTTTAAATAAAAATGTTTACATAGTGCTTGAGTGATTGTCTTAACCAATTTTCTAACAGATAGTTTTTGTGTTTTTTTAAAAATAAAGTGTTATCATGAGTCGCTTGAGTCTTGTAAGTACAAATAGTTAGATATGTAGAAATTATTGTGTTTAATTATATTTTATATTCATAAATTAATTATTGACATGTTTTGAAATTTTGAAAGATTATTCCGGGAATAATTATGATCGTTCTGGATCGGGAACTCCGTCTATTGTCAATCCCCAGAAACAAGCTCCACCAAAACATCCACCATTGTTTATTACTGTAAGTTTATAGTTTTTAAAAAATTATGTGAAGATATTTTATTTAAATTTTCAATCAGCCATTGAAAGATATTGCCGTTGTTAATGGTCAAACTGCTCGTTTTGAATGCATCGTTCAGTGTGAGTCTGTTCCTTATGTTTATTGGATGAAGGATGGTCAAACTATTGAGAACAATTACAAGTACCAGATTGAATTTAGAAATGGCGTTTGTCGTCTAACAATACCGCAATCCTATCAAGGTAAATAAATCGACGCAATAAATTTATAACATCAAAAAATACTTAATTTAATTAATAATTTTTCAGATGATGCCGGAACTTATGAATGTGTAGCTCAAAACCCATTGGGAGCTGATGCAACTCGAGCCGTTTTAATGGTACCAGGAGATAAACGTGGACTCAGAAATCATTAGCAAGCTAACAAATTATAATCTTCATGTGTCAATATGAATATATAAAATATTTTAATTTTCAATGAATTAATTTTTTTCATGACTTTTATTTAATTAACGAGAATTGTTTTTGTGCAAGATTTAATATCAAATAAAAATATTAATTCATATGTAAAACTTTAATTTTCTTTTCTTTTCTTTCATTCGAACGTTATTTTAAAGTTTTCACATTCAATTTTATTTTTATGAAAATTGTAAAGGAAAATCACTTGGAAAATGAAATGAATCAAAGAAGCTTTTCCAACACTGCTTTTCAAAGTTTGTGAAACTTTTATTTCAAATGTAATAATCGGTTGTGAAAATTTTCTTTGCATGTGAAAATGAAAAACTCGAAATGAAAGATTTTCAATCACTTGTTAAGTTCTTCAATCTGGCAATGCCAACATCTACATTTTCGTATTGTTGAATATGTTTTTAGAAAGAAAATTCACCGATCGTAGAAAATAAAAAGAAAATGATCGGCAAATGATCGTTTTTACTCAGAGAATGTCATGAAATTTTCTCTTCTTCTCTCGGAATAAAGTCGAGAAAATTGAGCAAAAAATTCCTCAACATCTTCGGAAAAGAAATATTTTCATGACAGGAAAAGCCGCTGGCACTTAACCGTGAAGTGTAAATAAAACTGATGCCAAAAAGAAAATGCGTGTCTGTAGGTTTTTGCTCGTTCATGATCAACAAATCTTAAAATATTTCAACCCATATGTAAAAATAATATTGTCGAGTTGCCAATAATGTTCTAATTGAAAAAATATTGGGAAAGGTCTAGAAACATGATTGAGACAAGTACGTTAGGAAATTTGATAGAAAAAATAAACAAATGATTATTATTTAAAATGGAAAGATCAACGAAATATAATTTTTATTTAATAAAAATAATTAATTTGTGAAATTCAATTTTTTTCTGAAATGAAGTGTTTATAAAATGTTCTTTTCTGAAATTAAGAATTATACTAGAAAGCATTCTTAAGACTTTCTTGGACAATGGACATCAATTCAAATTAATCAACCAGAGAGAAAGCGAAAATATAATTCATAAAAACTTTATAAATAAAAATTTAAATTTGCCACAATGACAAAAACTGGTGATAAAATAATCTCAGAAAATATAAGCCGATCTACTGAACTTACAAATTTTATCAAATTTGTACCTAATTCATTTGATGTTATTTCTTAAACAGATGTTCATAAGTATGAATTTACAGAAAGCACAACATGCAAACATACAAATTGTCAGACTTGTGTTAGTTTTACGAACACAAAATTCACTGCCAATCTAAACGCCAAGATGTCTGGCATTTTAACACATAAATTTTCTTAAACGCCAGACATTAAAATTCATTCAACTTCCCTCTGGCTTTACATTTATTTTAAAAACAAATTCGCTTTCACTTGCCAACTTGGTCAACGAACTTCAAAATCACCACCTGTTTGCTACTGGTTTCAGATAGCATAAGTCTGTTGGCGAAAAATTTAAATTGAAATGTTTGAGAAAACTTGGGAATTTTCCGATAGTTATGAAAATCCCTGCTAGATGTCTCCACTTGACTGTGATCGTCAGAAATTTTAGAGAAAATATTTTCAAGATTCATTGACACGACAAACGAGGAAAATGTGAAAATTTGTTTATTTATGTTTTCATCTTCTTTTCTAGATTTCATAATAATCGCCGACTTGTTTGGTTCTTTAAAAATTTTGCATATTTGAAACATCCAAATAAATTAGAAATATAAAATATTCTTGACACAAAAAAAATGGTCTCAAATATTTTCACTTCATTTTATTGATTAAGAATAACTTCGAATGTATAAATTTTTCCTTAGATAACTCGAAATAATTATATAAATAAAATAAATTTTTCAACCAAATTAGAAATTTTCTCATGAAATTCCTCAACCAATTGCACAATTTCTTTTGCTAAAATATGAGAAGAAAATGAAAAGATAACAAATTTAAAGTGAAGAAAAACATTTTTTAAGAATCGACACATGTAGACACGTATTTGCAATCGTCGAATAAATATTTATTTAAGGAGAATTGATGAAGAACATTTGCAATAGATAGGATACATAAATACATAGCTCAATTTGAATCGAAACAATAAATTAAATTTATGACTAATGTAAGAAGTGGAAACTTGTAAACAAAATTTAAAAAACTTTTCATCCGAAGATTTGAGAAAGAATTGCAAGTGGCTTCGTCGGACAGAACAGAACTAAAAATAGATTGGCAGCTTCTTCTCTTGTTTTGTTGTTTTCATGTATGAGTAGGCTAATGATGAATTGAAATGTTATTTTAAGCCATGTCGACAAACGAAAACCTCTTCAAATAATAAGTAACTTTAATCTTCCTGTCGCGCCATAGCTATGTCGGGAAAACAAGAAAAATATATTTTCTGGAAAATTGTTTGCTTATACTGTGTAATTGAAATTTTCTTCTCAATTTATTTTATTTATTTATATCCCTTGAAAACGCAAACTTTGGCATTTCAAATTAATTTTTTGGCTCATTATTTATTAAATCTTGCAAGATCTTGTTAATTTGTTTCAACTTTTTGCTATGCTTATGAAAGGATTGACAAATTGTTTTCGCATTTAAGTCAACTCTATTTGTCTTCAAAGTAGGATTCAGACCTGCTAAACCCATTGTCACGTTGTTATAAATATCCTGGCGCTAATAAAAGATAAGATATTTAAGCGTGAAAGGTTTTAAATTACAACTTTTTAATTTTTTCACTTTCGATTCATGTTAGTAGCAAAGTTTTCAATCTTGTCGGTAAAGAATGTGTACTGCGTTGCCAGAGTTGTCTAAAATGATTTTGAAATGATCAGAGAAGATCTTAGAACAGAGCAACGTTGCTTTTGTAGCAGTTGAACGAAGATCATTAACGTGCGATTCTATGGAAGATAGTTTAAAGAACAGATTAATCTAATTTCCCTTCGCCACTGACTTTCTTGCAAACATACAAAAGTTGAGATTTGTGCTTGTGCTAAATATTTCCGAACAACAAAACTGCGCAATTTTCCTATACTTTTTTATTTTTAGACATTTCTTTCTTGCTTTTTAATACATTTGAATTTTCTTGATTCATTCTTGCTGATTTCATCTCAATTTTATAAGGCGGAAAATCTTACAATATGAAACAAATTCCTAACTTTCCTTTGTTTTCTGAAAACTTTATTTTTATATTTTGTTCAGACACATAACTTGTTAGTAATTCTGCTTAGCGCTCAATTTAAGTTGTTCTCTTAATTGTTTAATATTTTCCCTAATCAGCTTTGTTTTAATTGATGAAATCTTTATGATCTACAATTGAAATGACTATCTAGCACTTGATTCGTCACTTTAAAACTATACTTGAAATATTTTGTTGACAAGTATGTCAACAAGTTCTTAATTTTATGAATCATGACTAATCGCTTTGAAGATTTTAAAGAGGATGATTGAAAGTTTCGATATTTTTCTAGATGATGACATTAGTCATAAGCATCTAAGTATGTATAATTGAAATAAAAGAAATAAGAAAAGATTTCACTATCTAATTAATAATGAAAGTAAAGTAATGAATAATTCAAAGCGAAATTTATTAAAAGATTTCGAATTTTGACTCAACTTTGATATTTTAAGATTTGCAATCGTAAAATTTTCTATTTAACCACATTGCCTAGTTTCATCTCACCAGGTAGAAAAAAGAAAATCGAAATTGTATCATTTTCCATGTCAAATTATAGGATCTCAAGATTTTCAGTCAGAATTAAAAATAGCAACGTGTTTTCTTCTTGTTTCCCTCTTCAACTCCTCGAGATATCTTTATAAATATGAATTTAACACCTTTGAAAACATTTTTTTCGAATGAATGTTTCAGAGCTGTACGTGAAAAATGAAATCTAAAGAAATGTTTCGAAAACTCTACTCAACTATGCCACTGAAAAGTAATTTGAAGTGTAGGAGTGAAATTTTGAATCCATGGCGTGTTTTAAAGATTAATAAGCCACTTTAAGGATATTTAATTATATTCGAACTATGAAGAAGAAACATGATTCATATTATAAAAATGTTTTCTTGTCTTGTTCACAGATTTTCCAAGGAAATCCAATATTAAAGAACTCGAAACTTCAATCATTTCCACCACACAAAAATGGGAAACAACAATTACTTCATATCATGTTATGGAACAACCCTCAGGTAAGACGCAAAATAATTTCCCAATAATCAGTTTCATTTCTTTTTGTTCGTGGTGATCATTCATCAAACAAATCACTGTGTTTCCTCCCACTTTCACTTTCCTGTGAAAAAGTTACACCACCTGTGATGTTTCATTTTTCTTCATGTACTCTTCATTTTTTATAAACGGACACCTCACTGTGTGATCTTTGCCAGTAATATTTGTTTTATAATAATTTATGACTCAAAGATAATAATAATAATACAAAATTAAAATTGCATGCTGCGTCATTTAAATTTCGTTTTACTTTTTTCACGGTTTAATAGTTATTAACTAATTTATTTTTAACCTTAACTCTAATTAAATTTAAATGCTTTGTTCAGGTGTTAGATTTGTTGTCAATTATTTATAATCTGCAAGTATAATTTCTTTTTCTGTTTACAGTTACTAAAGGTCGAAATGAAAACTCATAGCATTGCTTTATGTAAATAAAGTGGTTTGCTAGATTAGAGACAGTAGAGGGCAAGTGTATGTAATGGAATTGTCTGGATATTAGTCAGTAATACATAAGATGTGATGTAAATATTTTGATTATCTCCATGCCTAAAATGTAACAAAAAAAATTATTTAAAAAATTTGTATGCTACACCCGAGCGACACAAGCGGAGATTCCTGTTTCATTTTCACCATCGGCTTGCTTTTTTAGTCAAATGGGAAGC